TGGATATATGCCTACTCTGAGAAGGATAAACTGCAAAATCCATGAATAATGCTTATGTGAGAAGATGATGGGGTAGAAAGATAAAGGTATGGAACTCCCAGGGGAAAATACAGTTGCTACTGCCCAGATAGAATGTGGCCAGCATATCTGACCTTTCACACACAATACAGTCTCAGGGGAACTAAAGGAAGGGTGGAGTGGGACACCATGGCCAGACTCCGTTGACACCCTTGCAGAGGAGGGAGGAACTTGGTGGTACTTCCTAGCTGATAAAGTGCACAGCAGCTGAAAACAAAGAGAGATAAGGAAAAACGTCCAGCTGTTGAATCAGCAACTGTGGTGAAATCACTCTCCTTGGACTAACACATGCCCCCATCCCAAGGTTATGTCTGGTACTATACTGAGATACTATACTTGGAGGCTGCCAAGGTACAGCCACCCCTCACTGAGTAGGATGATTATATTCACTCAAGCTCCACCAAAATGTAAAGAAATAGTATAAATATGAGTTAAGAATGAGAAGAAGTAAGCGAAGACTCCATTGTAACTTCTGGGATTAATTGATAGGTTTCATCCTAATACCTCTGTTCAAAATAATACAGAACTATGCCTACTAGAAACGCAAGTATTCTACTTTATTTCATATCTGCTCAAAGGGAAGATGATGCCCTTTATCAAGATAAAATTTTTCGATTAATAATAATTTCTGGCAGTAAATTTATTTTGATTGAAATCAGGGTTTTACTTGTAATGACTTGTGTTGCCTCACACATACTTTGATGAGTAAAGAAAAAGGCAAGGACATGTAACAAAATATGCTCAGTGTCAGTTTTAAGTTTATTCTGCAATGCTATTTCCAGATGGTAAGACACGTGTATTACTTTGCACATGCCAACGAAGTATTTCCAATCATGATTTTTTTTCTAAGTCATATTGCTTTTTAGTGCTTATAAATGATTTACCAAATGTGAAATGAAATTCAAATTCAGATATCTGGTGTAAATTTTATATATTTAAATGAAATATGAAGACAGTATTCATAATGTTAAGTATGGTACTTCATGAGATTTTAAATTAACTAGAAGATCTCCCAGTATGCCAAATCTATTAGAGAGACATGTTTTATCTACTGCCATGTCAGACTACAATTCTGAACAAAGCATGAAGATCAGGGTCTTCTCAGAGATAATGATGAAAAGGCTAGTGGACTTCTAAAGTTTCTATTTTACCAAACCACTGAATGCACTCCTTTGATGATGACAGGAAGAATATAATTACTCTCTAGTTTATTCCTTGAACTGCAAGGACTGGCTTTAAAATTTTGTTGAAGTGTTTTATTGATAAGAAGACCTTCGTGTTTTTATTGCATAGCATGAGTAGGTAAAAAATTGAGAGGTTTTTTTTTTTGAGTTCAAAATCTTTAAGCAGTTCATGCTCAGTGTGACAGACTTACTAAGATTGACACACATTTTAGCACTAACTACATTGCAGCACGTGTAACTGAAGGACTGTACAACTTACACATTTCACCTTGTACTGAGAAAAAGTTTGTGTAAGTAGAGCAAACATTCCACCATAATTCAGCTGATTTTGAAGGAGATTCAAAACCAGATGACTCTGAAAGATTTAGAAACAAGGCACCCCTGTGGTATGTGGTTTTGTTGCAGTTACATTCTAAAATTCTCCAAGAAATAGTTCAAAATTTTTGAAAGCCCTGCAAGATTAGGCTTTTGGGTTTTCAGGGACACACTAAGGAGGTTCACAGTTCATCCAGCTCTAGTAACTGCACTTCACACTTCTTTGAATTAAAAGCATTTTGAAAGCACTATCTGCAACATGGAAGAAACAAGAATAAGAACATTCATATTTATAGACATGAATATACAGAGAATCATGGCAGTATGCCTAAAGTTAAGTAACTTCATTAAACACTGGAAATTAAAAGTTTTTTGAGGAGAGTAAAACCAAGGAGAAACATCTTTTACACTGGATTCTGTTTTGTTGTTTGGTTTTTTGTTGTCTTTTTTTTTTTTTTTTAATGAGAAAATCTACTTTCCTGAACTCTAATATGCGGCTGAGAAGGATGCTTGTGATTGTCCTGAAGCAGAGGTGCTTCCCAGGGTGGGGCCCATTGGAGGTTTTCTCCCAGATTTGCCCTAAACCAGGACAAGAGGACAACACTTACCCTGCAGATGACCTGCTGTCCTGGCAGATCTGTGGGGTCCTGAGTCACTTCAATAGAAGTCTTAGCAGTCTTCACACAGAAGGTAGCAGAAAGTTGACATGGAATCCCTCATTGTCACAGAGAAGTCTGCGGCCTCCAGGCTCAGCTTGCACAAATTCTATGAGCAGGAAACCCAGAAACTTTGTTGCTAACATCCAGCCACATTTTACACAGCTTTGTTACAGGCGTGAAGTGCCATCAAGCACTTCAGAAGCTCTGGTTACAAAAGTGGGAAAAGCAGAGTTATTACTCATTTATTTCAATGGAGACTGCAGAACATACAGAACAAGAGTTCAAGTGAAAAAACTGCTGTCCATGTGGCTCTGATTGTCATGTTAGCTCTGATTGTGTCATGTATATAGAGTAAGTTCTAAAATTTTGTGGAAATGCCAGGGAGAAACTTTGGTTCATGGGACTGGACAGATGCCCCACAGATGGCCCACTGTTTGGTGCACCCTGTTCTTTACTTCTCAGATACCGATCCAGCCTGGGCTTGAAATTACACTGCTCCTGCTAGTGCTAGCTGTGGAACATGAAGAGGAATAAAAGGAAAAAAGATGGAACCCCATACCTTGATGGGCCTGAAAATGTTATGGATTTCTTAGCTGGTAAGAGTCACTAGTAAGAAACACATGCTTGTCCATGGTCACCTACCCTAGGCCTAGCAGTTCATCAGCAGTAAGCAGTTTTTCTCAGGTGGAGAGCTTCTAAAATAGCTGGTTGCTGTGGAAGATTCACCCACACTTTGTGAATTCAAAAAATCCATCATACCATAAAATTTTCTTTGCAATAACAAAATAAAAATTGTATCACTTTGATCAAAAGAAACAGTACTTGACCTAGGACATTCCTGTTCCCCTGACTTCAGAATATGTTTTCCAGAATATTTGAACAAGACAAAGAAATTTTATCCACACCCCAAGGAGCTGTAGACTTACAAAGTAAAGTTACTTTGGGAAATTGAGTGGTTGAAAATACTCCTGAAGACACATAATGCCAAGCCTAACTTTGGAATTGTAAATGGACAGTAGTAGATTTGATATGTAGCTTTCCCACAACTAAATAGGAAGATACGTGACTGAGTCACAAAATAAAGCCTTATGTTTACACTTTTCTCTAGAGATAGCTTATAAGAAATATGTCTGGCTTTGTGAAAGAAATTTATAGAAAATCAGCTGCATAGTTATTCTCGTGTATGTGTATTAGTGCATGGGCACAGTTACATTTGGCATGCACAAGCTGCTGATCACATTTTGGTTTCATTGGTCCAATTAATCTCTTTCTAATGTAGTTGTGGTGGTGTGGTTTTGTTTTGTTTTTGTTTTTGTTTTTCCTGTACTGCTGTTTTTCAAAAGAAAAAGATGCTAAACCCAAGAACTGGAAATGCTGAGACTATAATTTTTCTAAACAATACAATGTAACTTCAGAGGAACCTAAGCCTCAATAAGGCAGTGCATTTTTTGTTTTTTGTTATCATTCTTCAGTATCAGTCTTTCCCCTTTCTTGTGTTAATAAAGGACAATATCATCCATGGTAAAAATGTATGTCTTTATATCAAGATACTTCTTTACAAATTATTTTATTCTGCATATTGGATGGATGCAAGGCTGGTGTGGCAGGTTGTGGTAAGCAGGCTTATAAATCCCATAGTGAAAGGAAAGGTCAGAAGTGGTAGGCAGCATTCTTTTATTTCTGTAAAAAGGAGTGAAAAGGTGTATAATATCTAGCAGTTTTCTCATTCCTTTTCCCGCAATGGTTTAATTTTTTACATTAAATACAACGATTCAGCAACACTGACAGAAGTGAGGTGTCTAGGAAGTCCAGCAGCTCACTTCAGTGATTCTCTGAAGCCACTGGCTGCGAAGGGCCTTCAGTCCTAGCAGTGAAAGTCTCTGGTGTTGGGACTGTGACTGTCAGGGAGCCTTATGAATGGCCAGACCTTAAAAAAACCTTGTGACTGCAGGGGTCCTCAGCATAGCCACTCAGGGCAAATATGGCTCAGTTATTTCCATGTGATTCAGCTGACACCCAAGCCAGAAAACAGACTGGGAGTCAAGCTCTTTGGAGAGATCGATTAAATTCTATTTGTTTTAGACACTATGCCAGTAATAGCTCAGCCATTTTTGAACAGCTCAAGAGATGCCAGAATTTCTACATTTGCCTAGCTTGGGGGAGAAAAATACTCAAAAACTGTCATGGCTATGCCACTTTTAAATCCTTTGGACAAACTGATGGGTTCATTCAGTGGAGAGCAAAAAGATAATTAAGGGACTGGAGTACCGCTCTTATGAGGGAAGGTTGAGGCAGTTGGGCTTGCTCAGCCTCAAGAGCAGTTGACTGAGAAGAGACCTCATCAATGTCTGTTGAGTATCTGAAGGGAAAGTGTCAGTGGATGGATGCAGGCTCTGCTCGGTGGTGCTGGGCAACAGCACAAGAGTCAATGGGCAGAAACGGATGTGAACAGGAAGCTCCGCCTGAACATGAGGAATAGCTTCTTTACTGTGTACTGATAAAGATCGCCCAGAGAGGCTATTGAGTCTCCCTCACTGGCGATATTCAAGAAAAACCTGGTCGCAATCCTGTGCCATGTGCTCTGGGATGACCCTGCTTAAGCAGGGAGTTGGGCCAGATGACCCCCTGTGCTCCCTTCCAACCTGATCCACTCTGTGATAACTTGTACCTTTACAAGAGCAGACAGCTAGAGCGCCTACGGAGCAACCCTGGGAAGAAAGGCCAGAGCCACGCGGACCTACGCAGCCCCTACAGGCTTCCGTAGCCTCGGACAAGCCGCGCCCCTTTCTCGCCGCGCCCGCAGCCGGGAGGGGCGGGGGCCGCACTGGGCCGCCCCCTCGAGCCGCGNAGGGAGGAGGCCGGGGTGGCGTCCCCTGGGCGCTGCCGGGCCGAGCCGGGCCGGGCCATCTGCCCACCCGACAACTCTGCCTCCGCTCCACCTGCCCGGCCGCTTAAAAATAGCCGCGGGGGCGGTCAGGCGGGCGGGCTGGGGAGGCGGTGTCCGCGGAGCAGCCGGCTGCGGCAGCGGGGGGCGGCGGCGGAGCGGGAGGAGCTGCAGAACGGGGACAAGGAAAACCGGGCGAAGTGCTGGAGGCACATGAACGGCCCTCCTGTTTCGTTTTTCTGTACGGAGCCACCCGTGCTCTCTCCTAGCTGGGGACGGACTTTGGCTGGCCGCGGTCTCTCTGGTGCTCGCGGAAAGTTTGGGAATTAGTGGGCGGGAGCCTGACCTGGCTCTGGGAATGCGAAACTGGACTGGTTTATGGGCGTTTTCCATGCCCGGAAATAAACCGTGCATGGACGCCAAGGGTTTTTGACGGCATTTTATCTACAGGGTTTTAGTGCTTGTGGGGGTGAAGTGGCCTTTCCGCGAACGGCAGTGACATCCCGTTTGTTCTTGGCGCTGTCATCTGTAGGTCTGGAATAGCTGTTATTTTTAGCCTTAAAGAACCAGGAGTAGATACTGCCTTCGGTGTTTACAGAGGCGGTGCCCAGCTGTGCTAGGCGAGGTAAGCAGTGGTCTGTAGAATTAAATTAACATACCAGTTCTGAGGGCAGTAAAGTGTTCTGTTTGAATGTGCGCTCCTGAGGTTCCTTTAGTAAGGTGCCTAAAAGAAAACAGCACCAGAGGTCTGTCAGACACAGGCCATGAACAGATGCCTGTGCAGTGACCACTGCTGGCTCAGTTTCGAATGTGCATCCCAGATGTCTGCAGCATCAGCAAAAGCAAACGCAGAGGTTAGGGTTTTTTACAGCTGCATTTATACAGTGGGTGTGAAATATCCTCGAGGTATTTGCCTACCTACAATTCCATTCCTAGGCATTCATATACATTAACCAGATATTGTAAGCTTCTCCTGAAGCTTTTTTGCATCATGGACATTTTTGTTTTCATGCTTGTCTTCTGAAATCGTGTCCTTATTTATTTTCATTTCTGCAGAGAATTCATTTCTGAATTTTCCTTCAGATAGTCTAGCCATTTATAGTATCTTTGTAAAGTTCAGTCTCTGTAAGGAGTCTGAGAGCAACAGCACAGGTAACTGCTGAAGATATTGTACTAGTCCTTAACCTATAGCAGTAAGGCTTAATATTGCACATCTCTTACTGGTTAGTTGAGTTGTGTTTGAAATGTTTGACTAATTGCACCTTTCAGCAAAACTGTGTCAGACTGATTGCTTGATTTGTGTACTGAAGTTACCATAGTTTCTACTTTCTGTTCATCAAAAATAGACAGAATATTTAATGAAAAATGTGGAACACTGTATATGTTTTGGGCAATGTTTGTACATTACAAAAAAGGTAAAAGCTTCTTTTTCCAGATCTTTAGGTTGCTGATGGTTAGTCATGGCACTTTATGCCTCTGTGAAACAACTGTTAACAGATTAGATGCACACTGTCTCAGTTTAAAAAAACTAAAAAGAAACCAAAACAAAACAACCCAACCAAAACAAAAACTAAAAAAACAACCTCAATTTTACTTTGAGGTTTTGATATTCAGCTATCATATTTTTTCATGTCTGTGGAACTTGGTTTTCTTGTTTATTATTTCATCTTTAAGAAGCTCTCATATTTTAGAGATTTTAGTATATTTTTATTTAAATTCAATTTATTGCTTCTCTAGTGCCTATGTACTAGAATAAAATTATTTTTTGCCTACATAGCTTGTTGACTTGTTTGTAGTGTATACTGATGTATGGAGCTACCTATGCTCTAAGAGAGTCAGAACTGCTGTGTAGCATTGGTGAGGCATCACCTGTGGAGTTTTATTTTTTCCTGGTCTACCACATGATGCTTTTTTTTTTTACTTAAATTGTGTTTAATGGTCTGTACATTTGCAATATTTCTTTCATTTCAAATATCTAAAAGGAGCTAGAAATTGCATTCTGCCATATAGAAGGCAGTGAGTATTAGTAATAACAGCAGTAGAATACTGTTTTTATTTGGAGTGCATCATTAATTAACAGATCCATACACTCACAATAGACTGCTCTAAAGTCTATTGATAATTTTTTTAGCTTGATAATTACTAAAATTCTACAACTAATGTATTTTTTAAAAAGTACTATTTTTGCCTTCATATTTTGTGTAGACTTAATAGTTTTTAATGCTGGTCTGCATGCTCTGAAAGCATTTCCATTACAGCTGTGTGTTTTCTTACAGTGTTTGTCTTTCTCTGACTTGCTAAATTTTACAGAAATGTTGTACTAGTAAAATTAAATTGTTTCAAATCCATCAAATTAAAAGAAAAAAAAAGGGAAGTTTTTTCTGTTTAATAAATCATCACTGCTTTTTGCTAGAGCGTTGCACGAATGATATATGTATATGTGTCTGTATTAATGTGTTAAGACTTTACATATATGTAATGTCTTAAGTTTTAAAAGGCATGTATTTTTTTGCCTCTGAATGATTAAAAACCCAAGTGATTTATTTTAAAAGGCTATAGGGAGCAAATCATGACCTTGTGGTATTTTATAGCTAGCCTGTCTAAATTAAGGCTGGTAACTTGTTTGTAGACTGAATATGTATAAATTTTACATATTTTTTTAGCCTCTGTAAATTGAAAGCTTTATTAATGACTTTTTAATGAGCATGCTTAATATTCACCTTGGTTTTGATAAATGAGAGAATTCATTGTGCAGTATTAAAGCTATTCCATATTCAATCTGTGTAGTAAAGTTGTGTGAAAAAAGTAAAGCTGCTCCAGAAAAATATATGAACACATTAATAATTCCAGAAATGCTTTGATTTTTTTTTTGTTGTTGTTGTAAAAAACCCTCAGATTGAAGGGTACGAATTTAGACTATATTAATATTGAAAAAAGATGTGAAATCTAAAAACACTGATGGCTGAGAATGTTGCAAGAACTGAATGATCTGAAATAGAAAAGGCAGTGCAGAAAGTTGAAGGTAGCTCAATCCATGCAGGTAAAAAAAAAGGTTATTTTAACATGTAAAGCCAATACTGGAAAAGTCAAGGCTCAGAAAAAAGTGTAATGGGAGAAAATCGTTTGCCTAAGGAACTCCATTAATATGAAGCAAGGTAAAAGACTGCTTCTGTTAGGCAGCCATCAGAGAAGGCTATTGAATGGCCAATGCTGGGAAGGACAGTGTCTTTTTTAGCCTATTTTTGTTTGGTGTTCACTAGGAAAGGTAGTTTCAATGAGGTGTATTAACAAGTGTGCAAATACTTGGCTTAGATAAACAAGTTAGATTTGAATGCCCTAGACCTGATCTAGTTAACTGGTCAAGTTGAAATACCTGAAAAGATGCTTGCAGAAATGTGAGATGTATGCAGTTGTCTCTGACAAGAAATGAAGTGCCAGTCAGGTTTCCAGTGTTGAGAGACCAAACAATTGTTTTATTACAGTTCATGATGCTATTATTTTCTTTTGACTATGCTAAATAATTTTTCTGTGTCTTGCTCAGACCCTCTGTACTGCCCTTTAAAAAGATTAATTCTAGGTTGACTTGCATACTTATTAGGTAATGTCTCAAGCATGTCTTAATGCAACTTATTATTTAAATAGCTGGTGTCCCTTTTTGGGGCAGCTCTGTTAGTAAGATGATACTGGCAGATAATTGGAATGTTTGTGAGTACATAAATACTTTTTTTTTTATTTTTTTTTTTGGCTACAACTATTATTGTGAAAGACAAATACTTTTGTGTACCTTGTCTTGTCTGTACAGGTCTTGTTTATACTGTCTATAGCAGGTGCTATCTGCTCCCCTCCCTTACAAAACAGTAATTTGAATTCACTTGAGGGATCCATAATGTCTAGTAGTTTTTGCTGTCTTTTGTGATCTATTTTACAGTAAATGTCAATAAATGAGGTATTTGGCAGACACTGATCCTCAAAGGCTTACAGCTTGTCTCTAGAGGGTATGCTTAAACAGAAATAATTAACACCACAAACACAGGTGGGAAATGACTAGCAAAGGCAGCTGTTTGTGTTAAATGATCAGAGGTGTTCACAAGCAGACAGTGCTGTTGGAAAAATGCAGAAATTTTGTGAAAATATTTGAACAGGAGTGTTGGGTGCTGATCAGATACTAGCTAAGGTATTTGCATTTTCTGATCTTTCATCTCACTCTCATCTGCTTTCCTTCTCCTGCCCCTTTATTTACAAGACAGCAGAGAGTGATCAATTAGGTAAAACCTGCAGGATTTTTATATAGATTAATTTTCTTTCCCCCCCTCATCTCTTTTTACAACCATAACAAAATTTCAGTCAGACCTTTTTGATGAAATAGTTTACTAGATCTCTTTTTGCAAGCTGAATCATTCATAGTAGATGTTGGTTCATGCACAGAAATTCATTAAGTTATTTTGAGTATCTAAAATTAAAGCTATAAACTAATTAATTCTAGAATTTTGACTGTTTTATTTTGTTGAATCATTCACATTGTCCAGAGCTCAGTAAATCTAAAAATTTCCTTTATAATGTAGCCTAAAAAAATTCTAGACTTTGCTATACATATTTATAACTGCTCTGGCTTTTATTATTGATTTGGCTGGTAGCCTGCATGTTTAATCCTAGATATTTATACAGCTCCAACTACTTGTACGCACAGTTTCTAAGGCTGCTTAGCTGGGTATTTTTTAATCATACATTGGATTCATTTCTGACATCAAAACATCTAGTTGCTCCCAGGAGGGGAACACCAGCCCTGCCAAAAATCCATCAACAAAACTGACAATTGAATATTGATGTATTTTTTTATTTTTGCAATTTAAATCTACTGTCAGTACTCACAGACTAATTCACTAGCTATGTTATGCCCTGTAACTAGGGATTGTTCTCTGGCTTTCCTGCTTCTGTTTGCGGGGGCTTTTGGTTTTTTTGCCTCCCATCCCCAAGAGAATGGTCAGGATTCAGTGTAGTTGCACTTAGATCTACATTTCATTGCAAGGGAAATGGCTACATGTGGTAGAGACCAAATTTTGGTAATGAAAGAGAATACTGCCATTGTCAATAACTGCATTTCAAATCATGAGCATTGGAGTTGGTTGCAAGCTTTGCAAGTCTGGTGGCTTTGGAAATGTTTTCTGTTTACTGCAGGAATGTTTAGTCAGTCTCATGTGCTTTCTCTCAAGTATAGGGGGAAGAAAGGTTACATCAATACACAAAACCTAGAGCCTCTTTTGTAGCCTTTTGAGTGCTTTGATGGTCCATTTACTATGATCAGACTGTATCAAGGTTTTTGTAAGGAAACTGTTATATTTTAGTAAACATGTTTCAGTAATTTTATACAGAAATTCAGATGCCTGGAGTTATGCTAATGTGTATTTCTTCTAATGATTCTTAACTAAAACATTAAACTTTTTAATTGTAAAATCATAAGTGATTTTTTAAAATTGTAAAATCATAAGCAAAAACAGTGAAGAATTATGTACCCCACTTCCAAATCCCAGCATTTAATGTAGAAATTTCGAAGTCTTTCTGTTTGAAGCACGATTGATTCTGTATTTATTGTCTGCCATTATGATGTGCTCAGGTAAAATGAGAAATAGTTCTGCCATCAGAAAATATTGTTTGTAAATGCTTAAGATAATCGTTACTCATTTTACAGTACTTTGTTTTTGGAAGCATCCAGGCTGCCAAATTATTGTAGTCTGAGTTACTGTGCCTCTGCAGAACTGTGGCATGTGTCAGACTCTTGATAAATGAGAGGGAATGTTTACATAGCCATCAGTGAAAGTGAAGAAACTCAACCCAGTTAAACTGCTTCATGTGTCGCTTAGTCTTACAGTTTCCTTGTGAATGTTTTTAACCTGGCTCAACTGACCTGCAGAAGTTGCAGTCATGCCTGGTAACTTGGTTACAAACCTGAACCTTTGCTCTGGATAACATTAGAATTACTTGCCATAAATACAGTTGAAATTAGTGATATCTTCTTGAAGAAGCAAACGGGTTTTTTTTAGTGTTAAAATGGCCTCTGCAGAGTGTCGCCCTGAAAACTCAGCTTTTTCATCTTGTTTACATAATTTCTAAGCACTTTCCCAGGACAGTGACTGTAAACATAGATATGTATACATCCTTTCTGATACACGTCTTTAGATGGATGTTTCGCACGACCAGTGTGATTGGGAAGGTGGTAACCTAACTATCCAGTCACTGCTCATTGCCGAGAGTCTATAAATACTGAAGTTGTAAGAATAAAACCAGTTTTTTCCCTGTCATACAGGAGCCATGTCTGTGTGAATCACTGCCTGTCCTACAGTGACAGCAGAGTAAGCTTTATCAGGGAATGAATTTAGAATGGAATTGAACCAATGTTATATAAAACTGTCACCTTGTTATTGTCTACAAAGACTATATAGTTCTAGTTCCTAAAGTAGTTACAGACTACTTTTGGGAATGCTCTCTTTGCTTTTTTTGCTTTTTTTTCCCTTTTCTGTCGTTCCTGGCAACGTGTGTGTATTTTAAGGCTTGGCAACAGTCTCATCAGCTGTCAAAAAACATCCTTCTGCATGTAGTATTTCTCTGGACAAGCTGATGTTAGCACATGTCAGATGTATAGACTTATAATCACTGTAAAGTGATTATAAATGGTTGCAATGAATAAATTAAAATGTTAAAAACTTCACGGTATTTTGTGAGTGCTGTGAGATGGATGGATTGGTTTACCTGATCAGCTCTTCCATATCAGTTCACTAACTTGAGCCAACTCTTCTAATGTGTGCACTTTTGAGATTTGGGTCCTATTTCCCAAAATTGGTGTTACTTTGAATAGTTATTGTCAGCACAATATAACTGCAAGAATATTCTTGCAGTTGGAGCTCCCATTTCCCCATACATTTTGCTATCATGCATCCTGAAAGAAAAGCATTTTTGGGTCAATTAAATCTTCGTTTGCAACCTCAAGTTGTATTCCTTTCCAGGCCTGTAATCTGCTTCTGGTTTCTGGAATCTCATTTATGCCCCTGCTCAGCTGTATCAGGTGTCTGTTCCATGTGCATGTGTTAACACTATACAACTAATTTGAAAGTAACCATCACAGAAGCTTCATTCTTCTTGTAGATTTTGCAGAAGGCATTGCTTTGGACTATGTGCATGTGTAAGTTATGAGTTTTCTAGTCCCAGTATTCCTTTTGTTATGGCAAGTGCTTGATGTGAAGTATATTGTAAAACTGATCTTGCAATTCAAATTTTCTTTGTTCACAGTATACCGAATTTCACTCCTTAAAAATTAGATTACTGAAATGCTTCTTGTGAATTTTTGTAAGCCTATAAATAAAATTGGCAAGAATAAGACCTTTTGCGGGCTAAAATTCCACTCACATTTACTGTCTCTAGATTTCTACAAGCACAGAAAACAGATGGTTGAAGAAAAAGAGGCTAACTTTTGATTTCAAAATGAGTCTTACAAAATTGAGACAGGGATTTCCAGCATTTTTACTTTGGGTAATTTTACATTATTTTTCTTGGACATGCGAGCTCCATGAGACAATCTCAGGTATTTTGTAGAATGATTAATCATCTTTCATGGTCCTAATCATCTTTCATGGATATTTGATGTGTAGGCTGTAGATCTCTTCCACAGTAAAAGTTTTGGGATCCATAGGTTGTGGACCACGAGATGTCCCACTGTGAAGGGGAAGGGAGCCCCCAAAATTTGTAGGTGCCTGTGGTCAAAAAGGAACAACAGAAGTCAGCGTGTCTGTAAAAACTTACAAAGTTTTATTATTAAATTAGACACACGGTGTGGAAATGGGTGTTAATTAGTCCCTTATAGTATAAACACATGGTGGTAGATCTTGAATAAGGGATAGGTGAAAGAGAAGAGAGAGAGGTACAAAGAGATTAGAGTGGGGTACAGAGAAAGAAAGGAAGAAAGATTGGTAGTCCTGACTCCAGCCTCAGTGCAGCTGATGGAGTGTCCAGGGTCCTGGGGCACATGTGTGCCCAGATTTGATGTGAGTACCTTTATACAGTTAACGTTTCCATGCCATGGAGCTGCTTTGTTTGTTTACTATGCAAATGAGTTATCATCTGCAGTTCATTCTTCTAGACCTTTCTTGAAATGGTAAGAGGGCTTTGGGTGTCTCTGGAGGTCTTGGTCCCTCCATACTGGATTGACCTTTAGTTGACAGTCCATGCCTGCTTCTTGACCTCATTCCATTGCTTATGCTCTACTTCAGGAGCCAGAGCATAGACCTTTGTCCAGGAAGACTTCTGGCTTACGTCTGTATGGCCACCTTTTCCTGCCACGTCCCATTCTTTCTCATGGCATGTTCTTACCAGCAAATCTTGGTTGATTCCACTGCCATCCTCCATTGATGTTTGAGACATCTACATTGGCCCCCTTATCTTCTAGGCTTCTGTAACCCACTGATTCAGACTCTGGGACTTGCAGTGTGTATGACTACTACATTGCTTATTCCAGTTTTGCTTGTTGGCTTCTGTTTTTTTAGGAGCTGTAGCACTGAAGAATCTGGAAATAAAAGAAAATGCACTGGTAAGCTAGTGAAAATAACAATAATACTTGCAAACATGATTCCTTGAGCTTTGTTTTGGGTTTAATGTGCATTTTTTGATTCTTATTTAATGATACATTTTCTTCTAAGTAGAACCTTACTGATTTGTTTACTCTGTACCTATATAGATTATCTGATTCATTTGAGATTAAATTCAAAGGGGAAAGTGTATGCATTTTTTTTTTCCTCTAAGAGAACTCTCAACAATTGCTAAAAGAATTTGCTTAGGTCAAAAGCAAAAAAGCAATACTGAAAGACCTTTTTTTTTTTTTTTTTCCCCCTAGCTCATGAAGCTAGGACTTTCTTTTTTGGAATGTATTTAGCCTAAAATGGTGTAACAGTCAAAATGGTAACCAAATGCTTGCTTATCTGTTATACTAATTTTTTTTCCTGTGGTTGACGGGTAAGTTTTTTAAGATTGTCATGGTATCTTTTCCTGCGCTGGAACATTTCACAAGCTGCTGAATTGAGCTTACATTTTCTAAACCCTTTTCTTTCAGAGTCGTTTGGATGTGCCATTTAAAGTTAAAGCAGGACATATTAGTAAGTTGCATTTTATCTTGTATACATGCAGGAATTTCTAAACATACTATCTTTCCTTGAAAGTGACTTTAGACTTCCTAAGCAAATAATTTCCTTATGTTCATTGATTTGTATATTTTGATTTGTATACTCTGAAGTTTGTCTCTTCTGAAAACTTTTTGAAGAAGCTTCTTTCAATAAAGTGTACTAGAGTCTTGTTTAAACCCCTCAATATTAATGAGAAAGTAGCCCAACACAGCAAAGACGAGCAGTTGGGCAGGACTGGATCTCATTCGTTGTCTTAACAAGACTCCACAACTGATTTTTTACCTTTTGCTTGCCTTTTCATCTCCTTCCTTCCTTCTTTTTGCTAAAATAAAAGGTTTTCTTGTTGCAAGTTGATTGTCTTCTAAAAGTTAGTGGTTTCTTAAAGTAAACTAGGTCTAAGGCCATTATGCTTCCTTTAAATTGACCCTGGAATAATGTATTTTCTATATTTCTAAATTATATGATTTAATATTTTATTAAAATTTGCGCTTGGTGAAGGAGAGACACTGTAACCTCATGATCCCCGTGTTCACAAAACCTCACGATGATGCATGAGCTGCCCATGTGCTTGTTTCTGATAGTGATGATGTCGATTTTCAAGGAAGAACACATTGCTGTTAAGAGGAGGAATGTAATTCAAGGGAATACAGAAACAATGTAGACCAAACTTCTCATGTTGCTTGTGTATTGTACAAGAGAATACAACTCAACTGAGGCATTTTCTAGGGTATTTTCTGTCCAAAGTAATGATTGTTAAGAGATTTTGTGTTTATTATCAATTATCTTTGCATTTCTTTTCCAGTCAACTATTTAACTCTATACTTCAACTTTTTTCTTTTGTGTTTGTAGGTCAACTTAACCTACAGATACCATGGCAAAACCTTTATACTCAACCTGTTGAGGCAGTCCTTGATGGAGTTTATTTGCTCATTGTGCCTACCGCCAGTAAGTTATTGTACAGGAAGAAGTGACTGTAGATTGGTGGGATTTCAGAATTAGCTGAAATGGGTTGATACTGTTTTCATGAGCTTTATTCCTAGAAGATACTTTTAATTACAGTTAAGTAATGGTATGGAAGTCTTTCAGTAATTTACAGTTCGTCACCTAATTTTTTTGCTGTTATGTAACTGTTGCAAAAATGTAAAATTTACAGCTTTTGACACAGTATCTTTAAAAAAGTATATAAGTTTTTTGGTATTATACTTTTTTACATTATGTATTTAGGCATAAAGTATGATGCTGAGAAAGAAGCCAGGCAGTTCTTGGAAGCAAGACAAAGGGAATTGCAGAGAATAGAGGAAGCAAAGCAGAAGATAGCTGACAAAGGTGAGAGTGGGAGAAGCTAATGAAAGTGATGCTTGTTCTTTATTTTTATTCAGAAAGATACAGACTTTGTCAAAGTGTTCTAGACTCTTGTTTTTAACTTGTTACTTAAAAACCTATTAGTTATGGTTTTTTAGGTATAATTGTGTTCAGTATTGCAGAACCAGCATTCTGAAAATAAAAGGGTTTGAGCATTGATGTGATATAATATAAATTGGGCTTTTGAAATATTTATTTTGTATCATATGTCACCTGACATTTTCTTCCCTCTTTCATAAGAAACAGTTTGTTTCCAGTATCAAAGCATTTTTACCAATATAACTTTTTAAAGGAGTTTCAATCTGTTCTTTGATACATGCGAATTCTTATCTTTAAATTCAACTTCTGCTATTTCTAATAAATATGTTTTGCCCACCTTGAGTATTGTGGGTGCTGGTCATACTTTTGAATCACCAGATGCTTCATGCAGAGTCACAGTAGGTAGTAAAGCTACAAAGCCTAGTTTGAGAATGTAAATGTTGTAGATTATACAGAGCAAACCTGTTTTTATACAACTGGAGTGCAATGTAATAGAAAATTAAAACAGTTACCATGCTAAATTTATTATGTTATTGCTTGTCTAATTTTGAAAAATACTGAAATGTAAACAAAATATTAAATTGTTTTCCTTTAACATAGATAAAGTGAAAGAAGAGAAACAAGACACTTTTGTAGAAAAGCTAGTTACTCAGGTCATTAAAAATCTTCAGCTGAAAATTTCCAACATCCATATTCGCTATGAAGATGATGTAAGTACTTTTGTATATCTTAACATAAGGGGTTGTGCGCTGTAACATGAAATTGGGAACCTATCTGATTTCTTTTAGTTGCTTTCCATGCTGAGAGAATACTAGTAAAGTTGTGGAATTTCTTACCTTAGTCTTATTAAAAAAACGAAACAAAAAGCTTGGACCAAAGCATAAAGATACTTAAATTCTTAGTCAAATATATGCTGATAGAGTATGAAATAATTTTTTTTTGTCTTTTCTTGTGTTCTGTTAGATCACAAATCATGATAACCCCTTGTCATTTGGGATTTCACTTCAAAACTTAAGTTTGCAGGTAATTTTATTTCTCACTTTTTGTCTGAAAAACATGTTAATATATACCAATAGGTGCTTCTGTGTGTTGTGCTTTCTGGTAACACACTGTCTAATGGAAAGTACACATACAGTCATCAGCAATGCACAGTGGTAAGTACTTGGCTTATCAAATTCAGCGTAAGTGCTGCGATGGGTGTGCCATTAAAGATAAAATGCTACCATTAAAGTAGATCTTTAGGAGTAAATTCTTACTCTTTCGCCTGCTGCACTTTGTGGCTACTACACTGGGCTGGATTTAGGCTGTTTGTTCTGAATATTTTACTGAAACTGACTTGAGCTCCAAGAAAGAAAGTTACTACCTGATTACAGGAAGGGGTGGGAAAGGGAAAAATGGAAAAAAAAAAAAAAGATGACATCTTTATTTTAAACAAGCTAATTTTTTAGCTGCAAGCTGCACTTTAAGGTGCAAAGATAGTAAGCACAGACAGTATGAATTTTTTTTTCTGGAAGACTGTATAGTAGGAGCACTATGCTGATTGTGCTGAGTTGCTCTTATTCAGTAGCTTTTGCTGTGTAACTGCTAGTTTTAAAGAAAATGTGTCTTAAGTAAATGCTACTTCCTTGAATGAAATGGTGGTTTTGCTAATGCCTGTTTCTAGTATATTCAAGGGTGTTCTTTAGGCTTAAAAGATGAGATTTCTAAGATGAATTGCTTCCAGCATTATGAAAGAATTTAATCCATAGTTTATCTCTGTCCAAAGAGGCTGCCTAAAAATATTATTGGTGTAAAGGAAAACAGTTTGCAATACTGAAAACAGAATCTTTTGCTATCTTTAGTTCTTGTGTGCAGCCTATCAGTGTACATACATATATATTTTTTGGGGGAAGTAGCATTTTCAAGTTTTCACTTACAGTAATGGATCAATCACCTTAAATCAGAAGATTGTATCCCATTATTTTCTGTGGCATTTAATTATGATGACATTACTTTCTTTTTTTGTAGTTTGTTTCAGTTGTAACACTTGTGAATTGTGTTGTGAATTATAGATATTGGAGTATTTTTCTTAATTCTCATTTCAGACCTCAGATAAGAATTGGAATCCATGTTTACATGATGAAACTGCCAAGTTGTTCCACAAGGTACAGTATAAACTGTATGCTAAAGAAAGAATTACTGATAAAATAAGCTACATTAGAGTTTCTTCCACAGAAAGTAAGATCAAGAAAACATGTAACTGTATAGTCTCTATAGCAAAAGTAGCATTCTGAATATTTTTATTCATTTTATTCATCCAGACATTTTGAAATCCAACTTATCAGTCTAAAACTTGTAGATGCTAACACATATGTTCTGTTTTGTTTTCAGCTTGTGCGACTGGATAACCTTTTTGCTTATTGGAATGTGAAATCAGAGATGTTCTACCACGGTGGTTGTGATGAGTCATTGGTGAGTAAAGCACAGTGTATATAGCCTTCTAGTTGAAACTCGGAAGCAGGGAACATGCTTCACGTTCAGGCCTGCTTCTTTTTATGTCAGTGTCCCAGGGGAATTGTTTGTAACTAAAAGCATTTTTAGGAAAAAAATAGTACATGTTAAGGCTTTTATGTGATGGATGTATAATGCCCATCTGAGAAAGTTAAAATAACCAGTCTTCTGCCAGTAACAGAATATAGACAACTGATGGTCATCTTACTACTATTCAGTGATTTTTATTAGCTAAAGGTAGACATACTATTCTGTTTAAAACATAGATGAGTATTTTGAACTTTACTTTGGGCCAGAGGGATTATCTGAGAATTGTTTAAAAATGCTAACATTTTGTAATTTTAAAACTTTATCTGGAAATAGAAATGCAACTTTCTTTTATCTCTGTTGTGTGTGTAGGTTAATTTAAAACAGGGAGTTGCCAGCCACAACGTGATTCCAGATGGTTATGATTTTGGTAAGTCTTACTTAATTGTAATACGCATTCATAATTCTAATTTTTAGTGCATCTCTGAGGTTGTCACTTTGGCTGTTACTCAAAAATCTTAAAAAGGAGTGTAGTGTAAGCCTGGAAGAGTAACTGTCTTTCTGACAGTAAATACTGTATTGTATAGGTAGCCTTAAAAAAGCCTTGATAAAAGTGAGTCATGTATCATTCTAATGGGTTCTAATGGAATACTGTACATAGATCATCGTTCTTAGTAGCCATTGATTAATTCTTGTATTTAAAAAGTTTAGAATAGCATACGCACTGGGTAAGTTTAGTGAATTCAGATATTTTTGAGTATGTTTTTCAGTGCACCTGCTTTATGCAAAATATCTTCTTTTCATGAGAGGTGGAAACACTAATCAAACAACTTTGAAACTAACTTTGTTTTTGTTGGGTTTTTTTGTTTGTTTTTTTGTGGTGGGACTAACTAAAGTTGTATTGCTTTGAATATTGCTTGTTGAAGTCACATTGGCATTACTCAAACATGGTGGTAGTTAGCTTTCCACTGTATGGAAAATACTTGGTTTGTGTTTATCATGTGCATCTGTGTGATTGTTTAGAAACTGTTCACAAGTCTGAATGCCCTTGGAAGTGGCTTGTTCTCCAGCAGGAAGGTCCTCAGTTCACTATGGACAGGGTTAAAAAAGACACTGTCAGTTTTATGCTGCTGCCTTCACTAAAAGGAGTCTCTGTCTGTGTTGACTGACAGAGAACTATCTAGTAATTTCTTCTAATTTCTTACCAATCTTTTTTAGTTGCTGGCTTTGTATTTGCAAAAAAACAAATGTTAAATGTTCTAAGTTGTTTAAGGCTTTATGTAGTAAGTCTAAAATAGGTGTATGTAAAGTTTAGGATTCAAGATTAACACTATTTACATTCAGCAGTTCCATCAGAGGTGCTGACTATGCTGGTGATCTGCAGCAAATGAAAATTTGGTCCCATTTGGGACAAGTCTTTAGATTAAAACTTTGATAGGAAGGTAATAAGCATGAAGTCTAATTTTATCACTTCATGTAAATACAAATATTATACTTCCATAAAAGAACCATAAAAAGATAAAAATCATAAAAAATGAAGTTTAGGAAGCTAAATACAGAGAGAAAATTAATTCAAATGCTACCATATAGAGGTACAGCTGGAAGTTTAACGGTTTCTTCTTGAAAAAAATGCATGTTTCCACTTGTATGAACCTTTCAGAGAATCTGGAATATTTGATATGTAGGTAATTTATCAGTATTTTTGCTGACATGAAGGAATTCGTATTTGATAAAAATAAGATTTACAGGAACACAAGTAATAAAAAAAATTCTTACTATTGGACTAATTGCTGAGGCAGATGAAAATACTGAATTACCATGGCTTCAAATGCCAGATATTGCCAAACTGTGGAACAGATAAAATATTTCTATCTACTCAGATTGTTTTTTCTTGTGATGTGCCTCACTTTTGTGTAGAATGCATGATTTTGTTCCATGCTTATTTGGGCTTGAAATTAAAAATATGGGATGTTTGGTAACATTGTTTAACAATGGTTAAAACCGTTGTGAGTATAATTTATCAAAGAGCAAAGCATTTGTAACAAGAACAACAGCAAAAAAATCTTACGGAATAAGAGTTCCTACAGTGAAATAAATGCTATATTTGAAACTGTCTTGTACTATAAATGTATCATAGCCAAAAAAAATTAAATTTGTTACAAAGTAAACTATTTATTGAAGCATTTGTATGTAATTCAGCATACAAGAAAGTTTGTGGTGGTGTTCTGCAAAAATTTGTTGGATAAATGTTGCCAGAATGAAACTGAAGATTGAGTCTAGATTGTTTTCTATTTTAAGCTGTATTGGTGCAGTACATGTTTTTCAAGTCTAGCGTTTTAAAGCTAATAATCTGGCATAATTTATGATAAATATGTGTACAAGTTATTACAATCATAAATAATTGAATTGCACTTTTTTTATCAACTTGTGTTTTTTAGTATTCCGCCCAATTTCAGCTAAAGCCAAACTCCTTATGAATCCTCGATCTGATGTTGACTTTTCATCACCGAAAATAGATTTAGATGTAAACTTACAGGATATAACTGTTGAATTCAATAAGCCACAGGTACCGACTATTTTTCTGAAGTTATATGTAATGTAGTAAAACAGTTATTTTGCAAGAATAAGGAAGGCAGTCTGAAATTTTATACTGTACATATAGAATCTATTAACTTAGTCTCATTTTTCTTTGTAAGCTTCAAAGAGAAGCTTGATACCTGTTGTTTGCAGAAAGATAATAATGCTCAGTTTGAATTTTTTGCCTAGTACTTCAGTGTTGTGGAGCTTCTTGAGTCTATTGATATGATGACTCGAAATCTGCCATATAGGAAGTACAGACCTGATGTTCCAGTGCATAACAACGCCAAGACATGGTAGGCAACCTTAGATTTTGAAAATAATTTGTTAGTTATTAACCTGAAATAATTATCAAGGAATTGCTTCTTACTTAGGGAGGTTAGAACTCATCTCCTTCTGAAAGGGAGTCATCTTTGTTTTTATAATTTTTTCTTAAGCCAGTATTGTAAGAAGTTGATGAGGACCTCAAACCAAAGCTGAGGACACAATATTTGAAAACCTGTGATTACGGTCTTAAAGACCATTATCAGGAGCTTAAGTCTTATAGTACTTTTATATCATAAATTTGTTTAAATGAAGGCCCCCCCCTGTTATATATTAGGTAGTATTACAAGAGCAAATCTATTACCTAAAAATAGACAAACATTTGCAACACAGATGGCCAGGATTTGGTTTCTTTTCAGAAGATTCCTTACAGATAGATTTTTATTATTCTCAGCATGCATGCATTCTAAACATTCTACAACATCTGTGGGTACTTTTCATACACAGCTAACTTTGAGTTTTAGGAACCGGCAGTCTGTCAACTTTGTGTGGGGAAAAGGAGTAAAATTCTTAGTTCTCTCAGCTGATCAGAAGTGCAGTATTTGTCAGGGGATTTCACTCTTGGCAGCCTGAAGTTCCATTTTGTGACAGTCTGCAAAGTCTTAGGAACCTTTTCACTATCCCCAAAAAAATTTGAGCTATATGTTTGTCTTTGCTTTTAGGTGGAAATACGTTATTTATGGCATCCTTGAAGTAAATGTTCAACCTAAGCTCCAAATGTGGTCATGGGAACATATTTCACATCATAGGAAGCAAGTGAAGAACTATAAAGAGATGTATAAAACAAAGATAACGTCAAAAAAACCTAATGAAGAAATCTTAAAATCATTGGAGGTTAGTAATTTTCTATTGAAGGCTTAAATATTGTTCGTCTTGATACTTGTTCAGACTTAAATAGTAATATGTTCCTAAATCAGTTCTAAGTTAAAATAAAATTTTCAGTGGCAATACTTGCAACTTTGTCACTACCTTTCACACGTGAGGTAAATCTTTAAATTAGAAACTGCAAGACATAGCAGCTTAAACTGATGTGCTATTCCACGTTTGTTTTAAGTTTTCAGATTGAGTGAATTAACTTGGTTTGCAAAAATTGAATTGCTTTCTGTTGTTTCCTGTAAAACTGAGCTATGGAATGTAACAATTTTCAAATTGTCTAAAATAATTTCTCATCTCTCTTCTAGGAATTCGAAAAGACCTTGGATATTTTTAACATCACTCTAGCAAGGCAACAAGCAGAAGTTGAGGTAAAATTGCATCATTTAAATGAGTCTATGAATAACTGAAACATAGCCTTTTAGCTATGGTGATTGAATTGTGTATCATTCAGTCTTTGTTAGTTTTTCAGCTTGTAATTAAGCAAAAATTAAATAACTTCATGTACTCTTTCTTCAAAATGACTTATCTGGGATAAATCAGTTTCTACTTCTGGTGGGAAAGATCTACTGTGGAAAATGTGGCCAAACTCAATTTAGAAACAATTATACCCAAAGCTGTCAGGTTGGGGGGGGGGTGGGGAGGGGTGTCCCTCCCTCCTCCCCACAGTAGCCTAGACTGTTGGTTTATTCTTTTTTTTTTCATGATAGTGTTTTACATTGAGTGATCACCTGCAGTATGTTGTGGCTTTGCAAAGAGATGCAGTGTTTCTATTTGCAAATGTGACTCAGAGTAGAGCAAATGCATAATACATTTAAGTAAATTTGTGCAAATGTGACTTGAGTAGTTACACTTAATTCGTTAGCTTTGTTTTTCCTAGGTTAATGTACTACTTAATTTTACATATAATGTCTTAGCATTTTTATAAGACACTGAAGTGAAATACTTACAGTTTTTCTGAAATCTGTGATCTTTTTCCATTAATAATCAAGGCACCTAGAAGTAAGCAGAATAAGAAGTTTGCCATCTGAAAGGAGGCAGTAATTAATAATTAAACCTTTTTAAATATCAGTTACTGCTTATGACAGTGCTTGAAAGCAATTTAAAAATTTTGATTTTTTAGGGTTTTTGGTATGTGAAGTATATTAAATATAGTATAAATGCAATTGCTCCAGTCACAGATATTGTGCTTCTAACCCAAAACTCTGAAGAGGAATCTAAAAATGTGATTTTCCCTTCTCTTTGTCTGTATGTGTGCCTCCATTTGGATGCATGTTACCATTATCCAGACTGTAACAAAACAAGAAGCAGCATTCATGGCTGTTCCCCTTCAGTTTGTCCAAACTGAAGTGCTTTTCAAGGGGTGGAGGAAGGTTTGGTTTTGGTTTAGTTCTCATTTGATTTTAGAATTGTCTTATCTTGTAGTGTATACTTCTTGGTTTTATCTTTTTCCTCCAACTTTTTGCAAGTTGATGGAAATCCTGATAGATACTTCCTATCTAGTTTTATTCTTCCTTTCCCCAGTTAGATCATGCTGCTTACAAAACATTGTCATATTGCATTCCTAGTACCTTCAGATCCTGAGTTTTAACATACTTTCCTGTAACACTTAAAAACAGGTTGCAAGAAAACGAATTTTCAGTTGTTTGGACTGTAACTCTTGCATTTGAAATATGTTAGAAGTGCATCTTTAAAGATGTGCTAGCTGATTATATGAATATATTTCAAAGTATTGAAAATCAGGTCACAGTGATATGAAGCTGTATTCTCTCTCTTATCTATTTGTCAGGACCCATCTGTGTTACTGTCATCAAGTTATACCTTTGTAAAAAGATTCAAAGGACCTAGAAGAGACAAATCTACTACTAGTTTGGTATCCTGAGTTAGCCTTAAGTCTACCAGGTGTTTAAAGGAGCACCCATTAGATGTGGGCTGAGTAAAGCCAGGCAAACGATCTTGCTGTTTGCAAAGCTTTTCTGTTTCTTATAAACATACCTAAGAGTTGAATTTCAAGGGTTTACTTTTCTATAGACCTTGATATCAAGCTCCTCAGAAATCACATTTGTGATCACAGTGCTGATTTTCAGGCAACTTTTTAGCCAGAACTTTATATTCCAAACCTCAGACCACGTCTGCTTCTTTATCTTGAGTGTTTGAAGTACCAAATAGTAGCTTCAGTGAGCTAAGCATCAAGTTTCTATATCAGCTTGAGAAATGTTATCCTTTCAACCCAGGGCAGACTTTTAGTATTTACCTAAGTAAGAACACAGGATAGACTCATGGAATCATTTAAGTTGGAAAAGATCTGGAAGATCACCAAGTTCAACTATTAACAGGGAAGTGCTAAGTCTACTAGTAAACCGTGTTCCAGAGCACCACATCTACATGCCTTTTAAATACCTCCAGGGATGGTCACTCAACCACATCCCTGGGCAGCTTGTTCCTTTGCTTGGCAACCCTTTCAGTGAAGAAACTTTTCCTAATAGCCAATATAAACCTTCCCTGGCAGAACTTGAGGCTGTTTCTGCATGTTCAGTTGCTTGTTACTTGAAGAGACGAGGCTGACCTACCTGGCTACACCCACCTTTCAGGTAGTTCTCTCTTTTAGTCTAAGTAGTTGACCTTGCTGGTTAAGCTTTGTCTATGACTGCATTGATTACTAAACCATTGTAAATGGAGGACAGGGAAAGTACAAGAGGATTCTTCAGCAAAGTTTTGTAGTTGCCATACTGCACAGATTTTTTTTTTCTTCATCTTTGCAGAAGTGGCTTCTGTCTACAGTCTTTCTTACCCTGGGCTGTGATGCCTGCTTCTGCCTCAGGCATGCTAAGAGTTATAGCTTTGAACATCACTTATTCTCCCTGGCAGTTGTCCTTCAGCACCAACTCTCCAGTACCCCAGATACCTGTAATTTTGCAGAGTTAACTCTTTTTGTCTAAGGCTGGTCTGCTTTTTCTTTGGGTCATTCACTCTGTAACATCTGCTTGATGACATGGCAACCTTTATAAAGAGGACTTTTGAGTTCTTTGTTAAAATTTTTTGAAGTCTTGTGTTGTTAAGCTGACATTTTACATCATCTCTGAGGTGAATCAATAGTATAAATCCAGAAGCCTTTACAGTTTTTTACTGAGTCCTGTCTTTCTTTGGCCAGTAGGTATGTAGATGTGACAAGTCCCTACAGAGTACTGATTTATAGTTGTCTGTTTTTCCTAATTGTGTTGCAGAGATGTTTGGGTTTTGAATGCTGAGGAGGGATCCCTGTCTTACTTTCACTGAAGTGTCTTTAAATTTAGGGCTTATATGCAACTGTTTGTATATTTTTGGATTGTATTAATCATGAAGAAAGTTAGTTTGTGTTGATCACTACAGTTCTAAGAACAAATTTGTCACTTGGATCACTTGATATTTGTTTGCCATCCCCATGATGAACTTTTAGTGGTCAGTTTTGGATGTAGTCTATACTTTCTGTGAGTACCTAGCATTTGTGAGGACCACTGCACTGGCATCAGATAGGGCATCCCCTTGTTGTGGAAATAATGAATGTGGGCAAAAGGAAGGCTTACTTACTATTCTAACTGTATATATAACATATAGGAATAGTTAGAGTAAATATTGTACTATGAGGGTAAATACCTTTTAAATTTCTTAGGGTATCCATCTTGAAGTGAAAAATATAGGGCTGATGTAAAATTTGACCTGTAATGGCTATTTAATTGCTTACATATGTATTTTAAATTATTCTTTAGAAAGCTGTTGAATATAATGTTCAGAGTTTTTTATGGCGAGAGCTGGAGAGAAAATCTGCTATGTAAGAAATGTTTATTGACCTTTTACATGCTCTGCTCTTTTGTAAAGGTAGTTGTTGTTATGCTAAATAAAATTGGTCCAATAATACACTGTGTACTTGAAAAAGTGACTAGAAGGAAAAAACAATATTTTGCCTTTTTAATGGTTGTCTAGTGCTGTTCTGATTTGTTGGAGCTGCCTTGGGCAGAACTTCCTCTTTATTAGGAAAATAAAGGAAAAGTGTGAAGAAAGTTACTTACCTGAATGTTTTTTAAATTTAAGGCAACTAAAGCTGGATTGAAAATCTACAGACCAGGAGTAAAACAAGATGATGAAAATTCTGGTGGCTGGTTTAGCTGGATATGGAGCTGGTCGGGTGAAAAAAAGGATGAACAGAGCCAAGAAATAAAGGGTTCAAGTATGATAATTTACTGGTATTCTTTTTGTTACTAGGACTCTAATAGAGTCCTAAGTATCTAGCAGTGGAACTCATTATCAAATTATTGGTGTTTACGTTTTCTTTTAGCCTTTTCTTTTGCTGGTGTAATTGTTAATTGCATGTAGCAGAAGTTGTACAATTGTACAACTCCTTCTGTTGTTCCTTCTGAACTGTGTTCAATACAGCTGAAATTAATGGAATGTAAACAATTTAACTTGCATACATTTTAAAATTTGTCTATTTCATGCCATGTATAATCATGTTTGATTTATGAGGCACCTACTAAAAATTATGGAACATAGAAAGTAAATCAGAAAGGCTGTTTCTGTTGTTAGTAAGCTAGAAAGTAGAATAGGTAAGGAAAAAATTTTAAGAGCATTTTAAAGCATGCTTTAGATTGGGAAGACTTGGCTTTAAACTCCAGGGTATTTCCTTCCAGTAATTCAGGACAGTAATTTTGACAGTATCTACTGTATATCATGGAGTTAGCAAGCACAGGAAAGTGTTTAACAGTATTTGCGTTTTTCAGATACCTATTCTGCATGTATAATACATATGCATAATTTAACTAACCTCTTGAAATGTGTCAGGTCTTGAACAACTGATGACACAGGAAGAGAAGGCTAAACTTTATGCAGCAATTGGATATAGTGAAACAGCTGTGGATCCAACTCTTCCAAAATCAGTAAGTCATTGCTGGCTGTATGACAACACGCAGTTGGTATCTTTATCTACTAATAAAAATCTATAAAGGTGATAGGAAATCAATTTTAAATTACTTGAAGCTCTGTCTCTGTATTTGAATGCTGCTGTTCTGATACGCTTTATGAGGTTACTGCATGCTGGTTTTATGTGTAACAGCTTCCTTAGACGCTGTTTCAGTATAGTGATTATAAAGCTTACTTTTGGAATTCTGAAATAGTAAAGAATATATTTGTGCTTGTTCTAAGAAGAATAAGATCCTAAATGTAGTGTATTGTGGTTTAAACACTGAAGTATATTCATATATTATCTTACAATATTCAAAAGTTTTTTGAGAAAATGCACTTCTTAATGAAGTATCAGGAAGTGCACTGGAATCTAAAATATGTGCAACAGTAGATGAGGTAGAATAAGTGAGTATATAAAGAAAGAGATGATTCAAGGATTGTAATGGGGAAGAACAACATTTTGAATCGTTCAGAAATAGTATGATAAATCAACCTTTTGTGAGATACCAAGGATGGTATGATGAACTGCATCAGAGGGTCTTTATCACAAAATATGGTAAAGATATCAAAGACTCATGTTTGTAAGGATACTCTACTCTTTAGTTTAGCCTTGCCTCTTCGTAGACTTTTACACCAGCTGTGGTACAAACTATACATGAAAGCAAGCTTAGTTGCAGCTTTCATCTCTTCATAAACTGTATCAAGATGTTCATTAATGTATTTTATACTCCTGTGTTGTTGTCTTTCTGGCATATCTAGTATGAAGCCATGAAGTTCTCTGTGAACTTACTAAGCATGTCGATATCAATAAGAGAAAACAAGCAAACTCCTACGCTAATAGAAATTGCATTAGCTGACTTGAGTACAGTATTTACTCAACGGCCAGGTGCACAAGCAATAAGGTGAGCTTTCTCTATCAAACTGGTTTTGCCTTTCATTAAATGATGATGAGGATGACTAGTAGGCATTTTAAGACTGTGTTATGGTATTTAAGTGCCATTTCTTGTGCAGTTTGGAGTGGAACCATTCTGTGGCTAAGGGATGAATCATGGATATTCTTTCCATGATAGAATACTTTGCATCTTCAGAGGTCTTTGTGCTAATATGGTTATAGTCCTTTGTTTTTTTCAAGTTTGTCATCCTTATGTGCAAACAATCCAGCTACTAACTTGTAAATTACTTTGAAAAGTGACTGTTAAGTTTCCTTTTGAAACTTAACCTGAGTAAGGTGATCTTACAACCACTTGTCTGTGGGCATTTAACATGACTGAAAAGTTCTTGTATTCCCAGTTCACTTTTAGATTTGTGGAAGAAGGATGTAACTGATGATTTTTCCTTTGTTTTGTGCTCTCATAGTAGGTGTTGAAAAGCATCTACTGAAATATTTCAATTTGATTTCAAATATAGTGTCTTAAAAATTCTGGGAGAACGTAACCCTTCTGTTTTAAACCTTGTTCCTTCTACTTTGAGACATACAAGTATAATCTAGGTATGATATTAAGATACTATTGATCTTGATTAGTTTTACGCATAATTTTTTTCAAGTTTTGCCTCTGCCTTTTCTGTTGGCACTCTTGTGCATCTAAATGGCCCTGACAGTGCTATTGTACTAAGAAAAAGGGAAAAAATAACATTTTTTGCAGTGAAATATTTTTCTTAGAGTGTTGTGAGATAAAAAATCTTAAGCTGAGAGCTGTTGCAGAGGTGGATAGCATATTGAAAAAAAAAAAAATCCTGGACGTGAAAAGTACCTTTTGGAGTAATGAAAATGTATGTCTTTGTTTCTTTCATTTCTCTGCACTAGAACCCTTTTCTCTCTGCTGTATGTCTGTTTTCCACTATAGATATACCTTCTAATTCCTGAGGTCATACTAAAGAATTCCCATTTGTATCTCTTACCTGCCCTGACACCTGTCCTCATGAAAAGTGTATGAAGGAAATAACTTGGATGCCCTTTTGTATTTCGACAGGGGCAGCTAATAGACACAAAAGATAATGAAATGGAAAACAGTTTACACATGGATGTTTATATTAAGTCTTTAGAATAAGCTATTTATAGTTAAGGTAGGGTAGAAATTTATTTTACTGGTTTGTGTTTTGGTTTCTTTCAATCTAATTTTTTATACCCTTACCATCTAATTGTACTTAGCCAGATGGATATTGCATCTGAACAGTCTGCTTACATTTCTTTACAGGTTTGAAACAAAAATTAACTCACTTGAAGTTACAGGTGTATCTCAAGAAAAGTGTACACCCCGTCTCCTCTCTTCTCGAACTGTCTATTCGGATGAGAGTACTTCACTTTTAAGCATAATGTTTGAGACTAATCCTTTGGATGAGAAAGCAGATCAGAGGATTAGGATAGAATCGCAACCACTGGAAATAGTGTATGATGCAGTAAGTAAATATTTGAATAAGCTATAAATCATCAAAAATCCCACTTAATAGTAAATTTACCAGGTTGTTTTTTTTTTTAACAGGTGACAGTAAATAGCTTAGTGGATTTCTTCAGGCCTCCTAAAGATGTACATTTAGAGCAATTGACATCAGCAACTCTGATGAAACTTGAAGAATTCCGTGAAAAAACGTCAACAGGCAAGTGCTGCAATGCTCTTCCGATGGCACACTCAAAAAAATTTTAGATCGTAGGAGTGTTAAAACTGTATCTTTCCTTATGGAGATGTGTGCATCCAAGTCATAGCTTTCTAACACACCATCAAAATAAGCTGAATTATTCAATCTCATTGCAATGTGTTTATTCTAGGTATTGAATAATTTATGTTTGTATCTTTTTTAACTTCAACAATTTCTGCTTACTTGTAAAATATGCTCCAAAGCTATAGATAATATTTCAGTTTTTTTGCTCCATACAGAGTTAAAAGAGTTTGATACATCTATTTTTTTCATCTCATATGTAAAATCCCTTAGTTATTTAATATTCTTCAAATACTGATTCTGGGATATTAGTCCCCTATGTTAACCTCTACATCCTTTTCAGATTCCTTGTTTTTCAGGACATCATGCCTTTGTATAGGTGTTTTCAATTTTCTGACTTCCTTGATGAATATTGATTTGGATTGACTCAGTTCAAGTTATATAAACTACATTTATCTGCCTTCCAACTGCTCAGTTTTACAGCCGTTTCACTAGTTTTCATTTCATCCTGTTTATCTCTAGAGATCTTGTATTTTAAGACATGAATGCAAATGCTGAATACTGTGAAGACTAACACTGAGATCTGTGGAATTAATTAGTTCCAGTAAGGATGTCTGAGATTTAAATCAGAGATGTGTCCAGCATAGTGTCCTGTCTCTGTGGATGGGAGTGGATGCTGGGGGGATATTTCTTTTATAAATTATTTTTAAAAGGAAAAAAAACCCCAATTGATGTTTTCTAAAACCTCTTTTAATTTTATAACCTATTAATAATTAAATTGTAAGTATAAAAAAATCTCAGTACTCAAGTGATAGAGATTTAAAGAAAACTCAAGAAAAATGTTTATTTAATTGCTGGCTTTTATCAGGCTGGTATTGGGAGGGAAATCAAGTGTCAATGGTATTTTTATTCATTAGTTCTTCTGTTCTTCTTTGAATGAGCTATTTAATTAAGGACTAAGATTAACCAGAATTATGTGCTTGCTTTTCTGTTTTTTTCAGAAATTTCTTGATTGATATTGAGTATATTGATACAACAGGTTATTGTTCATTTCTCAGATGAAATTTTAAATTTGCTTAGATAGAATATGCTTGGTTCTCTGCTCATTAGCACCAAATATAGTGGTGTTGATAATAATCCATTTTTTTGTGGAAATATGAAATCATGCTCTGTGTTTATTCCATTTTAAGCATATTACTGTAGAGGTATATCCAATACTGTTTGTACCCTCACAAGACTGCTGAGTAGCCCAGAGCAACTTAAAACCTTGTTCCAATTACAAATGAAAAATTTGATGGGAATTTCTAAAAATACGTGGTGCATTGCTTGTAAAATCTTGTCTGAGTCTTAGAGAATTGCCAGGGAAAAAAAGATTAGATCTGCAGAATATTTTGTTGCAGGGACTATGCTAATCTCAGAGGTAGAATAAGAAAAATGGGAACATATAAATGTAATTAATATGTTCAGACCTCAAGAATGAGTCCTTAATGCTTTTCTTTGAAGCAATAGAAGGTAGCTGGAAAATATAGGGGAACTGTGAACTGCAAAATTGAAGGAACCTGCTACACTGGAATAGTTACGATTTTCAGCACTAAAACACATTACAAAAGCTTGGTTTACCAGAGCTCAATTTATGTATTCTTCTGTGTTTTCTTCCCAAATAAAAGAAACAAGAAAATATTTGCTTGACCTTTCTACATTACTCAAATTCAATTAGGCAGGGCAAACTGAAATATTTTTTTATTATTATAAGTTGTTTTGTCTTGGAAATGCTGAAATGTAGTTGCCATCCAGTTCTTCACTGACTGGCCTAGCTCTTCTGTGACTGGACAACCTTTGATACTGTAACAGTTTTAATTATTCTCTTGCCAATGGATGTGTTGACTATCATGTTGTCATCTTCATAATTCCTTATCTCTACTTCTGTGATCATCAGCTTGTTGTAAATGGGAAATACTTAATGAGTTGTGGCTGCATCATAAGGCAGTTTCCAGAGCTAACTTGAAGCAATGCCATTCATTCATCTTCAGCTGAGCAAAAAACCAGAATTTGACCTCAAAATTTATAACTGTCTAATTTTCATAACTAATTGCATGATTTTTAAACATAGTTTTTGTAAGATTCTATATTTGCATATCATTGGTATCTCAAGATGGAGATGTTTGTCAGCAGTTTGTGTAAACTTGTGTATTTCAGTGTCAATAAATACTAGCAGTTTCACCAGTGTGGTGTATTCCCCCAATAAAAAATTCTAAAGCAATTAAATTTCTGAATGTATGGGATATAGTGGGTTAACTCAGTAATTTCAAAGTAGCAGTTCACATTCCATTTCTTCTCATTTCATCTCTGCCCAGTGGGAAACTTTTTTGAGTTTGCATATGTCATGTTGTTGTCCATACTTGTCAGTTGGTACTGTTTGCTATCATGATTTCATCTACTCTATGCTTCTTTAAGGAGTGTCTGTAATGAATTGTTCAGAAAATATATGAAGAGAATGTGTACCTTATTTATCTAGCTTACAGTGCTTATTTAAAGTTAGACCTGATTTTATATTTATCGCTTTTTAAAGATCCTATAGGTTCTGTATTAATTACTTCTGTTTCTTTATATTTAATAATTGTACTCTTTTTTCAGGTTTGTTGTATATTATTGAAACCCAGAAAGTTCTTGACCTCAAAATAAACCTCATGGCTTCATACATTATTATTCCACAAAAAGGATTCTATGATCATACATCAAATTTACTACTTCTGGATCTTGGTAGTTTTAAAGTATGTATTTACTCAATGCAGTATTTTACAAAAAATAATTCTTTTTACCTGATTTACCAAAAATTCAGCTTTTACCTGATTTTCAGTATCTTAATTTGAATTTTATGGTAGTGATTAAGTAAAAGTATCTCTTGCAGTTTATGTATTAGGTATTTATTTTAGAGTGCTTTCTAGTCAAGGCAGAAGTTACTGAATTCTTCTCAATAGATTTGTTCAATGCAAATTCTTTTCTAGCAAAAGAATTGCTAGAAAATACTCCTTCCCTAGTATGAAACTGCTGTGGATACTTTGGACTGTTACATGGAAAATACCTAGTAACTTTTTACATTGCCTTACAATATAAAATAGTGAACTTCTTTCTTACATGATTAAATGGTATTGTTATTTTTCCTATTATTATTACTTGCCCTTTAGTCACTGAATTTACTTTAAAATGAGTAAAGTAAACATATTGGCAATTTTAAAGATAATTTGGATTAAATTAGAGGAATGTTTGAGATAATGATTTATCTTTTTGACTTTTCCCTTGCATAAAGTATGTAAAATTATAATTTATCTTTATAAAATAGAAATAGACTTTAAAAGAAAAGAGACTTTTTCCATATTATTAGTAATCTTCTTACTCACTGATGAACTTGTGCTTTTCAGGATAAATGATCTTACATGTGTACAGGCAATTTACTTTTTTTTACTTGTACTCTGGGTAAGGTTGATTCTGACGCTTATTATCTGTTTAGATTGCTGTCTTTTTTTTAATAAAAATTTATTTCAAATCTTAAAATCTTTCTAAAGAGAGTTAGTTCTCTATGTAATTTCCACATAATTACCCTCTGAGCATGTGATTTCAGTTAGAATTATGGAATGGTTTGGCTTGGAAGAGACCTTTAAAATTGAGTTTAACCTCCCTGTAATGAGCGGAGACATTTTAACTAGATCTGGCTCCTCAGCCACTTGTCCATCCTTACCTTGAATGTTCCCAGGCATGGACATCCACCCCCTCTCTGGGCAACTCATGCCAGTGTCTTGCCATTGTAAGAAAATTCCTTGCATCTAATCTATATCTACTCTTAGTTTTAAAGTGTTACCTCATGACTTGTCAGAACAGGTCCTGGTAAAGTCTGTTACCATCTTTCTTTTTGGCTCACTTTAAATACTGAAAGGCTGCTGAAACATCTCTCCAGAGCCTTCTCTTCTTCAGGCTGAACAACACCAACTCTCTCTGCCTTTTTCTTAGAGGAGGTGCATTCTGTCCCTCTGATCATTTTTCTGGCCCTTCTCTGGACCTGCTTCCACAGGTTACAGCACTCCAGGTGAGGAGCAGAGTAGAGGAGCAGAGTAGAGGAGCAGAGTCCTCTCCCTTACCCTGATGGCCACACTGCTTTGAATGCAGCCCAGGGTATGTATGGCTTTCTGGGCTGCAAGTGCATGTTGTCAGGTATCATCCAGCTTTTCATCCACCAGCACCCCCAGGCCCTACTCCATAGAGGAGCTCTCAATCCCATTGCCAGCAGCCTGTATTGATCACTGAACTATTGAATCCCTTTGATTGGAAGAGATATATAGGATTCTTGAGTCCAGCCATTAACCCAGTAGTGGCAGGTCCACCACTGAGTTATGTCCCTAAGTGCTTTATCTACGTGTCTTCTAAATTCCTCCAGGGATGATGACTCGACCAGGTCCCTGGGCAGCCTGTTCCAGTGCTTGGTAATGCTTTCAATGAAGAATTTTTTCCTAATACCCATTCTAAACTATCCCTGGTACAACTTGAGTCTGTTTCTGCATGTTCAGTTGCTTGTTTCTTGGGGTAAGAGATAAATTCCCGCCTATTATCCCCAAGAGCTACTGACTCCTTTCAGGTAGTTTTAAGGCAAGGGCCTGCCCTACCTCCTTTTCTTCAGACTAAAGAATTCTAGCTCTCATGGCTACTCCTCGCAGGACTTGTGATATTTTCCCACTTTTGTTGCTCTTCTCTGGACATATTCCAGTACCCCAATGTCTTTGTTACTGTGAGGAGCCCCAAATAAAGTATGGTATGCAAGGCGCAACCTCATCAGTGCCAAGTACAAGGAGACAATCCTTTCCCTTGTTCTGCTGGCCACACTATTGCTGTTGGCCATCTGGGCACTGACTGGCTCACATTCTGACTCCTGTGAATCAGCTTGACCTGCTCCCTTCCTCCCTGAGCTGTATCATTAAGCAGAGGGATTCACTGCCTGGGCACACCTCCCACAGGTGTGCCCACTGCTGCTGTCTGATGTTGGCATGAGAGTCAGGCACATCCTGCAGCCTGCACCTGCATGACAGCATGTTCCCACCAGTGTTCTGATCAAATGCATCTGTTGTGGTGGTATCATGCTTTGGTAATAGAGGCTGCCCCAGTCCAAGTGTAGATCCATGCAATAGGTCACGTTTAAAAAGAATGTGTTGGATTGCTTCAGAAAGTGGAATTAGTGAAGAATACTGCTCTGTAGATACAAAAAATTGTGATCTGGTTCTAAATCCAAGTTATTTCAGTGACAAGTAATTTCACGAGCTCCTCTGAATATTGGTTATTTGTAGGCAGTTTGTAGAGTTGGCACTTTGTAGCTGTTTGTGTGCATGAGACAACCTCCTGGATCTAATCCTAAATCTAATAGCCCACCTCCATTTCCATCCATACAAGATGGATTCTTGGTAGAACTGCATAGAAGGATACATTTCAAAATCACTTCAGTGTGTCTGTGAGATCTTTTTCCTGAACTGGATGAGTAATTTTTGTAGTGAATGTGACTCCTAGATTGGTTCCTCTGATTTAGTAGAAATTAGAAATATCATAAGAGAAATTTCAGTTGCCTCTCAAGACATGATTAGTAATTCTGTGTTCACTTGGAGTGACATATGCTTAAGTGAGAGATGGGTCATTTGTTGGATGACTATGCTTAACACAAAATAAATAGTCTTTTTCCCTCAGTTGCATACTGGGAAAGATCAAGCCCCAGGAGGAAAAATGGCATGTAAAATTAAAACTGTGTCTCACTAGATAAATAGGGTTATTAATTTAGTCGTTCTGAGTTTGCATCTCTAAGTTATTTTTTACATAAAAGTTACAATGGACTTAGAGTCCAGCAGTACTGAAAAATAAATGCTGTGTCTTGGATGCTATTTTTTAAACCTCTTTTAGTTTTTCTGAATATTACCTGGGTTTGACAAAACCAAATATGAATAAAAAATTATTAGACATATAAGGATGAGGACAGACACATTTCATCAGAGATGAACATCAGAGAGGGCACATACAAATGTGAAATACCAGAGATGTATGGGTGTTTCAAACCTGAATCAAAGGAATATTGACTGATATTAAAGGAAAGACATTGATGATGAACAGTCCAAATAATCTTTTCCTCTCTGTGTCAGAACTGAATTCAACAGGGTTCAGAAATAAATTTCATGTGTCTGAGTTATTTAATGCAATAATATTTTATATATAAAAATTCTGAATAATTATGCTACTGGTTTCAAAGAGTTTGTGACTTTATACTTTGGAGTATAAGCCACTTATTAAAGAAAATTACTCTGTACAGAGTACATAGTGTATTTGAATTAGTTTTTTATTTCTTTCTTTGAGGAAGAGATGCTGTTAATACTCTGGTTTTTGTTGCAGTGCAGGCTAGGAATTTTAGATATTAGCTGCTGTGCTGTGATAGTTTTAAGACTCTGACCTATAGTGAGGACTGAATAATTATTTGTGGTAGGAACAAGTATTTGTAGAATTAGTGCTTTGAATATTTCTGAAATTGATTTCTGCTTTTTTTTTTTTTTTTTGCCTGATTTAAGATGAGGAGCAAAAGTCGTTCTGATTTATCGGAAATCAAAGTAGGACAAACCTCTATTGAAGATATAATGTCAAGAGCTTATGACAGTTTTGATGTCCAGCTCAGCAGTATGCAGTTACTGTACAGCAAACATGGCAAGTATTCCTGAAAGTAATCTTTCTCTATAGGACTAAATATAAGGTGGTGGTTGTTATGCCACATATTTTTTGCTGAAACAGTGGAGAATCTTTTGGAATGTACTTCTTCAAGCATAAGTATTCTTAATTCAGTACTGTGAACATGTTACAGATTTCCAAAACAAACCTTTAGGACTTAATTCCAATCTAAGCAAATTTGTAATAAAATTCCTTTTGTTAAAGACATTTCATTTGATTTGTTGCATAATAAAGGTAAGACTGTATCTACTTTGTTTATGGTATTTTCCTTCAGTGCCTTTGCTTTTCTCCAGATTTAAAGCAAAATCCACAAGTAGTTGTAGGTTTGATCATTTTTTTGAGAGTAAAGAAAGAATGAGAATCAAACTACTTCAAGAACTGGAGTCAATTTACTTCAATAAGGTATCAAAGGAAACTTTAGTATTTTGGGAACTAGCAACATAGAGTCAGTTATAATCAGAGATGTCTTAAGCATTTAATTCTTAATCCTGTGATTCTAGGGGAGAATCCAGAGCCTAAACTCCCAGTACCATGCATGTTAAGAACTGTGTCCTTAGAAGTCTACCCCTGGATGGGGTAACTGGGTAGATGAGACTAGGATAAATTCGTAATTAGTCTTATATTTTGTGTGTATAAATATATCTGTTGATAGAACTTTAAAATATGGCATCTGAATTTTTAGCAATATATACTGATATCAGATACTTGAATTCTGTGATGTGTACTGAGAAGGAATTTCTTTCAATGTTTAAAGTAGGTTTTCTCTGCTCTTCTAGATGAGAACTGGCGAGAAGCTCGGAAGCTAAAAAATTCATCTCAGTGTATCTTGCAGCCTTTGGATGTAAAACTGGAATTTAGCAGGGCTATGGTTGTTACAGATGCAAGAATGCCCAGGTATATATTTTTCCTAATTTTGAAATTTTATGGTAAATTACTTTTTTGAGGGGAAAAAGAGGGAAAAAATAAGCATCTGGTCATGCCTGTGTGCTTTTGCATTGGCTATATTTAAATCTTGGAAGTAAAATACATTTTTCTAGAAAAACAGAAAATGAATTAAAATAAGTTTTCAGACACTGAAAAGGTGATAGAATATTATAATACTATGTTTAACATATTTAGAGATTCATATTAAAGATATTACTGTCCCTTCTAATTCAGTCTTCGTAATAGCTACATTTCAGTTCTCATTCCAAATACCAAGGAGCTAAAAATCTGAAATTAAAATCACTTCTATAAAAACCAAGAAATATTTTGAAAAGTAATGTGCTGTCAAACTCCCTCTCTTTTCATTTGGCTTATTGCTCTGGTTATTTTACCTGCTATGGATCACTTCTCCAAGAAACAGCTCTTAATGCACTGAGTTCTGACTTAGGGTTTTCTAGCAAAATTTTATTAGTTAAGGAAATTGTAGCAATCAAAAGAAAATAATTAACTGTTAGTAACGATTGCATGGTGTAGTGCTGCCACCTTCTGGAAACCTTAGAGGCCAGATTCTGCATTTTGATACTTAAAACTGACATCTTAATGTTTTCCCTCCTTGCTTTTCTCTGTTTGGTGAAGAAGATCAAATAAGGGGAATGCAATTAATGGGAATCTTTTTATGTTAGAAAGTGAGATTTCATTTCTATGGTCATATAACAGAATGAAATAATTTTAATGTAGATTTGTAATTCACATCTCTCAAAAATTACACAGTTGTAACCTGGATTAAGGAGCATCTTCTCTTAATGAGTACACTTATAACAGTATTGTACTACTTCTTGTCTAACTGTCTTGGCTACCAGGTGTGCTTTGGCAGTTAATGTGTCCAAACTGATTCTGGAAAATCTCTGCCTAATTTTTCTCTGTATCACATTGGGCACAAATGATAAAGATTAACTGTAGCTTTTGTCTTTTAGCAAGAATCCTCTGAACTGTAAATTTGAACAGTTGAATAGGGTAATATGCTCACATCAGCTACATATATATATATAAATGTATATTTAGTGTACATGTATCTATTCCTTTTTATGTCAGTTTTTGCAAGTATACTGTAGACCCAGTATTATGTATTTCCAGTGTTTTTTTATAAATATTTGGAACTGTATGCATAGAACAGCATAGTTCTGTTGAGAAAAATGAATGGAAAGATGTTGGTTTTACAGCAAAACCTAGTACCAAAATTGTTGTTTAATGTAGTAGATTTTTAGAAACTAGTTTCTTAGTTTGGAAGGCCCCTGTTATACATTTAGGCATCTGAAAAGCAGATGATTGGGTGTCTCTATTTTTTGATTCCTTGATTGTATGTCTTTCAGTGACCATTGGACTAATTTGAATTCCTTGCGATTTTATTGTTCAAAACACTAATGGATTTACTGGGCTTTGTCCTGACTTTGTTTATAAAGGCACAATTCTATATTGCTGCCTTGAGGAAAATACTAATTTAGGAAAATTTGTTAATGACTACTGTATCAAAGTATTTTCACTGTTCATCTGTATTTTCATCTACTCATACGTGCTGGTTGGATATGAATATCTGCATTTCTTTCATTTCTGGTAATAGGATGCTCCTTACAGTTACTGTTGCTTCACATTTGGAAGCACTAATACGATCCTGTAATTTTGTAGCCTGTGTAATATTTTTTTTAATGTTTGTTTTATCCTGTTGTATGGTTCCTCCATTTTCTGGAGGAAGGTGGCTGAGAGTCTGTCATGATTTTTGAAGGTGTATGAAGAAAGTATTAAGATAACAATATTAAGAGCATCCTGTATAATAGCATTCAGTATAAACACAATAAAAATTCCAGGGTGAAGGAATATTATTTGCAGCTTTGAGGATGGCATTCTTTTAACATTTCTTTCTCTCTGTTCACAACCAGTCTGAACTTGAACGAAGCTCTGCACAAATTTCCTCATCAGTTGAAGTACTTAGCTTCTTCATGCCTCAGTCTCTACAAATGGGGTGTAACTGATTCTTCATACAGAGGTTTTCCAAACCGTAGAAGCATTTGTTTAAAAAGCAGTTCAGAGAGCCCAGATTATTTGCAGTTGTCTGCTTTATATCTGCTGTGTGCCTTCCTTCTAAGTGTATGGGCTGTCTGTTGTACAAACACTCATCAAAAATGTTTTAACAATTTTCACAAATTTTTGTAGAGTGGTTTAAGTGCAATGAAAATGAGAATTGCTATTGTATATTTAATTGCTATTGCTTCTTCAACAACTGAGGAGCACAGTAGAGAGACAGGTCCTTCAAACCTGGGTAGTTACACACCTACCTTAACCTTCTCCATAAAAACAAAAGACCAAAAAGGAGGGTGGGGAAAGGGTCTAAATTTCTCTCTGATAGAACTGGAATTAAGAATAAGAATAGTAGTTGAGAATTAATCTCGTAAATGTAAGGATGTGAAGAAATTCATAAACTGAAGAAAACTAGCTACTGTCACAGTTTAACATGTACAATTTTGTGCTTCTTTAAGTGTCAGAAGCTCTTTTTTCAGATACTCTCATACTATCAAAGTTGGCTGAAATGGATTGAAAATTCAGAGCCTTTTGTTTTCACATCTTCTTCAGTCTTATGTTTTATGTTGCTTTGAAGACTCAGATGTGAGTTAAGCACATCAAAAGTGGAAGGAAGTAGCTTGTCTTTTTCCTCATACACTATGCAATAAGCATCTGGTGCTACCTGTTAGCTGTTGAACAGACCTCTTTATCTGTTCTAACTAGAAGTTGTAATAAAAGCAGAATATGTTCTTTGAACAAATTTTCTGCTTCTGTTACACTTACTAGTATGAGAAACTAAGTTGTGTTTTAAGTCTTTAAAAACTCAGTGCGTGTTTGACATGATTCTGCTTATATTTTGGCCAAACCCTAGTCAAATACACTTAAAATATGTTATACTGTTTTCTTTTTAAAAGATGGTTATTTTATTATTTTATGCCCCTTATTGCTATATGTTTATTCCTTTGTTAAATATTTAGACTACTACTATAGTCCGCTGAACTATACATGAGTTCTAGGAAGTATTTTGTATTCTTTTTTTTTGATGTTTGAACCCTAAATATTAATATGCAAAAAACCCCTCCACCTTCTTTTCTCTAAAAGACCATGTAAAAGCTCAGTTATGTGATTTATTCTAAGTAATTAAATTAAATGCATGAACAAGAGGGAACAATTTCTGATTGAAAGGAAAATTTGCCTTATGTAGCCTAACCAGAAGTGGTTTTCAGTGCTATTTGTAATCCTGATCCACAAGACTTTGTAGCAAATGGAAATATGGAAATATAAATGATGCTACTAAGTGGGTATTTGCTGATCAAGGAACTTTCCTGTATTCAACAGAAGGGTTGCGCACACACACACACACACACACACACAGACACACACACACGGATACATACACTATACATGCAGTGGTTAGATGAACAATTTTCTGACCAGGAAACTTTCATGTTTTTCAGAAGAAAAATAATGTGAACTTTGATTGAAATAATTTTAAGATTGATTGTTTCAACTGTGAAACTTTTGACTTTGTCTCTTTAAAAAACAGGTTCAAACTGTCAGGACAGTTGCCCTTACTTTCTATCCAAATATCAGACCAGAAGGTGACAAGTATCTTGGAGCTAATTGATAGCATTCCTAAGCCAGAAAGTGCTCCTGCTACCAGTTCTCCTCCAAAAATGACTGAGGTAAGGTTTTTAAAAGAGATCTCATTAAAAATGATCAGAAAAACACCTTCTTGATATTAGCATTCCAGTTTTGGAAGGTGTACAAGACAGTGACGAACAAGCATTGATTCAGTGCGTCTTGGAAAAGTTAGCTCTTTCTCTAAAGATATAGAACGTATTCTTGCTATTTAGTTAATTTATTGTGAACTTTAGCCACTAATTATGAAATAGTTGTCCGGTGTTTGGATTTAAAATAGAACCCCTCAGAGTTTTACTACTATGGGAATTAATTTGTAGTTTATAATAATCTTGACTAACAAACATACTCAGTTTTGTTGAGGATTAGTTTAATTGTACCTTCAGATTTATGCATGTATCAGAGTGCTCCAGAATTTGGGTTCAGCTGTTTCGTGTAGTTGAGAAAACTTTAAAATGGTGTAATTTTTGAAATGCAAGTATTATGTGATGTTAGATGAGAATTTCAAGAGCCAAACAAAAACTACTCACTATCTGTTTTATAAATAATGCCTGCCTAGCAAAAGTAGCAGGTTTTTTTCAGCTGACCTCAGTGCTTTTCCCATTTCAAGTCCATTACACAATGTTTCTCAGCGGTGGAAGTTCTTCTTTGTACTGATTAGGAGTTTGAAGAGTGGTTCTTGCTCTTTCACCACCGCCTTTCCTTGGTGAAAATGATTTGGGTCATTGTTTTATATCTTCTTCAGAACAGAAGTTTGTCCCCTTCCTATTATTCCTGAAAAATGTATTTCCCCTTTTGAGCTGTTCTTAACAAAATTAGGAAATTAACTCACAGTTGCTAATTTTTGATGTGTCTAGTCTGTGTGACCTGGCTATGCCTTTATGTATATGCAGAACATTCCTATCATTAGAATATATGTGAAATCTTAAAAGTCAAAAAAAAAAATTTGGCTCTCCATTTTTCTGCCACTTGTAAATACTTTGAACAGTTATTTAATAACTCATAGCACTTGGTTCTACAGGGCTAGTGGTCATCTTTGTATTCGGGTTTTTTTAGATTATTTGATAATTATCTTTCCATCTTTGTACTAATTATTCTGCACTGTTCTGGAAAGCTGTTGCTGCAGTTTGGTATTTTCTGTGGGTTATATTATTTACTAGCAGTAAATGCAATAATTAGACATACATACCTATTGAAAATATATATAGAATGAAGACAGTTTTTCTTGCCATGGTTCTTTCCATCTCGTTAGTGATGCCATTAAAACGTTAGCTAATTCCGACTTCTTTCATTCTTCATATATTAATAATATATCTAGCCAAAAGCTGCCTTAGTCTCTGGTTTTTGGTGCAAGTAATTGCAGACTAATTTTTTTGAGCATAGGTATTGGGACTTTACTTTTACATAAATAGAATCTGCACGTATAAGATGATGGTCCTGTGCTAATTTACAACGCTGACTATACTTGAATTTAATTATAGAATTCAACTATTACTTCTGAAGTATTTTAGGTGACCTTGAAGTAGTTGATATTACCTGTAAATTAGTTGTGATATATGCTGGATGAGCTGAGGAAAGACTGTAGACCAAGTATAAATATATTTGCATTATATGTGAATCCATATCAAAATTTACCCTTAAACCTCTCTGCTCAAGCTTCCATTTACTTCAGAACTTGACAGACTTTAACTGCTGGTATTAAATTCAGTTAATTTGAGTGGATTTTGTGCTTTGATGGTGGCAGATATACTCTCATGCTTTCATCCTTACAGCTGTAATTCTTCTGAACTTTTTTAGCATCACATCATTTCTGAACTGAAAAGGATGTGAAATCCTTTTTCAGAGTGCTGTTTTCTTCTTTACATTCTGAGTTAGTGGTGGAAATGTTCTTGAGCTGTGAAACAGAAGACATTTTGGAACAGATCCTTCTACATTTTTTCACTCAGCATTTTAGTCCAAGAAGACTTCTCAGTGTGTAAGGCTATTTTTCATGATTTGGTACTATGAAGTCAAATTTCACAGTTTTTTCTCCTTGTTTTCGTAGAATGGGGAAGTGTTACAGATGAGACACTTTCACAGTTACAAGACTCTTAAAATACTTAGTCTATTTATTACTTTTAGATATTTATATTTACTTTCAGACATGAATATATTCAGTAAAGTCAGATTACTTAGGCTGTAGACCAAGAGAGATGTGGGAATGTTGAGAGTGAGATTAAAAATGTAGCCCTGGAAACAATGTTCAAGATGAGTGCTTCATGTTACTATAATGTATAGATTTGATACCATGGTTTTGTGAATAATTGTCTGAGCCTGAGCTTTGAAAGGTGCAGTAACAAGGGAGAGGAGGAAGTGTGGTGGTGCAGGGAAAGAACTGTTGCCAGCCATGCAGTCCAGAGCCAAAGGCACTCAAGAAGAAAGGTGCACAGTGTTCCTCTTACTTTGATGCTCTCTCTGTGCAGGGCACATATACTATACATGTGCATGTGGAACTTGCAGGTGAGAATTCTTTACAAACTCAGATTGCTGAGATTGCATTCTGAGGCTTGATGACAAATAAATCATTTGAATACCTTTATTAAGAGAATTTAATTCTATCATATATGAAACCATGTGGAGTGGAGGATTTCTGTTCTAGAGTGCACTCTAGTGGTATTTCACATATTTTCAGTTACTGCTCTGGGTTGTGCGTAACTGCATTTCACAATTGAAGAATCATAGATTATCCTTACCTGGAAAGGACCCACAAGGATCATCGAAGTCCAACTCTTGGCCCTGCTCCATCTGTAGGAGTCACACCATGTACCTGAGAGCATCGGGTAAACACTTCTTGAACTCTCTCAGGCTGGTGCTGGGACCACTTCCCTGGGGACCCTGTTCCAGTGTTCAACCACTTTCTTGGGAAAGGACCTTTTCCCAGTGTCAGCCTCCCTCATAACCCTTCATGCTGTTTACTTGAGTCCTGTCACTGATTAGCAGAGAGAAGAGATCAGACTCTGCCCCTTTGCTTCCTCTTGCAAGAAATATGAAGACTACTGTGAGGACTCCTCTCAGTACCTTTACTAGTTGTTTTTTTTCCTTAATGTCTGAAGCAGTGCAATTCAATAAGACAGTGTGCCAGATCCCACACTTGGGTCACAACAAGCCAAGCAGTGCTACAGGCTGGGGATAGAGTGGCTGGAAAGCTGTCCAGCAGATAAGGACGTGGAGGTGCTGGGTAACAAGCAGCTGAATATAAGCCAGTATGTGCCCAGGTGGTCAAGAAGACCAAGGGCATCCTGGCCTGTATCAGCAATTGTGTGACCAGTAGGACCAAGGCAGTGACTGTTCCCCTGTCCTTGGCACTGGTGGGGCCGCACCTTGAATCCTGTGCTCCGTTTTGGGCTGCTCACTGCAAGAAAGACTGAGGTATTGGTCTTTTATCCAAGTAAAAAGTGCCAGGAGTAAATGGCCTCAGATTGCTCCTGAGGAGGCTTAGGTGGGATATTAGGAATTTTTTTTCACCAAAATCATTGTCAAATATTGGAGCAGGCTGCCCAGTGGATGAGTTACCATCCCTGGAGCTGTTTAAGACTTGCAGATGTGGCATTTAAGTTCACCACTAAACCATGTCTCTGGCAGTGCTAGGTTTATGGTTGGAGTTGGTGATCTGAAGGGTCTTTTCTAACCTAGATGTTTCTATGATTCTATGAAAAACAAATATGCCTTGTCTGCTCTAATGTTCTATGTAGCTCTTTTTAAATTTTTTTCCCCACCCAGCACTTAGGTTATTTTTGTAAAGAACCATTCATGTTTATTGTTCTCTGAAGTTGCTCTGTTGTAGTTCTTTGAGTCCTCCCTGCCCTTTGAGGGACTAGGTTTTGTCTTTTATGATTTTTCATATAATGTACAATTTCTGACCATCTTTTGGTCTGTGAAGTTGAATGATTGAACCTCTTCAGTGTGTTTCCTGGTGTGTTTTCTCTAGTTAGATGCAAGTGCAGTAGCTGCTGCTTCTACCTATTTTAGGTCTCCTTTCTCCCCATGCTTATTATTTTAGTAATGTGGTAACCTTTATTAATTTGCACTTAAACTGAATTTCCCTAAGTCGTAAAACTTGGATGAAGCATATATGCATGCAATAGCATGACCAATAAATACAAGAAAAAAAATTGTATCTCCTGTTTCAGGCTGTACTGTCCCCTGTGCTTTCAGCACCACATTTATCTCAAAACGTGTGTCCTGTTTTGGATCTTCATTCATTTGCTGAGTCAGGTAATAAAATCTATTTTAAAGTCTTGCTTAAGAAGCGGGTCAAGTCAAGAAGTTTTTGAGTTCTTTGAATAAATTTATTATTCTTGCTGTAAGGAAGGATATGGGGCTTTATTTCAAGTTCTTGAGGGCCAAGTAGTGTTGTATTCTGTTTAGTTTATAACTGATACTGTACAAACTACTTGAGTATTTTTTCATAGCAGTAAAATTCTGTATGCTTGTTTTTGTTGTTCTCTTCCTGAGGGTATAGTAGGAAAATTTTGTTTGGTATGGTGAGTTTATTTTTGTCAGGGCATATGTCACTGCAAATCTCTATTCAGGGCATCTGAAGTAGTATGACATTTTTAGCTTTAGCATGTGCTTATTCCTCTGATGACGGTTTTAATTATTTTCTTATAGTGAAGGATTTCGCTCCTATTTAGGTGTGCTTATTTAAATTATGAGGTAGTGAAATGATGTCCATTAGAAACTGCTGTGTTTTCATAAACATTTTGACTTCTACTGGATAAAGCAGAAGATTGGCTTTGGGAGAATCACTTGTGTTCAGTACTACCTTGTTGTTCAAAACAGCTTATCTAGATCCTAACATTTATCTAGTAGTTACATTAGAAAAATAATAATATATATAATATGTTATTTCAGTGTCAGTCAAAACACTCAACTGGAGAAACAGAGAACCAGACTACTACTTCTTTCTCAAACTAATGGTTTGTGTGGTTAGCAAACACTAGCAAAATTATCAGCAAAGTTATTATGTCTGCTTTATAGCTTTAAATTCAGCATGTAATATATATGTAAAAATATGTGTTTGTGCATCTTCATATTTTTTGTATGAGGTTTTTATATGAGTTCCTTTAAGTCTGAAGGTAGAGTGGAAATATCTTTCAGTTCTTAAAAATTGGGCTGAAGTGAGAATGCAGGCTGGCAGCAAGTAATTTGAGAAAGTAATAGTTAGATTTAGATTTTAATCAAGTCTGACTTCTAATCTATACTATAAATACAGCTATACAGTCCTTTTAAGTGACATATGTTAATTCTCGATTTTCACCCTCCAAGAACTCAGGGCTGCTTTTAAGTGTTACAAAATACTTCATGTAATTCTTTGAGTTTTTTAAGAGGGCTATTTTATTCTTCTGCAGTTACCGTATACTTCAGTGTCTTTGGTTTTTTAGGTGAAGGAGAAGACCTTCATAAGACAGTACAATCTATTTATCTTGGCTATATTTCTGCGCTGATGTAAAGTAGAGTGAAAGCTTGATAGTTCTTAGGAGTCTCTCTGAAATGGGAGATCTACAGCAGGGAGAAATCCCTAATAGTGTGCCTAATAGAGAGGCCATGGCTCCTGTACTTGTCAACAGCAGTCTGACCAGTAGATGAGTTAAGCTGTTAGGTCACACCAAAGGCAAGACAAAGCGTCATTTGTGCTGTCATTTGCAAAGCCAAAAGTAAGAGAATGCTAAAGGAAAGAATTATCTGATGAGATCTGAGGTTTATGGTGACATGATGGAGGCAGATGTAGGCGTGATGTAAAGTGGAGGCAAGAGTTGAGACGACTGTGGGAACAGATTTTATCACTTGTTAGTTGTCAGCTAGATACTTGTATGTTTAAGCTTTTATAGATGTAGATGTAAGAACTCTAGGTCATAATACTGTAAAATATTGACTGTGTAAACTGCATATGTAATGTAGTTGTGAATTAATCCTTAGAATCAGAAGAAGAATTTTATGATGCACTAAGCAGTCCTGTGGAAGATGTGCCATTTTTTGAAGTCCCATCTGGTTCCCTCAAGCAGGCCATCAGTACAAGGCGAAAAACCCTACGCAAACAAGAATCTTTGAAAAATATGACAGATTTCCAGCTAAAGTTTGAAGTAGCCGAGGTAAAATTACTTTTTTGTATTTCCCCGAAGCACAGCAAGACTGTAATTTTTTCAGTGTTTGTTGTGTTTACAACTCTATATCTCCAGAGATACTCATTCCCCCTTTTTGCCTGAAACTATTATGCAGAGTTTTCTCCAAGTCATAGTGTTGCTTCTGTATCCTTGTCATCACTGAAATGCTTTGAGTTATCCCCTTGATTTCTCAACTCACTTTGTCACTTAATTTTCTTTACCTATGTCATTACATATTTGTTTCAGCTAAATATGTGCTTGTGGCATCTTTTTTCCAGATACTGCTTTGGTCAATTGGAAAACTTCATTAATGTTTTATGTTGTTACAAGCACCATATTTTTCTATTCTAGTTTTTCCCAGATGCTGTTACCCACATGTGTAAATCCGTAATATCTTGCTGTTCTTGCTGTTTCATGCTTGTGGGGGGTAAAAGAGTATTTTATCCAAATGCAAGAACACTTGTTAACTGTATCAGTTCTAGTAAAAGAGGTGACCTCTTAACACTATCGTTAGCTTTGTCATTAGACCATCATGGCTATGATAATGTTATTCCTGCAACTCAGTGTATTTTACTTTACATTTATTTTAAAAATAAATGATACAAATTCAGATAACTTTACTAATTGTGTTTTGTGGTAGGGCTTACAGAATGTCTTCAACACTCCAAAGCTAGCTTGTAGCATACTGTATACTACACCTTTACTGCAAATAAAACTGAAGTGTACTGTTTGTGTGATGACAAGACCTCATTTAGAACTACTAGTCTAAAGCAAGAATGCTGTGTTTTACATTATTTTCTAATGACAACTAACTTAAAATTTCTAAGAAAAAAATAAATTTGGAATCTATTAGAAATCACCTCTCTTCTCATAGTTTAATATTACTTATTGGGCTTTGTTTTGATTTTCCTTATTTGTGGACAGCATTACAGGGAAAGGGAGAATACATGTATTTGTTTGGTTGTCAAAATCAGATACAACAGCTCACCTATGTATTTATTTAACAACAGTATTGTCATGCATTGTGAAAATGTAGTAAATCCTCTTGCAAGACATTCAGCTTGGGAATTTGACTCTTAGGAAGAGAATTCAGAGAAATTCCAGTGAAAATAGTAAACACTTTGTGTTGACTGAAAATCTAGTTTTGACTGTATGGAACATTGCTGAGTGCTGTATGGATTTTTTTTAAAAAAATAATTTAGTTTGTGTAACTGTTATTTTGGTTACTTTGGTAATACATACATGTTTGAAATTTCAAGCATGCATGTTTGAAGTTTTTGTTATTTTTTCCAATGCATTTGCTGTACAAAGTTAAATTATCAATACACAAATAGACATTAACCAATAAAATAAGTAAATATATTATATTCTGTATAAAAATGAAAAGGTTTTTATACTTATTATAATCCCTTACTGGTTTTGGGGATGTGTTTTGGTTCTTTTTTTTTTTTTTTAGGTCTTAATTAAATTATGCCGTCTTACTGGTGATACTGAGATGCCTGTGCTCCAGCTTGATATTTTGGGCTTAGGCACTGAAATTAAGATAAGAACATTTGACATGACTGGGAATGCCTTCCTTCATGAAGTTGGTCTTCTGTGCCCAGAGTATATTGGTAAGTATTTATAATCTGGTCAAGGAATTAATTATTCACTAATAATACTGTGAATTTGTCTTCAAAAACTGTAGGGCTTTTGTCAAATGGGGAAAATTTGCTTCCTAAGGTAAGTTCAGGGTGAAGGCAAGTAAATCAGGAGCCCATCTTCTTATTAGTGCTTTGGTAAATATATTCTGGTGCTGATGATTGTAGAGAGAGGTTTAACTGTTTTGTGTCTGCGAAACAGTAATGACAGCTAGGAGCCTAGTTGGCAGTTTATAGATTAAGAAAGTTCTAAATCTTTTTTTCTTTAAAAAAAAAAAATCTGTATTCTTTTTTCTTTTTTCTTTTTTTTTTTTAGATGATAATGACAAGCCAGTTTACATAATTACTACATTGGATAATGTAGAAGATGATCTTCTCACCCTGGAGTATATAAAGGTTAGGAAAATGCAGTAGATGTTTAAGGTTTTTTCCTTACTTATTGATGTTTTTAATATCTTGAGTGTCATGTCTGCTGCTCCTTCAACAGAATAACTTTTACATCTTAAGTTGTAGTGATTTTGAAAATAAGTTTTCTTTAATGGAATTTACAAACTTCTGATTTGTTTGTTTTATGTGCACTTTTGGTGAAATAGACTGATATTAAGGGACCAGAACTGAAAACTGCCTGTCAGAATATTCTACAGAAAATAAAGGTATGATATCTTTTTTTTTTAATATAATTTTTGTGAGTTTGGGAGAAGATGAATACTGGATAAACAAAATTTTTTCTTTTAGGTGAACTTTTCTTCTCTAGATGTTCATTTGCATACTGAGGCTCTGCTGAATGCTATTAACTATCTGAATAATCTTCTACCTAAACAAGGAACTAAAGTTGTGGAAGAACCAGTCCATGAAAAAACAGAGGAGAAGAAGGATGTTCTTAAAAAATTAAGTAAGTTTCTTTATTATTTTTTCCTCTTTTCATTACTCTGTCTTCACTTAAGTAAGGAATAAAACAAATGTATTTTCTATTTTTGCAAACCTGTCAGTGATGTTTGATAGAAATTTTGCTTAGAATAATACATATCTATACGGTTGTATCCTTAGCCATATGTAGTTTTCTGACATTTAGGTCAGGGCATACCTTTGCTATGTATTGGAGGCACTAAGTCAATGTAAAAAGAAAAGCCATATCTTGTTGTCAGGTTTTTATAGTTTTTTTCCTGGTATGAATTAAGCATTTGATGGCCTTATAGTCATTACTTTATACTTGAGGAGCATTAACCTCTTGCTTGCTGTGCAGTTCAAAGGGATACCAAAATATTACATGTCCTCATTGAAGAATGCTAACATCTGTTATTTTTTATTTCCCATAGCATCAAAAAAATCAAAGTGTGAAGATGTTATTGACCTCATTATCTGTGCAGATTTATCGTGTTTGCGTATTTTTATCAGAGAGAAAAGCCATAGAATAGCTGAAATTCACATTGAAGGTAGGAACAAACCTTTAATCACAAAGACACAAAACTTTGTAACCATATTCGTGTATAGATTTTGTATATCTTTTTTTTTTGAGGTCTCGATAGCCAAGTGATCATGAAGAAAGCAGCAACTGATGTGACTGCAAAATTGAAGAACATCATTATTGTGGATTCTGATGAGACAGCATTGTATAAAAAGGTAAGCACATGCATGTATTTTTTTAATGGATGCTAAATTAAACTTATTTTTTAGACTCTACTCTCTACTGTGACTTTTTTCAGTCATGTTTTATGTATTTGTTGGGAGTTGGATTCTCTATATAACAGATTGCTTTTGCTCCCACAACCAATAATTATTAGACTGACATTAATTTGTGCAACTGTGATATTCAGCTGCTCATTGTGCCTCTTACTGTGTTGACTTTAGTGAAGAGAATTATTGAAGCTGAGATGTCAACTGAGTATTTTCAGCAATTTCAATGGATTTTTAAAATACAGTATTTTTCTTCATATATTATTGAGATACTTGAAGTAAAAATGTGTTAGTGGTGTGAGGTATATTTTGTTTTGAAGTGAAGTTTCTCCAGTATGTAAGTTTTTACAGTAGAGATACTATTTTTTTTCTTCTTAAGGCTCTTTACATCACAGGAAAAGAAGTCTTCAACTTCAGAATGGTATCATATCTGAATGCTACAGATGGCATTGCATATACAAATATGGATGTTGTTGACAATCGTATTTACCTAACTGTTGGGTGTATTCAAGTAGTTTTTGTCAACAAGTTTGTTTCATCTATTTTGGTAAGTTAAATTTTCCAAATACTGTTTCTTAGCATCCAGGTGAAGTTGTCTGAGTAAGAACAGGATAAGAGTGTTCCATATGGGCTGGCATCTGTTTGTGTAAGAGCTCTTATATACTGTTGTAAAAACTTTACTGGGGTTGATGGTTGGGCTGTTTATTTTTCTTCTACATATGTTTGTTACTGTGGAGCAAATGAGTAAGCAAAAAGGTTTACTATTGTTAATAGTAATGTTTTTCTTAGATGATTTGTGACAGCTGTTAAACATTCATAGCATTAACTATTCATTACACTGAAATATAAGTAAGGAACCATAAAAATTAATGCCCTTTCCATAGATTCTGCTAAGTAAATCAAACTTTTTCTGCTCATATGATTAAATAAAATGGAATTCCTACAAGTCATGTTTCAAGGTCATTGCTCTTACCATCTAATTTTCAAAATATTTAGTATAGAAATTTATTTATATATATGAGTAATTTATCATAGTTGAGGGAAGATTATCTTAACAAATAATTTGGACAAAATGTATAGCAAAAATAACATTTTAGGATGGTTTGCTGTTTAAATAACTATGATTCATAGTGTTTTTGAAGTACTGTAATTTTTAATTATTAATTCCTGAGATCTGTATTTCTTTCTTAGGCTTTTATAAATAACTTTCAAGCTGCCAAGGAAGCTCTTACTGAAGCAACTGTTCGAACAGCAGAGAAAGCAGCTACAGGTGTAAAAGAGTTAGCAGAGCGTAGTTCCCGTTTGGCACTAGATATCAATATCAAAGCACCTGTTGTGATAATTCCACAGTCAGCAATGTCTGCAAATGTCCTGGTGGCTGATCTTGGTTTAATCACAGTGAAGAACCGATTCTTTATTGCTAAAACAAAAGCACGGTGTACTCTCCCACCTGTTATTGACTCTATGACAGTGAAATTGAGTGAACTGAAGTTATACAGGTAATGTACTGTCAATATTTTAAAAATTAATTTAATCCTTTTGGAATTCTTCAGTGAGCTTCAAGGAATAATTAAATGATTAGCTAATTGCTGGTGATTGACAGACTGTTATCTTGGAATATAACAGTAAACTAACATTTTTTTAAAGCAATGAAAATGTATGGTTCAGGAAAAAGAGCAATCTGCACATCTTTAAATAGAAGCAAATGTTTGTTCTGGGCAAATTGTGTAGTACTATAGATTTATGCATTATTCATTACTTTGGGACAGGCTATACCTATTTGTATTGGACTGTTTTGATGTGATTTTCATGCTAGGCATAGCAGCAAAGGTACTGAGTTAAATAGCTATAAAGAACTGTTTGAAAATGGTCCTTGGTGGAGGGGGTTCATGGAAGGAGAGGGAATGGAAGGGGCTTTTCAAACATAGTTGAAGTATACTTAAGAAAGAAGCAGTTGCTCTTTCTCTCCACTGGAGAGTAGGTAAGAGATCTGACATGCAGGAGTTTGTGTGTTGTGTTTCTGATACATGCCTAATACCTTCTCCCTACAAAGGAAGGGAGAAGGTGGAGTGGAGTGGAAGCTTGGGTGGAGTAAGGCTTCAACTAGAGCTATTTGGAATAGTATAAAGACACTTCTATAGCATTAGTTAAAAAGATGAGGAAAATACAGAAATGTGGTTTTTTTAGAATGTGAAATATGTGAAAACTGGAAGTATTTTGCTTCTCTTCACAGATCTTACTATGAGCAAGATTCTTTGCAAACTGAAGTACAGTTGCTGCAGCCAGTCAATCTGGAAGTAGCTGTTGAACGAAATTTAGCTGCTGCATGGTATAATGAAGTTCCTGATATTGAAATATCTGGCCGACTCAAGCCTATGAATGTAAGCACTTGTTTCTGAAAGCAACTGTTCAAATAGTTTTGGAAAACAGATTAATTTTTCTCTATAAAATTCCAAGCTTAGTAGTTAAGGTATTGTTTGATTTCAAGACAGAGGTAGAACAGATTTTGTTGTTTCATAGGGTAAAAGGAAATGAATAGATTTTTGTTCTAATTTAAACTCAGTATTTAATTTGTGATACTCCAGGAGACTTTGTACTATGAGTTACTGTTGCTCGTTAAAAATGCTTATTCTATCTGGCCTTTTACCTGTCAGTGAAGGATTGAAAAAGTTGGGATTTATTGGTTTGTTCAACAGCACTGCTGAATTTCTACCTATGACAAGTCTGAATAGTTACTAATGACCTGCTGTGCCACATAGATATTCACAGACCTATGGGGCCAGATGGGATTCATCCTAGGGTGATTTAAATTTGAAAAAAATTAAATAAATAATGTAGATTAAAATTTAAACATAAAATAATTTAAATTTAACATTAAAAATAGAAAGGTTGTGAAGAGTGTGAGGAAAACCAATTTGTGAGATTTTGAAATAGAACTCTTAAGTATTACTGTAAAGTAACTGTTACTGTAAAGTGGCTTGTGACTAAATGCAGATAAAGATTTTGATTGGTCAAACTGTGTGTTCATATTCTGACATTCCAGTTTCTAAACAGTAACTTGGTAGGGAAAGTTTGTGATGAAAACAAAATGATGTGTGACTTCTGATTTCTAGAAATTACTGTAAGGAGTTGTGTGAATTTGAGAAAAATGTTCAGCGTCGTAAATAGAGTCTCAGATGAGATTAATTTGATTTATCTGTTTATTTGTAAGCTTAGATTTTGGTTAACAGAAGTTATGCAAACAGAGTTGTTCTGATTTCCATTCCAATGTTTTTTAAAGCTAATTCTCAGTCAGGAAGATATTACCACAATACTGAGGACACTAAATGAAAATGCAGGTGAAAGCTCTGGTGCATCAACAGCTTTGCCAGAATCAAAAGCACCAACTAGTCATTCTAGTGAAACGCATGGTACTTCTCAGCAGTCTGCAGGTAATGTTTTCTAAAATTACATCATCTGGCATTTTTAGGTATTATTGTCACTATATGGCTTCTGTTGGAGTTGCATTTACGAATGGATGCCAGATTCATTTGTGTATACCAATACTGTAGAATCACAGAATAATTAAGGTTGCAAAAGACTTCCAAGATCATCAAATGCAATGTTTGACCAAACACCATGTCAACTAAACCATAGCACTAAGTGCCATGTCCAGGTCTTCTTGAATGCTTCCAGGGATGGTGACTCTACCACCTTCTTGAGCAGAAACTCTTCCTGATGTCCAGCCTGAACCTCCCCTCCTGTTTCAGCTTGAGACTTTATCACCTTACCCTGTCACTCACTAGCTGTCTGTGAAAAGAGACCCGCCCCCATCTTGCTGCAACTTCCTTTCAATCTGTCTTTCACAAGATGAGTCATCTGGTCAAAAAAAGGAGATCAGATTGGTTAGGCATGACCTGTCTTTCCTAAACCCATTCTGAAACCATTCTGGCTGGACCCGATCCCTTAGTTGTCCAGTTTGTGCCATATGGTTACACTCAAGATGATCTGCTCCATAACCTTCCCCAGCACTGGGGCCAGGCTGACAGGTGTGTAGTTCCCTGGATCTTTCTTTCGTAGATGGGTATCCCATTGGCCAACCTCCACTCATCTGGGACCTCTACAGTTAACCAGGACTGATGATAAATAATGGAGAGTGACTTGGTGAGCTCCTCTGCCATCTCTGTCATCATCCTAGGTTGAATCCTGTCTGGCTCCATAGACTTAAAAGCATCAAAGTGACACAGCAGTCACTAATTACTTCCTCAGGGATTGCAGCACCTCTCTTCTACTCTCTGACCCTGTCTACCGGCTCAGGTGGCCAGTTGCCCATTTTCACTCTTAATGACTGAGGTAAAGAAGGCATGAAGTACCTCAGCCTTTTCTTCATCCTCGGTGGGAGGGTATCCCTCCACATCCAATAAAGAGTGGAGATTATTCCTTTGCCTGCTCTTTGTTGTTAATGTATTTATATAAACATTTTTATTTTACTTCACAGCTGATCGAGTGGCCAGGTTGAGTTCTATCTGAGTTTTAACCTTGCTAATTGTAGTTGGTTTAGTGCTGGCTAAATGCACTTACTAGAATAATTTACTCATTTTTTTGCTGTGAGATAAGATTTAGGAGGTCAGTAAAGAAAGCTCAAAACTTGAAAGTTTATCAACAGAACTAAAAGAATAATAAGAATCAGAATAAAACCTTAAGAACACTTAACTCACAACCTTCTCTTTTTTTCTTACTGATAATGTAAATGGACAAAACTTGGGACTTCCAGTTAGTTTACAACTTCTAGAATAGTTTTTCATCAATTTTCTTAGGGAGAAGAGTTTTACTTACAGCGAAGTCTCCACAGCATAGCAAGAAAAAGTTTTCTCGTGGCTTCAGTGTCACAGCAAATCAGCCACCTGGGAAAGGAAAATCTGTTTGCAGTGTTAAAATCCCTCCCCTTGATTTTGAGCTTTCACTACAACTGTTTTTGAGGGCTCTATTTTTTGCTAGTGGGTTACTCGTCTGAGGATGAGCTGTACAAAAGCAAAGGTTCTTTTCATTTATTTTTGAAATCATCTTTATCTCTGGGAACAGAGGTCTTCTTCTTCCCTGGGGGCAAAGTGTCTTTATCACTTTTATTTCTGTTAAAACTTCTAATTTGGTTCATAGCAACATGAACATCTGATTTGCTTTAGCATGGATACCTTTGCTCATGTCTATAGTTTGAACACTCTATCTCCCTATGTTTTTTTTCATGAATTACAGGGATATTCTAGTGTATCATAATCTATCAACATGGCCTTACAAAAAGAATTTTAAGATGAAGGCATGTCCTCATTCTCCTCCTATTTGGAACTTGACTCCTTTGTTTATTGACTTTGGTGTCTTCCTGTTGTTTCTTTATGTTTCTTCTCCTCTTCCTTTTTTCTCAAGAGACGATTTGCATTTGCATTTTCAACTTTCATGCCTGCGGATGGTGGTCATGATTGATCCCTCCGGGCGACAGCCGGAGCATTCGCGGTGATGTATTTCAGGCCACGCTGGGGGCTGTGCGAGGATCTTAAGGCTGTTCTGGCTGCAAGCCTGGTCCCTGCTACGTTCAATTCCAGCTGCATGGGCTGCAGAGCCGCCCCTGGTCTTAGCCACATGATTTCCCTCGGCGCTGGGATAGCACCTTCCAGCAAGATGACTTGGCATCTTATGGCTGGAATTCTTCAGCAGCCGCACTGGAGGGGGGCAGCCAGGATCTTAGCAGCCGGGCTAGGGCGCAGCTGGCCTCCCCTCCTCCTGCTTGGCTGCCGCTGGGGCCCAGCCCTGATGGGATGGGGCCCCGCAAGCTCCCGGGAAGGGGCCTGGCCCTGCAGCAGAGTGCACCCGGCCCAGCACGACCGCGCGAAACTAGGCTGGGCCAGCCTGTTACCTGTTTCCAGGCCGGAAAAAAAGTTTTTCTCGGGCTTGCCCGTCCTTAAAATGTGTTTTCACAGAAGCGTGTTTAACTATGTGTCAATCTTCAAAGCTAGTCACTGATGTCAGGCACTGAAGAAGCTCTTTGCAGCTCCTCACAGAAAACTACTTCTGTGGTTAGTTCCTTCCCTCTCAACCAAAAGTCAATTAATACAAAACCAACACACTAATTTTCTTTCTATGTGACTTAACAATATCCTTGTACTCTTCTTCCAGTTGCCTGCTCCTTCTTCCAAAGATCATGAACTCTGATCTTCCCTGCTGAGTTCCTCCCTATTTAGCCAAGCCAGCACATAGAGACAGTCTGGTCCTGTGCCTATAATATTTCCTTCTTAAAGTACATCTAGACTTCTTAGACCCTTTTGGTTTTAAGGGCTTATTGCCAAGGGACTGACTGAACCAGTGTTCTGAACAGGACAATGTCCACCCTCCTGAAGTCCAATATTTTGTTGACACCCCTGAATATTGAAAACTCTTGTGTCATGGCTGCTGAAGATGGCTCCAAACACAGCGTCTCCCCCAGCCCTTCTCAGTTTGTAAGCAGCAGATCCAGCAGGGTAGCTCCTCTGGTAGGTTTACTTCCCAGCTGTGTTGGGAAGTTATCTTCACACACTCCAGTAATCTCCTAACCTGCCTCCTCTTTGCTGTGTTAAATTTCCAGAAGACATCTGGCAGGTTAAAATTTCACATGATTTCATGACAATCATGAAACATCAGTCAGCTTATCTTAGAATAGTTCATCCACTTCCTCATCCTCTATGGGTGTTCTGTAACAGATTCCCACCAGGATATCTGCCTTCTTGGCCTTCCCCCTGATTGTCACCCATAGATACTCAACCTTCTCGTCACTGTCCTGGAGCTTTGTAAAGTCAAAACGCTTCCTAGTGTACAGAGCAACCCCACTACCTCTGGTTCCTTGCCTGTCCCTTCTGAAGGGCTTGTAGCCATCCAATGCAACACTGGTCATCCCACCACATTTCTGTCATTGCTTTCCTGCTGCACTCTGGCTCCTCCTATTTGTTACCCATATTGTGTGCATTGGTGTAGTTGCACTTCAGCTGGGCTACTGATTTTACCCCTAACCCTGGCATTCTGGCTCTAGGCTCATCTTAAGTGAGCCTGGTCTTATTCCGACCCCCCTCAAATCTAGTTTAAAGGCCTCTTAATCAGCTCTGCCAACTCATGGACAAGAATCATTTTACCCCTTTGAGACAGATGAACCTCATCTGTCTCCAGAAGTCCTGGTATTACATCAATTAACTCATGGTTAAAAAAAAATTCATGAAACCCACCATTCATGAGGTGGGTTCTCCTGTTCATTTCAGTGTTCTTCCCTGCTACTGATCAAGGGATCAAGGAAAACACTAGAGGATCTCACAGAATCACATAATGGGTAAGGTTGGAAGAGACCATGGTGGGTCATCTGGACCAATCTCCCTTCTTAAATAGGATCATCCCAGAGCACATGGCATAGGATAGTGTCCAGGCAGTTCTTAAGTATCTCCAGTGAGGGAAACTCCACAACCTCTCTGGGCAATCTGTGCCTGTGTGTGGTCATCTGCACAGTAAGGAAGTTCTGTTTGGAACTTCCTGTCCATAACTTTCTTCCCTGTCCACCTCACTGTCCACTGATCCAGGCAACGCTTGCTGAGTTTGCCTGTGAGGATGTTGTGAGAGGCATTATTGAAAGCCTTGTTGGAGTCAAGGTAGACATTAACCACTGCTCTTACCTCATCCATCCATCCATCATCTCATAGAAGACATTCAGGTTGGTCAAGCATGATTCCACTTAGGTGAATCCATGCTGACTATTCCTTACCACCTTTTTGTCTTCCATGGGGATGGGGATAAGTGCCTCCAGAATGAGGCGCTCCATCACCTTTGCTGGGATTGAAGTGAGGCTGACTGGCTGGGAGTTCCTTGGGTCATTCTTCATTGCCCTGTTTGAAGACTGGGACGACATTTGGTTCCTTTCAGTCCTCAGGCATCACTCCTAACCACCACAGCCTTTCAAAGATGATTGTGTGCAAGTCAGCTCTCTCAACATCCATAAATATATCCTATCAGGGTCCATGGTCTTGTGGATGTCAAGATTGCACAGGTGTTCTCTAACCCAATCCTCCCTTAAAAGGCTTTCTTCCAATGTTCCTTTACTCCGGCCTCCTGGGTCAGTGATTCCTGAGGGCTGGTCTTGTTAGTGAAGACTGATGGAAAGAAGACATTCAGTAATTCCTCTGCTTCCTCTGTTACCAGTGTCCCTCCCGCATTTAGCAATGTCCCATGTTATCCTTACTTTTACTTTTCTTATTGGAGAAACCATTCTTGTTGTCCTTGACATCCTTGGCCAGATCTAATTCCTGATGGGCCTTGGGCTTCATTGTCTCAGCTTACCCTGACAACCTGTCTATATGCCTTCCAAGTACCTTCACCCCACTTACATCTCCTATGTATTTCCTGCTTATGTGTGTGTAGTATCAGAAGCCCTTTATTCATGGGCTTATCTTACCATGGAGGTCTCTTACCCCTTTGCTTGATTTCTTGCTCACTGGCCTGCACTGGGATGCCAGTTCTTGAGCCTGGAGGAAGTGATCCTTGAATGTCAATTTCTCTTCCCTGCAGAGCCTATTTCTGTGGATTCTTTCAAGAAAATTCCCTGAAGTGGCTAAAGTTCTCTACACACGTTTCTCATTTCTCCTGTTTGTTTTCCATACTGGGTGCATTGGTGTACAGGCACGTTATAGAAGTATTTGATTGTGCAAAAGGATGCCCCCTAGTCTGTCATGTGGTTACATCTTCAGATGCTTGTACTCACTGAGTGTATCTTGGGTGATCACTATAGTTCTGCCCTTCCCACACCTCACCTCTATCAAGCCTGGCCATATTCTTTTTCCTCTTCAAATCTAGTTTAAAACTCTCTCAAGTTAGCCCTGGAGTTAGCCCTGCTAACTCCTGAGCTAAAATCCTTTTTCCCCTTTGAGACAAGAGGATCCTGTTTAATGCCAGTGTTCTATTAACTGACCCATGATGAACAAAACCAAAATTCTGATGGTAACACAGAACTGTGTTACCAAGGGGTTCATCTGCATGATTTTCTTGACAGGACAGAAGAGAACAGAACTTGTGTTCCAGATCCTGTCTCCTAGTAGTGCCTATTACTTGAGCCCCAGGAAGGCAGCAGACTTCCCTGTGGGATGGGTCCAGCTGGCATGTAGGGCAGTTCCTCAGTTCCTCTCAGAAGAGAGTTGCAACAACTACTCTTCTTTCTCTTTTGCCTGAAATTGTGATGCATTTGGTTTATTGACTTGTGCTGGGTAACACTCCCAGGTAGACCTTCATCTTCATTATAATTTGTTCTTCACTATCATTTGTTTCACCCTTGGGTTCTAGAGCCTCATACCTATTTCCTGAGGTTACCTGTGAAAGCAAGGGAGGTGATTCTCCTGTTGCCCCCAGCTGGGACCTGTTTCAAATTTTCCCCTTGTCTTCTAGTTCCCCTCCTTCTGTCTGATGACAAGAGTGTTGGAGTTCCGCAGCTTGTGCTGAGCTTCTACCTCCTACATTTCTCTCAGGAATTTTCACCAGTCTATTTTTCTGTCAGACCCCGATACTCTTCAGCCTCTCTACTCCCTCTCTAAACTCAGCCACCAGGCTCAGCAGGTCATCCACCTGGTCCCACTGCACACACGTGTAGTATAGTGTACTTCTGCCCTCTGGGGCTAATGCCAAGCTCCAGCACTCCCTGCAGCTGCAGACCTGAGCAGGTGCATGCTTCTGAGGAAGCTTGGTCTGGGTTGCTGTGCTCCTACTAGCAATGGCTTTTGGCTTTATGGAGATCACTGTTGGATCTGTTCTCATGGGGTAAATGAAAACCACCTGGTGAGCTCTCCTAATGAGCTGAGAGGGTCACTCTGCCCTCATACATGCCCTGCTCATGTGAATTTCTGCAGCAAGTGCTGTACCACATCCTTCTGATGTGCCATGTCCTGTTTACCTTACCCACCTTTTCACTGTGCTCCAAGCTGCTCATGCTTGTTAGAGTCCTTTAAATCTCCTTTGGTTGCTCTGGCAAGGCCCTCACCATGTAGGCTGCACCTGGGATAGCTCCTGGACCCTGTCACGTCTCTCCCATCTCTTGGGTTTCCCTGACTCTGGGAACCCCCTACCAGGCTCTTTTGCCCTGTAACTGCAGGCACTGTGGCTCCTGTTGTTGCTGCTGTCACTAAGTGCCTCCTTGGCTGATGAGGTCGGTTGAGTGCCAGTTGGCCTTTTACCTTGACATTGTGGTTTGAGCAATAGCTAACAGCACTAATGAATAGGAGCAGCTGAGCCACTGTAGTGAGTTTTGCAGCAAGACATGAAATGTAAGGGTCTTCTTTTCCCGGCCATAATGCAAGGTAGCACTTAAAAGTCTTGTCAGCTGCATTTGTGACCATCTCAACTTTGAAAGGCTGCCATTTTACTCTCTTTCCTGTATATGGTGGTTTCGTTGCTGTTCTAATTTAGTTCTGTTTGTTGTAATGATGACACCCCTGAAAGTTGTTCCTATTCAGTACATGTCACTGCCTATCAACTGTTCAGCACACACTGAAAAGGAAAGCAAATAAAGTTAAGGAAACCATCTTTTGTGGAATTCTTTTATTAAATATGAAAACCAGCAACAATGTGCTAGATGAACAAATGAGGATGAAAGTAAATTTGTGTTCTTTGTAAGACTTTCGCACACCATCCAGTATTAGGGGGAAATTGTACATTTGTGTTTTAAAGACAGTAAAAATCTCATGTAGAATATGTAAGGGGGAGTGTTTTATATTCTCAAACATTGTGTGATTTTGCCAAAAGTTGTTATATAAGACATGATAAACACATGCTATGTGTGGATGAATTTACATATGGAGAAAAAGGGAAGTTGCTGTCTTTATGGTCATAAGCGAGGGTGTTTAGTTTTGTTTTTTTCCTTATTTGCAGTCACGTAATTTTCTTAATACTAACCATTTTTCTGATTCCTGAAAGGTGTAACTGTTGTGACATCAGCTGTGGTGGAATTGCATTCACCTATGAAAATCAAAACAACACTAAAACTGGACTTCAGATTTGACTCTCTTACTTTAGTGTTGTATAGTCCAAATTCAAAACAGGTGAGTATAAGTTTGGTTACAAAGAGTAATTAGCAGCTTTTTGCCTAGAGTCCTGGAAATTCTGAACAAGAATAGCTTAATTTATGACAGAGAAAGTGTTTTCTAGCAATAATAACAAGTGTAATGGAAATGAGAGAACAGCTATTTTAGTTAAGTCGCTTGGTAGATACTAAGGAAGTAGAATAGCCAGTGCTAGTACATAATATGTGGCGTCTTCTGTCATCTGAGTAAAAATTGATGAAAATTTACATTAATTTAAAATATAGTTTGGGAAGAAAAATTTGCAGAAGAATGAAAGATATCCATTAGTTACACGTAGAGATGGGTACATGGACACACACAAAATGATGGAGAAAGAGTCTTAAATTTGTCAGTAGGAATGCATTTATGTTCACCTTGGTTTAAACTTACAAAACTTGTCACAAGATTTCTGACTAAATTTTGTAATTTATTATAAACTTAGGTCTCTCATTTATGTAAGCTTGCTTTAGAAAGATGGTAGAAGGGCAAAACTTCACTCTTTGAAAGTTCTCCCTTGTATGTTGTTATTTGTGATTGTCTATTGAATTAGTAGTGGGTTTATTTAATTTATTATTATTATTGAAAATATCATCAGTTAGAATAAAACTGTGTATCACAACTATATATTATTTTTGTTACCTGTAATGAAATCTACAAATGTTTCATTTAAACAGGTTAACAGTTTGGATCAGAGAGATGACCTTTTGAAGCTTGCAGAATTTAAATTAGTTCTCATGTCAGCTGCTCTGAAAATGTTATCAGATGGTTCAATGAATGCGTCAGTCAAACTGGCAAACTGTACATTAGATGATAAAAGACAGTCAATCCAGAAGGCTACACCAAGGTCTGTAATTTTACATAATTTATTAGAGTTAGAAAAAGAGTTCATAATGTTTTAGTTTAATTAATATTCTGTTAAAACCGCAATTGTTTTAGTGTAGGGGTTCTTAAAGTACCTGTTACTGTGGATTTATGTGTTTCATGTGCCTTTTGTTCCACATATCTTTGAGAGACCAGTGCTAGATACAAAAAATGAAATAAACTGAACTTTAAATATAAATTTAATAAATGTGCATAGAAAACAATTTCACTTCCCACTTTAATGAGATGCTAAGTGAGACTGAGATGATGTTTCATGAGTAGTAACAAACTTCAGTAAAATGTAGTACTTTAGATATGTGAGCAAGTAAATATGATTGTTTGACTTGTTAAAATTATTAACACCTTTTGTTACCAGTGTATGGGATTCCAGTTAGTTTTAAAGTTATATAAAATTCATGCTAATGTTTTTATTGGTCATGCCCTAAAATTATTTTTATTGCTTTTTAAATTTGATCTTGTTAATGTATTGCATCATTCTCAGAATGAGAATCTTGAATGTTCTTCAGTATTTGTGGCTGGCTTCTTATTGTTTCATTAAATGCCGCCTTAATTGTTTTTCAGAATGGTGGAAATGAAACATGGATTTGAAAAAAAAGTTATGGTGGATGTAAACTACAAACAGGGGAGAGATGGCACTGTTCTTGATGTTATTGTTCAAGAGATATACCTTTGTGCAAGCATGGAGTTTCTACTTACTGTAGCAGATATATTCCTAAAGGCTAATGCAGAAAGTGCTGCTGCACAGAGAAATCTCAAGCAGTCATTACCATCAAAGGACCAAGGTATATACCAGTATACATTGGAGATAGTTTAAAATATGTATTTGAATATCAGCTTAATTTTAATACTATGTAAATAATACATATGTATTTAGTTATTATTAATATTTAATGCTATGTAATACTGTGTAAAAAATACAATACTCTTTTTATGCTATTTCCTGTGTTGATATGTATAGAACAGCTTGTAACCACTGATGTTGCTTTCTTTGCATCATGGAAATAGATTCATAACCTTTAGTCTTCGTTTCCAAATGAAGTCTTGTTTCACTAGAGAAAGAAGATAGCTAAAAATGTATGTTTAAAATAAAATAGGAATAATAATGAAGCATATTATATTGTGCTTGCTCATGGAATAGGCCTGCCTAATATTGTTGCCTAGAAATGTAATTTCATTTGTCCACTGATGTGCATTACTTCCTATATCAGAAAACAGACTTTTAGATTGAGCACTTGACATAAAAAATTGGTCCATTAGAGCATCAGAGCAGGAAATACTATTTTTATGCTTCCATGACTCAAGTAGTTCTCATCAGGTATGCCAAAGCAAGTCCCTGTATTTTTGGTGTTGTTTTCCTGTGCCCTGAATATCATGGTGGTGTCCCTTTCAGCCAGACCTACTGTGATTATTTGCTGGTGATCAAAGTCTGAACAGATAAGGAAGTCTTATATGAAAGTGTATTTTTATTTCAAGTGTTAATGCTGCATGATTGTCCTGTGGAAAAATGAGGGTTTGCTACTCCAGAGTAATGTGGAGTAATGTGCCTGGCATTTTCGTAAGACTCTTTATCAGAGCTGGCCCATGTAGGTATGGAGTGAAGCTTATATATTTGTTAATGTCACAGTTAGTAATAGTGGGGATACTGTTACCCTTTTTATTTTGACTGAGAAGCTTTGTGGAGTTTTTTGTTGTACACAAGAGTAATTAGATATTAAATGGTTTTGTGCCTTCAATGAAGAGCCTAGAAATGTCAGTTGCAGGGATTGACAGATTTGCTAACACTAGTTGTGATAGACCTTACCCCTGAATAGGCAAGTCCTCCCTGTAAGTTACAAGAATGAATTAATTTTTGTAAATAATATCATTAATTATTATAATAAATTATATTAATAATTAAATCACAGCAAGAAAATAATAGAAATTGAATCTTTGAACAATTAAACTAATGCAATTTATATTTCTGAAGCATCTGTGCAGTCGGTATCTACGATGGAAGTGAACATTGTTGTTAAAAATCCAGAGATTGTGTTTGTGGCTGATTTAACAAGAAGTGACGCTCCTGCACTGGTGGTTACAACACAGTGTGAGGTCTTCATTAAAAGTAGCCCTGAAAGGTACAGCATGACAGCTGCTGTTAGAGAGATACAGATGAAAGCATGCCCATTTCTTCCAGAAGAAAGGAAAGGGAACATTACTACGGTGAGTTTGCAGCCGTTCAGTGTATATTTAAAAGGTGCTGTTTAACCTATACTACTAAAATACAAGTAATATCTCAAATGTTCATCATTAAAATGTATAATACAGTATAGTAGTATACATTTACAGTATGAGTAAAATTTTGTAGCTAACATTTTTTTGATTTTATTCTCTTTTGTCTAATATGCCTAAAGCAGCATCTTGACCTGTGGCATTGGGGTTTGCTTTGTATGACAAGCTACAACAAGCTATGCAGAGCCCAAAGGAGTAAAAGGTTAATTATCTTTCATATCCCATGCAAGCCAAATAAATAGAGTTTCGTAAGTGTATGCTACGTCAAAAGCAGTATAATAAATTTGGAGTGCTATCAGTCTACCCATGTCCTCAGACCAGACATGAATTTTGAAGAGCAGATCTTTTCAGCTCTCTGTTAATGCCTGTTTACTTATGGAGTGACATAGGAAAGACCAAAACTATAAGCAGAAAGGACTGGGGCTTCCCTTTCATCTCAGTTTCAAGTAGAATCATAGCTCCTCAGTTTACTTCTTGTGTTTACACAGTCTTTAATTGCACTAAAATGTTAAGTCTAGTCATTTAGAAAGCAATGAACTAGCATTGATGGCCACAATACCGTGCAAAGTTGTTTGACTTTTATTTTTGTAGCTGGCAAGTGTGGCATAAAACATTACTTTCTTTGTAGAAAGCTATTGGCAGGCTTCACACACAAATTTTTCCTCTTACAGGAATATCTTCTGATGGAATCCCTTATCTCATACTGTAGAAACAGGGAAAAAGACCTGAATCTGGCAGGATGCTTGTGCTATAGATGGAGGAAAAAACTTCAGGGGACAGTAGTTTAAGTGCTTAAAACAGTACCTTCCTTGAAAGATGAAGAAAGTTCTTGAGGAGAGTCAAAAATAAAAAAAATTACCTGTAGGAACATAACTGCTCCTTTTGAAACATATGTGTAAGCAAACCTCTGAACCCAGGTTTTCTGTAAACAATCTAAATTTAGTCTGGGAAAGGGTAATAGTTTGAAAGCAAGCCAGTGAGAGATGCAAAGTCAGAAATACAATTTAATAGGAAAATTAAAATAAATGCAATAGTACAGAAACACTGACAGAGTCAGACTACAACCTGACACCTTGCTGGTCAGGACGTTGGTAGCAGTCCAATTAAATGGTGGCTGCTGTTGAAGTGGTAGATGTGGTTCTGTTGAAGCAGTGATTCTGTATAAGGCTTTGATCTTCCTCTGAAGGTCCAGAGGTAGATGTGGAGCTCTTGTCCCCTGGGAATTTGGTGGATAAGGCTGCCTGTGATGTTCTCAGATCATATCCAGGTAGGAATGCTTGGTTCCCCCCTCTGGGCAGAGCATCTCACAATGGGATGATGTAATTTTTGAGTCATGCAGTGAGGCTTTTCTGCCCATTAGCAGAAGTTATCTCGTGGATTATCACAGGTAAATCATGGAGAGATAAAGAGCACTACCCCACTTGGTTTTAACAGTTTATGAAGATGGTAATAGAATATATACTTTTGGGTACATCTTACATTGTAAGCTAAGACAGAAAGTAATTGGGTTGTGTTGTAGTTAGGGCCTGGTGCTGCGGAAGAACTCGGGATGTAACGGAAAATTAGCAGACCCCCTCTCTGCTAAGATAGTAAGTTCCCTTGCAATTAGCCAATAGCACTTAGGTGTGACGTATGCAGATGGGAGTAACACAGTGAACTCAGGCTATAAAATGTCAAGTTTCCCTTTAATAAGTTGCCATTTTCGCCATCCATCACATTGATGCAGTGGGAGATGGTCTGCGCGGTTGGGATAGCCGCCCGTGCTGGAGTGGGTCAGGGTGCTTATCTTGCTTCAAACCCAACAGGGTTGGATGAATTCAGCCTTTTGATGACAAAACCATCAAAACTGAGAGACCTCTAAGATCACTCAGTCCAACTGTCAACCCAGTGTAGGAGCCAACAGAGAGATGGGGACTTCAGACAACTCTTCTTTAGAAAGCTATTTATTCCATAGACTAGATTACAGCAGTGGGGGTCTAGTGGGTCAGCCTACAGCTGCTAGCTATAGGCAAGCCGTGTGTCCTGAAGCCCCTTTAGTTCCGGTTACAATGCATTGCATATTTTTCTTTACTGAGCATCTTAATACATAACAACCAATCAGCATCATACACAATACCTTTACATTTATATATAACCTATCAAAACTGCTAAAATTATCATATTATGTTAGTGACTAACCAGTCATTCGAGTTAGTAATTTTTTTGTTTTGCAGTGGAAAATCCTTCTTGCTTTGGTAATAAACCTCTTTCTGGCTGCCTATGCTTTGTTACTTGGTAGAAAGCATGCTTTGTTTGAAGACCACTTAACCTGTTGGACTTGAGCCATACAACCTCCTTCTAACTGACTAAACCTTTGTTCTAAACCTTCCAACTCAACTAAACCTTTGTTCTCTCAGCTGTTTCAGCAATAACTGGCCATAAAAACATCTTTTTTATATCAAAACAAAGTTGCTAAGCATTCATATCTGTGAAACTTTTCTATTAAATTTTCATCCTTCCCATTAACCCATTACTACTACAGTCACCCCTTAACCATATGCCCAAGTGTCATGTCCAGATGCCAAGTAGGGAAACTAACCTCTAGATTTAAAATAGCATGAATGATGAGGGGTTTTTTGTGTTTCTCATATAAAGAGAAGGTCTAAAGAGGAATCTCTTATTTTTCATTCCTGAATGCAATACAAAGTAAGAAAAAAAGATAATTTGAGCAACAGAATAAAAAACATTATTATGGACAAAACTTCTGTTAGATCAAACTCATTTGGGGAAAGTGTGGTCAAACTAATTCAAGGTATATCTGTGCCTCCAGCATCTAATTCAGATATGGACAGAGATGTCAGAAAAGATGGCAGAGTCAGTATGGTTTGCAATTACAGTTTTTGAAAGATTAATCATCTCAGATGGGGATCAGAGAGCAAATTCTCCTGTCTGTACAGTGTCAGTAGTAATTTCATCTGAGTGCTCTATTAATAACACAGCACCAGTTTTGTTTATAGCATACCTCTGATTTGGTAAACTTTGGCGAGTGAAAACGTTCAGGTACTGATTGCAAAACAAAGCTGGAACTGAGTGGTTGTGATTCAGACATATTCAGTTACGTTGTTACTCAGGAAAACTATAACTGTGTCATTGCTGTCTTGGCAACTGAAGAACTGGTTCTTCTCAACAGGCAGAGGCATGGTGGTGCAGTGCATTGAAGGCATCTGCAGACTTTACCATAAGAATGGAGTTACTGAAGTGTAATGCTTTTTACTGTGGATGACTTCTCAGTCTTTAGTGATTGAGAATGGCTGAGGTGGTGCTTCTAGATATTTGTTTTTTATTTGAACTTGTCATTAGTGTTCAGATTTCTCTTAATTTTGAATAATGAAATATTTTTCAATTCAATTATCTTTCAGTTTTGAAGAATGAAGTAAGTTTTTTTTCAGTACTTTTTATGTCTATGATTTCAAAATAAGTTTTTAATTATACTATTTTCTCTATGTGACGTGTTTGTTGTACAGGTATTGCAGCCTTGTGACTTCTTCTTTGAAATGAAACAGTCAGGAACTAATCCACAGACAGCTGATCTAACCATTAAATCTCTAACAATAGAAGTAAGTAAACTTGTGTTTGTCTTGATTTTGGGCAAATTTGGGAAGAAACCTCTGAATTGTGTCCCTCCAGAAAGCAAATTCAAGCAGCCCCTCTTCCAGCTGGTTCAGGAAAAGATTTCCTTGGAGAATAAGTGGGAAAGCCTGTTTAATTAACAAGCAAAGTATCTAGAAGCATAAAAAAAAAATTAAAAATATTAAACATTAAAACCTCTCGCTGTTTGAAGAGATGGCAAATTCAGAAAGTCCTTGTTGTGGGGTGTAGCTTGGCTCGCTCAGTCTTGTATCAGTCCCTCTGATGCTGGAAAGTGCTGAGGCCCAGGCCCCAGTGGGCCACAGGTGTGAGCTCCCAGTGTTTGTCTGGGGTTTTGGTCCAGAGCAGGTTTGAACAGATCCAAGAAAAAAAAGAAAAAAAAACCCCACAGTCCAGGGAGCTTCTCTGCCTCAGCTAGCTAAAAACTAACTAAAAAGCAAAGGAGAGCTCTCTTCCTGTCCATGCTGCTGACAACTCAGTCTGGAAAGAGATGCAGGGGAGTGAGTGCAGTTTCTGAAAGCAAACTGCAGCTTCTTCTTTCCCTCCTTCCCTCTCAGAACCAGTTTTAAAGGTACAGAACTTAACATCCAGCATAAACAGAACACACAGTTTGGGATACAAACGTCATAAAGTCACCCCAGGACAGTATTGTATTATCACTCAGCAGGCTATGAAGTTGCTTCAGGAATGACTGAAGTGGGGAATTGTTCCTGTTCTTCATTAGAAGAACATCTACCTGTTGAGCATGTCAAAAAGATTGAAAGTTAACAACTGCGCCACTCTGCTTCAGTTTTGAAATCTGTGTTTTATAAAATGGCTGGTATGCAGAGATACATCTTGAAATGCTAGGATAAATCATTGAACGATGTAGTTTAGAAAGCTTTCATCAGGAAATGTCGTGGTTTTAAACCAGTAACTAAAAAAATTACTTATTTTCTTGCTGTGAGATATGGATTAGAACAAGAGCAAAACAGGCCCAAAACTTAAAAGGAATAAAGACAGTTTATCAACAAACTACAAGAATAAGAACACCAGAATAAACTTTCAGAAAACCCCCTTATCTTCCACATCTTAACTATTTCTCTGTACACATGACAACATAGAGACAAATAACTAGAACTTTGGTGGTTAAGAACAGTCTCAATTCTTGTTACAGTCTTTTCATCAGTCTTTGTAGAGAAACAGAAGTCTCTTTCTGTTAACTTACGGAGTTTCTCATGAGAAAACTATTTTTTGTCATAGTTTTCTATTTTTCTAATGCCAGCTGCCCGGAAATCTGTCATTAGATCTTCTCCTCCCATCTCACATCTCTCCGAGGTGTGTATGGGTCACTGAGCTTAGGGATTTTATTTTTAAGGATAAGTCATTCAAAGGCAGAAGTCTTCTTCATCTGTCTCTGTGAGCTTTCTTGGAAAACAGTTTTCTCTTTGCCCCCCAAAGCTTCAAAATCTTCACTCTACTCAACTCCAGCAACTCACAGTATCACAAGTACTCTCTCTCTTTTGCTCAAAACTTACACTTTGAATACTTTGTTCCTCCCAACACTCATCATGAATTAAAGGAGTCTTTTTATACTATTATTGTCCATCTCCATAGCTTTAACAGAAAGATATTTCAGCTGTAAAGCATCTCCTCATTCTCTCTTTCTTATTCAAACTTAACTCTTTTCTTCACTGTTTTTGGTTCTATGATGTCTTCTCTATGTTGATTGTCTCTCTCTCTGTCTTTCTGAGAAAAGGAGTAATCTGTATGTTTATCCAGGTAGTAAAAGAATTAAAAGCTTTTGGAAAACTGCAAGAGTTCATGGTGTTAAGTTTCAGTCTAGCAGCAAAAACTGAAAACCAAGCTCGGCTGGCCAGCGCTGCTTCTCTTCCCCCTCCCCCCACCTCCACCCCGCGGCCTTGTAGGCCTGGAGAGGGGGGGGAGGAGGCCGAGACAGAGCCTGCTACCTTGTCCGAAGCCGGAAACCAAAGAGAGCAAGAGAATTCTGTCTGTACTTCTTAAGGGGGTGTTTACAAGTTGAATTCACTTTTTAATGGTCAGATCTGCTGTCAATTCTTGGAAATGACCGATAATTGGTCAGAAGGAAAAACTCCCATCAGCCACCAGCAGCTTCAACTTCCCCTCTTTCTAAGCTGTCTTAAAGGTAAAGCTACCCCATGACAGGAAATAAGGCAGGGGTGGCAAATCTGAAAAGACTGAACTATTGCTTTTGGAAGGGGAAGTATATTTGAATGAGAGTCCTGTAGAAAATGGAAGTGTTTTCTTTTTGTAACATACTTGTTATACTTTTGTGTCTGAAACTAGCTGTTTCTGTACTAGAATCTCATTTGCAGTTATTCCAATTTCTTTTCTGTAGGTTTCACCAATAATCATAAACACAGTAATTACTATTACATCAGCTCTTTATCAAACTACAGAAGCAACAAAAGAAGAGATTAGTCAAATTCCGCCTGATTTGTGGAATAAGAAAGATATAAAAAACCTGAAAATGTGGTTTCTAGAAGAGACTAATGAAAATGAAGATAAAAATCCAAACACAGAACTGGTTCCCACAGGAGAGTCATTGAAAATTAATATAGAATCTGTTTTTCTAACACTTGAAGCTGGGGTTGGGCACAGAACAGTGCCAATGCTTTTAGCCAAGTCCTCATTTACTGGAGAAGTCAAGAACTGGAGTACTCTAATCAACCTGCATTCTCGTCTTGAGCTAGAGGTGAGGAATCTTACAAAAAGGAACAGTTGTTTTCCTAGGATGCTAAGCCTTATTGTCTAAATTTTACATACATGTTATTTAGACAATAAAAGAAAACCCATATATTTGATGACTAAACTACAGATATGTGTTGTGGGAACATAATGGGAATGATGGGTTAAGATAGCTAAATTAAAATGAAAATCTGATGCATCAGATGTAATGTTAATTAATGGCACAGTAATTGGTGTTATGCAGCCTCAAATTCGCACCCTTTGACTCCTAAAGACCTGTTGCATTAGTGTTAAGTGTTGGAATGGCAATTGGCTAAAATATCTAATAATCTTCAGTTAATATTACAGTAGAATATGTGTTGTTTCTAAAGAATACAGTGTGGTACAAATTTTGTTCATAAAACATCCAAACTGATTCACATTTGGAAATTAATGACAAAAGTCAGTGATTGTTATAGTTAGATTCTTCCTTATTTATAGATCTTGTGAATTACAGTGCACCTACCATTTAAGCCAAAATCATATTTTAGTGGCACAATTTTTACCATTTTCTTGGAACTGGGACTTTGCAGTAGAGATTGCTTCATTTTTTTCTCTAATGCATTTGTTTAATCTTATGGTAGTAGCTGAAAGTGCAATCTGATTATGAATCTTTTAGATTACCAAAATAATTAATATACTTGTAAATCAGAATTTGTTATTTAAGTTTTTCTAAATTCCTAACTGATTCCTGGATTTTGATAGGTACATTATTTTAATGAGATGTTTGGTGTGTGGGAGCCTTTGCTTGAACCTCTAGAAGTTGAGAAGACTGACTTATTCAAGCCATGGACTCTTGAAATCAAGGTATGGTTTCCAAAGCTGAAATCAAATATCACATTACAATACCTTAGAAAAAAACAAATGCTCTTCACCTTTAATTTCTGAGACTGATCTAACGATTTTGTTCTTTCTTGTTGGTTACTGAGAGTTTTTTTCCAAAATAGTAAATGAAACCAGTTGTTCTACAAGGAAAGATCTAGATTCACAGATCTCTTAAATACTGTTTTTCAGGTGGCAAATTTTTATTCTAGTTGCACAGGGTTATCAAAACAGCTTTATATCAGCTTGTCCTATTAGGCCATATGCTGGTGATGCGTTCAGTGACTTTGGAAAGACAAGCCACTGCACTGGTTCCACAGTAGTATGTGTTGCAGAATTGTGTTGGAAAAACTGATAGCTGTTGAGTAGCCTGAAGAGTATTGTGGGAGTAGTGCTCTTAACACTTCATTTTCATCCTTCATGGAAATAGACTAGGTTCTGTTCTCAAACTAGGTAAGATGTTATCAAAGGATGGGAGGTACCTTTTGTTTGTCTTCTTTCTGTCTTAACTGTTTCATTTCATTGTTACCTGACTTTTTTTCGAAACTGTTCAAGTATTTTTAGCCTGAGAAGTTGCTCAGAATTGAAGACCCACCCTTTTCCTAGGACTGCCATCAGAAACTTTCGGCAATAATAGCCTCAGAAGGATAAAGACTAAGTTACTGAAGTTAAGAAACTGCAAATTTAAAATACCCCCAACAATTTTCCAGAAAGGTACAAGACATAATAACAAAGAGAGGTAGAAGATAGTGAGTCAAACCTCATGTCTTCTCATCTCGATATGAAATAAAAAATTTAGAAATACATCATTTCCAAAAGTTTTGAAGGCTACAGAATATATTCCATCAGGGTTTTTTTTTTATTTTTTTCTTTCAGCCAAATGAAAAAAAAATAGATATTTGATTTGGAAACACACAACGACTAAATTTGGCGACTGTTTTAACACTAGGAAGTCAATTATGTGTAACATTTTACACATTAACTTGAGTTAATTTACATTTAACTCAAGAGGTTAAGATGAATGTTTTCACACAATATTTATTGAATATGTTAGTATATATTTTCTTTACTTTTGAATAAAATCATAAATTCAGCTACTGTTACTGGAATTTCATTGACTTCCTGAATATATAATTAGTCTCTTGTCTTATTCTCTCCCTCTTTCATTTTTATTTGAGAATAAAAACTTAAACAAAAACGACAAAAAAGAAAACTCTGTCAGGACATAGAAATAGGAAAAGGAGACAATAGTGAGTCTTAAGGTGAAGCTTTCTTCTACAGAAAGAGTGGTCAGATAAGAACTCTTTAAACATCTACTTTCAGATGAAGAAGGCTAAAAAAGCACTGTTTGAATCAGATGATGAAGAAGAAGAGAACTACAAAGTTCCAGAATATAAAACAGTAATAAATGTTTCCTCAAAAGACCAGCTGAACATTACACTGTCCAAGCTAGGACTGCAAATGTTGAGTAACTTGGGCACGGTAAGAAAGATTCCTTAACTATGCAGTGTAAGAATTGCCTGATGAATACTTGCAGAGATCATCTTGGTGAAGTCTTACCAGTATGTTTATGTTTTTTATTGCTTCTTTGCTTTCTAGGCATTTGCTGAAGCAGCTAGTCAAACTTCAGACATCTTCAAAAAAGACCGAGCACCATTTGTAGTAATAAATTCTTTAGGAGTTCCTATCACAGTCTCGCCTAGTGATTCCTTTAGTGTCCTTAATGTTGAATTTGGAGCAAAAATATTTCATTTAGAAGACAAAGAGAGTTTAAATATGGAATTTGTCAGAACTAGAAATGAGAGTGACCAGTTCACAGCAATGACAACCCTGTGTAGCAAGAGATTTTACATTCAGATCTGTAAGTTCCAAAGTTCATGTATCTTCTGTTTTTGTAAATATTTATCATGCTTAATACAGTGTCTTGTACAAGTCAATTAATTTTGGAGGACAACGTAACATGAAAGGAATGTCTCTTTGAATTCTAGATGCATGGCAGTATTTGGAATCCTGCTTTAGCCTTTACAGCTGAAAATGATATATTTCATACTTCTTAATTTTTGCAGTATAGGTTTTCTACTGCAATAAACTATTTATGTAATAATCTTTATTGTAGTCAGATATTTGTTTGCATTTATATGTTATTACAGAACTCAGCTGCTCAAAATAATTTGTTTTAGAATTGAGTACTGTATATATGTGTGTTTACAGAATTTATTCTTGAGAGAAATGTTTTTAAGAAAAGATGGTTTTAAATAATTTTAAACAATCCATAGTTAAAGCCAAAATTAACATTTAACTATTTTTAGTGGTGTATGTTTACAGTTTGAATTGATTTATTGTAGCAATTGGCAGTTTTTCAAACTTGACCATATGATATATTAATTGAGTTGCTTTTACAATATAAGATCTGTACTCTGTTAATAAGCCTTTATGTCCTGTAAGCTTTTCCTGTGAGGCACTAATTCTATTTGCAGTAGCAAAACCCGCTTAAATATTTGAGTGATGGACAAATTTACTCTTTTCCTTGTGGCAAGAAAAGAATCTTTGCTGTTTCCTTAGTAACACTGTAAGAGCAGCATATAAAGAGTGCTGCTTGTACTTTTTCATCCAGTGGGCAGTTTTTTTATTATTAGATTGAATGACACGGAAAATTCTACTGAATGCACATTTTTGTCTTTCAACTCTTTCTTTGTGCTCCTTTTGAGTGTTTCATGTCTCATCTTGCACATTCTAGGTCCTCATAATCATTCTGCTGTGGAGAAGATTCCATTGACTAAAGTGGGTCGATGTACTTACAAAGTGAGACACGAGGAATCAGGCGTTGAGAGGTCAATTGTCAGTCAAATTGACACGGTTGAAGGAAGCAAGATGATAACTATACGTTCCCCTGTTCAGGTCATTATATACCCATACATTTAATTTTTTAATGACTGAAAATAATCCTGTCATCTTTAAATAAACATGAAAAAACAGATTTTAAAAAGTTACCTGAATGGTCCATATAACTTTGCTTTGTGTTTAATTTTTCAAGAATAAAAAGCATTTTCAAAGTGACAGATGGGTTGGATGCAGGTGGACATCAATCAGATTTTGGATCAGGATCATTCATTAGTAATGTTAACTAATACTGCCTCTAATTTTGGTCTTGAACGATTTGCTTAGTATGTAGTCATCAAATTTCTTTTAATCTTACCTTGGTTCCACAAGTTATCCTTCAGTCAGGTTATTTAATTTTATTCATCCTGTACCATTGATACGTTATTTTCAAATTCATTACGGTGTCATTTGAAAAGTGAGACCTTCAAGTGTATATGTCTTTTGTTTGAATAGTATTTTTGATAGATATTGTATGGTTTATAACTACAGTGAGGAATCAGATATTACAGTTCACTATATCTCTATCTCTTACAGAGGTAGTGTTCATGTTACATTTCAGTTAGTTTTTTTTTGCTCAAAGTGCTTTATGATTTGATTAATAAGAAAATTTACTGTTGGATTATTTTCTGCATTTTTTTCCTAAGAGCTAATTAATGCCATTCAATTAACCACATAATAAATAAAAAAGAATGTTTGCAAGAAAACTATGTGCCCCAGGATGGACATTTATGACTTAACCTTAAACTTCTGACTTCCTCTATACTTTCACTATGGATTTTTGAACCTTGTATTTATTATATTTTTAGGAGACCAATGTTTGGAATGTCACCATATAGTTGAGATTTGCCTGTCTTTGGTTTTTCAAAATCTTGTGTTTCTCCTTAAAAAGCATTTAATAAACAAAATATAGCATTAAACTGCACAACCAGATAATTTAAAAATATTTGCTCTTTTAGAGACAGTTCTTCTGAAATACTGAATAGTATATGGGCAAGATGAAAAACAAGACTTCTCATTCTTGCTTTATTAAGCTGAAAATACTTTGTCTTTACAGTTTTTCCTAATATGTGTTGTTGCATTTTTATTTTACGTAGATAAGGAATCACTTTTCAATCCCATTAAATGTTTTTGAGGAAGGAAGATGTTTAGGGACTGCTTCACCAGCAAATGAATTCAACATACCCTTTTCCTCTTACAGGTACTTTATTATATTTTTCTTCTATAGTCGAATACATTTATACATTTTTAATTATTGTATCCATACAGTTATGCAAAAAAATTGTTTACCTTTGCTACTTAATACTTAAATAATACTGTGCTGTGTTTGTTGGGTAGGATCTTCTCAGGGCATGTAGTCTGTGTTAAACAGAGTACTATTTCATTGTTGAATTTGAAGTATTTTGAAATCCATTTTTATGAACAAGTTAAATTATCTAAGCTACTTTAAAAATCTGAGCTCAGGTACTTCTGGAACTTGTAATTTACATGATACACTTCTTAGTGGGTGGTGTTTGGTGAATTAGTGCAGCATTTTTTTTTTCCCTGAAAAGCCTTCTTTTGATTTTTTGATTGTGAAGTAACAGATTAAAAGCTATACACTTAAACTCTTTCAAAGATGTAAAAAAAGATTCATCAACCTTAGAAAAAGTTGGCATATAGCATAGCTATGCTATTATCACATTCAAGCTAATAACAAAACTGCAATGAGTTTGAATGTACATTTTAGCTGAACTGTCACCAAGTTTTAGGTAGGTAGGTTTGCTTTGATCGATTTTTTTATGGTTGCAGAGACTTCCTTCTTCTGTTTTCTCCCAAACACTCATCTCATTTTTTACAGCGAAAACTTTGCATCTTCTTCATTACTTATGTTTTACTGTAGATTCATTAATTCATTGTTACTTCTAACCACCTGTATAAGATTTAGTGATGTTCCAATTGTGTAGATGAGTTCCACTACACAGTCAGGAAATGTGTTTAAAAAAAGTCTTCATTCAGAAGCAAGTGTATTAAATTCAAGCCATTGCCTTATAAAAGCCATGTGTTTAAATAATCCATGAACTAACTTGATGATTTATGTGACTGAAAAGAGGGGCACTTTCTGCATGTTTTAGGAGTAAGTTGTTGATCCAGACCTTTAGCTTAGAACAGGAGCAGAGTAGCACATGTAAGGAAATTCGGTAGTTTCTTCCTAAGAATCTCCAATTACCCTTTCTTTGTAAGGGAAGCATGTGGAGGTATGGAACAAAAAACCCCAACTGTTACAAGAGTATGAAATTTTGGGATCCAGTCCATAATTTGATTCCTCTTTTAATCAAGATAAAGGCAGGCAATGAACTACTGCTAGAAATCTTCATAAATACAAATATTAAAATGTCCCTGTTGCACAGTACTTTTTTATAATTGCAGCATTCAGTCAAATGTTAAGTGTCTAAAAATGTTTTCATTTACAGATCCGTACTGAGTTTGCAACCACTAGCCAGTGAAAACGGAGTGGGTGGAGAGTATGATATGTGTGAAGGAATTACATTTGATGAAATTATGAAAAATGTTGATGGTTTATTACAAAGGAAATGCCAGTCTGTGAGGTCAACTAACCACTCACTTATCATCAATATTGTTCCTGTAAAAGATTCATTGACAACTTCATTAAGTGCAGAAGATGAATGGGATTTTCCATATGTTGTTCATTTATGGCCTTCTGTTCTTCTCCGCAATCTTCTTCCTTACCAAATAACTTATTCCGTGGAGGTAATTACATAATGCTTGAATTCTAGTGATGTTTCCCACTTACATTGTGAAAGCTAGTTGAAATGAGACTGGAGTGAAGGGGTTCTGGTGGAGTATTTGTGAAGCAAGTTCACAGATCAGGGCGAGTCTTAAATAGTCAAAGTCTGTATTTCCAGAATTGAAATATTATCCTAGAATGTGAGATGTGCTGTTAATGAAGCCATACTTTAGATATGTATGCGAAGTGAAGCTTAACACTGTACAAGGTGGGTCCTGTGAGGGTCACTCAGTTGTTCAAGAGCAACTTGAGCCTTATTAAATAGTGCAGCATTTTCTGCGAAGACTGCCTCAAGTGGATGACCCTATTGTTAGCATTTTATGTACAGTCACTGACTTTCAGCAGTAGCTTTTAACATGCTTTGAACAAGTTCTCACAGACCTGCCTTTTTCCCAGGTTTTGGCTTGAATTTCAGTCTATTGCCAGACTTCAGATTCCTTCCTGATGAAATTAAACAATTAGGTGCACTTTGACTGTTAATAGGTATTCTTTCCAGTGTCAGATGAGAGACAGTCTTGCGTAAAAGATCTATAACATGCAGTGTAGACATTGATTCCTCAGCACTGTATGTTTCATTCCATGGATCTGGTATAATTGTATCCCACTCCTTATTGATGTTGCTTAGGATAATAGAAATACAGTTGGGAGACAGATTTTTTTCAGATGGTCTTAATATTAGTATTTGAACTCAAATAATAGAATCTAAATAGTAAAACTTCATCACAAAGAAACAATTACTGGGGCTGTAGCTTGTACCAAATGTTTGGAAGTAATAAGCTCTGTATAAACTTTTACAAGTTTAAATTTAATGAAGAAAATGCTGTGTTGAGGAAATTTGTCATTTAAGAATATTTGTGTGTTTGAACTTGGTGATAGATGGGCTTTTTGATGTTGAATATTGATGACCATGCACTTAGGTTCTCTTTGCAAATTGTCGTTTTAAGGTAGACATTTATGAAAGTAACATAGTTAAATAGTACAAAAGGTATTTCAAAATTATGCCTAAATAGCTTGCATCTTAATTTTTAAAGCTAGCTAAAAAATAAAAGTTGATATGAATTTTGTGTGTGACCATGTAAATGTATCCTGTTTGGTATCTGCTTGTCTTTCTAAGGGAAATGGGAACAAATATGACACTCTACAAGAAGGATGTTCAGCCCAGATTCATAATGCAGTCTTGGACCAAACAAAACTAGATTTGCAGTTGCTTAACTATCTTGATCAAAACTGGAGAACCGAGTACCAGATAAAAAGCAATGTCCCTGATATCAGCTTCACCACATTTCACTGTGTCACAGAGCTGGATAAGACTGAACTGGATATTGCTGTTCATGTGACCTACACAACTGGGCAGATGATAATAGCAATTCACAGTCCTTACTGGATGGTGAATAAAACTGGTCGAATGTTACAGTACAAAGCGGATGGTATTCACCGCAAGCATCCTCCAGATTACAAAAAACCCCTCCTTTTTTCTTTCCAGCCTAAAAACTTCCGTCAAAATAACAAGGTATTGTATTTTGCAAACCTGACATCTCTGTACTCCCTCATGTTGTTGTATGAAAGCATTTTTATATTTTAAAATGTATTTACTGTATTTAAATTCTATGCTCTGTAAAGGGCATGAAACTAATATCTCTGTCTAAAAACAGTGTTCTAAATAAGCGTGTTGTCAAATATGCTTGAGATAGGAAATTTACATTACCAGAGGTGTTGTTAAGGAAGATATCCTCGCTTGAAAGAAGTTCACTGAGAAGTGTTTTCTAAATAAAAAAAATCCTTTTACTTTTTAACTGCATTAATAAAGGTTCTTATTCCAAATAAGACATAGAAATTGTGTAGAATATGTAAAGCTGTGGCATTTGAGCAATGAATGCTACTTGAAAAACTAGTACTTGAAATGGTGGTTGATAGATTGATTCTGGGTTAATAGAATGCTAAGGATTCTAGGTTATGGCTAAGGTTCACCATATGGATTTCCTGATTTTTTTGAATACTGAATGATACTGATGGATGTATATGAGAGAGATTACAAGAATGCATTGATTTACCTTTGAAATTTTAATTACAATATTTTTTAAAGAATCCTTATGTGATTGCTTCCTTTGGAATATCTTATACTTAAAATGCTTATTCCACATGGTTTATAACTAAACATGGTAGAAAAAATATTTGTGAGATGATACTGGCAGTTGTTATGTCTTGACTTTTTAACAGAAACACCAGTATTTACATTTATGTTTATGTATACTTTATATATCTATAACTTTAAATGTTTTCAGTGAATTGTAAATAGAAAATTAATTCAGGGGACTTCTTCACAGGTGCAGCTTAGGGTAACTGACAGTGAACTGTCTGATCAGTTTTCTCTGGACACTGTTGGAAGTCATGGTTCTGTAAAATGCAAGAGTCATAAAAAGGAATATCAAGTGAGTTAAATTTATCTTTCAGATTCATTATTTTCAGGAGATATAAATGGGGTTAAAAAAGTGTACTTAAAATAATCTCTTTCTGTTCACAGGTTGGTGTCACCATACACAATAGCAGTTTCAATATTACTAGAATTGTAACCTTCACTCCATTTTTTATGATTTCAAATAGAAGCAAATACACTTTGGAGGTAGCTGAAGAAGGCAAGGAAAAGTGGATTCCCATTGTTTTGCAACAGGTAAACTTATAATGGAACCTCTTCCAAGTTGTGCCTCTTAAGGGAAAAAAACTGGTTTGAACACTCACTAATGGAAAACATGAACCATATCCGGTATTCTGTGACAATGCCTGACTACACCATGCTTTTTCAACCAATGATCTGTGTCCTTTGCCATTTCTCAGTATTGCATTCGGACATACTGTTAAGATGACTTACATTGTACTTGGAATTTTTTATTCTATCACCTTGTGTCATAAATAGTATGAGAAAAAGACCTCTACTATATTATATTATTGTTGTATTATCTCTCTGCAGTGGCATAGGAGCTTCTGCTCATTTTAGCAGTGGTATGTGGTAGAATATTTTGGCTGACCTGCTATGCATGAAGCCACTGTGGTATGTGAAGAAATTCCCTAGTGTGGATCAGTTCAGAGAGATCCAAGTGGTTCTTCTGGATCTAGTTTCACTTCTACTTCTAAGTGCTCAATGCATACTTCCTAGAAAGGGATCCCTCAGGCCGCATGGTGTGTAAATGGGTTTAGGGCTTTTGTCTATGCTGCAGAGACTGTTGCAGACTGGGTATGCACCTTGTCTGTTTGCACTGCAGTACCACACAATTATGTCTTGTATGTGTGTTGAGTCTTGGGGCCATCATGCCTTCCTGCAGAACATGTAGGAAAAGCAGCACTTGTTTGGGGTAGTGTTGGAGGTTTCTTAAAGCTGGAAGTGATCTGTAGTGCCTTCTGGGAAGAGTGAAATCCTTCCCCTTACCCCTTGACAAGAGCATTATCCAAAACAGAGTTTAGCCTAACAAATAGTGTGGTTGAAGGCCCAGTTAATTTCCTGTAGAATCCTATAAGTGCAGGACTGTTAGGCTTGGAAAAGATTTCTAAGATAATGTATCAAGTCCAACCACAAATCTGGCTCTACTTAAATAAGTCACCACAAAAAGAGATCCCCAAATGCCACATCCACAGATCTTTTGAACAGTTCCAGTAATGGTGATTCCACCACTTCCCTGGGCAGTCTGTTCTAATGACAGACTTCCCTTTGGTGAAGAAATTTTTCCTCAGCCACTTTAAATGTCCTCTGGTGCAATCTGAGGCTGCTTCCTTTGGTCCTGATGCTTGGAGACCACCCCCCACTTTGCTACATCCTCCTTTCAGGCAAGTAGTAGAGAGTGGTAAGGTGACCTCTGAGCCTCCTTTTCTCCAGACAAAACAGTCCAAGCTCCCGCAGCCTCTACTCTACTCCTAGGACTTGTGCTCCAGACCCTTAAGCAGCTCCATTGCCTTTCTTTGGACACACTCCACCTCAGTATCAGCATCGTAAATATTCCAATTGATTACTAAAAATGTTTGCAAACCAAATTGCAAAAGTTCAAATAATATATTCAATGAGATTCCTAATCAGATCTTTCTATTACTTTTTTGTTACCTTCAGTACACGCTCCTTAGTTGAGTATATTATCTTTAATGATACAGTCATTAAAGATGTGCCATTTAAATAGCATTATTTCAATTACTGAAATTGGTATTTTGTTCCATTGTGATTTTTGTTAAGGATGCATAAAGATGTTTAGATCTTTAGATGTTCAGTTAGTTCAGCTTCCCATTTTTTTATAATTTTCAAAAAAAGTTTCTTTGCTTTTACTCAACACTGGACTTAAGACAGTGACATAACCTTGCATGTTTGTTCTGTTTGCTAATATTCTTTTGTTCCTCTGAACCAAACTTTTGCTTGGCCTTACATAGTTCTTGAGATTTTTGCATTTCTCATCGAGTTTATTGATAAAGGTCTGAAATTACTATATCACTATAATAGTGTATGTGTAGTGATATGGACAATTTCATATCTAATTTCTTGCTCTTAGGAAATGTGATCAGATGGTAATATTTCTTGTTTTGCGGCTTATATTTGATATATCTTTGCTATTAGAATAAGCCAAAATATTTACAGAAAGTTCTGCAATTTCTGCAAAAACTACTCAGAGGTAATAATTTTGAAAGTTAAAGTATATTCTGTATATATCATCTCTAGGTTTCCCATGTTGGCTGTTTTATTTGTGTGCCTACAGGATTTTCTAGTTTGTCCCACAAATGTCAATGTTTCTTAGATGTTTCATAATTGTATTGATTAATCTTAGTCTTCTTTTGGTAATAAAGTATCCATGGAAGACTTGTGGATCTTAGGATCACTCCTAAAAACTTTTAAAAGGCTAGATATCACAATTTACCAAATAGAGCAGAAGAATCTGAATCATCAGAAGAATTTGAATCCCCTTCTAAAGCCTGCTTTCACATTGTGTCAATATTTTCCCCTTTGATAGGCAGTCTCTAAAAATCCATGTTGTGACAACTTGGTCTACCAGGGTTGTTCTTTTGTGGTTCAGTTGCCTTATCCAATGTGCTTTTCATCTCTTCTAACTGTAGGTAGTGTCAAGCCTCTACTGGTCTATCTCTGTTCTTAATCCAGAGCAATTTCCAGGAGCAAGTTTCCATCTGATCCTGCTGCTGGGATGGGGAGTTCGGCTATTCTTCTAGTCTAGATTTTTTTTTTAACTAATGATTGTGATTTTTTTTTTGAGTATTTCTCACATAACTCTTACATTAGGTTGATTTTCAAAAAATGAAGTAGCTTGCTGAAATGTTAATGAATATTTTGGCTTGCTTCTTTCTTCCAATATTCTATTTTTTGTCATTTTAAGTAAGTCAGAGACTTTCCTGCTGAGTTTATTTTTTAAATTGACTCTTCTTTCTTAGTGACAAATAACTTGTCTTTTCAGGAAAAAAAAGCAATTCTTGTGTAAACTAATCTTCTCTGAGACATCATCCCTCTCCAGAAAGTAGTAAATACATCAGAAATATGCATCACTATTTCTAGAAAAATCCATTGATCTTCCAAAATTACAACAGAATTTGATGGACAGTGATTAGTGTGCAGTGGCTTGCTAAGGACATCCTTTTAATTATGTGTAGTGCAAGGCTGTTGATCAACAGATATCCTTAGAGAAAGAAGACATTGCTGATGGCTGCTCATAAGACTACTGCTAAATATAAATTGAAGATCCCACTGTGGAAGCAAAATTGTATAAATGTAACATCCAGTGAAGCACTTAACCAAATGTGTGGTAAAAGGCTTGAAAACAACATCATTATGTGACACAATCTGTGGCTAAAGTCTACTGCAAAAAATTTAAAATTCTCCATAGTTGATTCTGTAATGTCTTGTTTAGCCAATCCTGTTTACTTATTTGGTTTGGGTTTTAAACTTCCATTTACTATTGACTGATTCTCCTTTAATTTCCTCTGGGCTCAATTAACTCCACATTGAGAATTACATGCTGTGTTTTATTATGATGTACAACACAATTTAAATTTCCTTTGTCTGTGGGATACATGTTGATGTAAATAACACCTTCAATCTTACAGTTTAACTATATTTTTTTCCTTTGTCTTCCTGCTTCCTGTGGTGTGAGAAACAATGGGAAAGGGAACTTAGTGGCATGGTAAGTTAGTGAACCAGTCTTTCACCACTGAAGAATTAATTCCAGAATCCAGATGCAATTAAATATGGATATCTCATTTCTTAAACTATGTTAGAGAGAGAGAAAAATGGTTCTAAAATTTTGGATGCTGCATGTCAACAGTTTGAAATACAGGAAAGATGGTGTGTCTAAAAAGACTGGCTGTTCATAGCTGAGAGTTACTGTTAGTCATAGCTTGTTCTTGTGACAGGACTCAATTAGTAAGAGACTTTTCATTAGTTACAATTAAAACTTCTGTCTTCTCTGTCTCCTGGTTGTCTCCATTTAGCAAGTAAACTCTTGAAGAGAGATTGTCTTTGAGATTTTAAAATCCATAATGGTTATGATTTCAGTTGTGAATGTGAGTAGCAGAATGTGCTCTCTGATTAAGCTGCCTGATGTTTTCATGTTGTGTTTTTTATAGCCACGTACATATGTGGGTATAGGTACTTCTAAATATATGTGAAACACTTTTAAAAGGACTGCAAGATGTCTTGTGTACTCAAATTACTCTGGTGTGGTGTTTATGCTAATATTATGTTTTGTCATTCCTTGTCACTGTAAGATTGATTTGAAATTATACTTCTTTGGAAAAAGTCAACTAATGGAAGAACAGTTTCATCTTTTTTATTTTACCAAGATTGGAATTTTCTATGTTATAGCTATTTTATACTCTGGATTTAGGTACTTCATTCATTTTAAATGTACTTTTTATTGTGAATATGAAGTCTTACTTTTTCCACTTTAGCTTCTTAACTCCTCACTTTCTTCACTGTAGTCTGAATTATTTCTTGACTTCCTTCCAGTTTATTATATTCAGGTAAGTAATAACTTACAGGTTTTTTTAATAGGGTTTCTGATGCTAATTGATAAAATTTTGGATGGAATTTAGTAGATGAGTTTTGGACTATGTGAATGTCATTTAACACCTCATTTGTATTCTTACTCTGAAATTTCTATTTTTCTTTTCTAGTGTATTCCCTTTTGGCCTGAAAATGATGCCAACAAACTGCTTGTTAGAGTTGAAAATTCTGATCTCCCTCCAAAGAAGATAAATTTTGATCAGCAAGAAAGCTGTCTTTTACTGCATTTGGACAATAAGGTAACAAATTGCCTTCCATATTTAGATGTTAGGTAAAACAGCATAAATCACTTTTTTTATTTTTATTCTCAAAACTTTGTTTTCCCATGAAATCAAGTATTGCAAAACCCTAGCAGAGGAAAAGATTGTTTATACAAATACATTCTCATACTCTCTTTTTCGTGTGTGTATAAACAGATGTAAGTAGGTATTCTGTTTTAAGCACTCCTCTGGGGAGCGGTTCTACAGGAGCTAAAATACAGCTTGTTTTGCAAGTATTCTTTGTGAGAAGTACTAATATTAATTTTAAACTACCACTGAGTTGCTCTGAAAAGTAACTTTGCACTAAATTTACTTGCATTTATGTTGCAGATAGTCTCATCTAGCAGTAGTTTTTAAGTAGGTGAATGGTTTTTGAACTGTAATGTTCTTGAGGGCATGAATGTGTATGCTTGTAATAAGGAAGGTTATTCTACTACCAGTCTGACTTTTCACAGCATGGAACTCCTGCTGTGAAAAGTTTTAATTACCAAGTGTAATACCTGCTATCTAGTATTTAGATCAAGGAAATATTTTGAAGATATAGAAAAACATTTTGAAGATATAGAAAAACAGCTATTTTTATTATATGATAGTTTCGTCTTATGATGAGAGGAAAAGCTTTCAAAATATTTAAATTATATTTGCTTTGCTGAAAATTCATTCTGCTGTTACTTTATAATTTTTACAACTGATAGCTTGGATGGCATGAAGACATGTGAACTGTAATTTTGTAGTTTGTATACTGTAAGCATACATTCTCTAAAGAAGCCTGCTTTAAAGAAATGGCTCTCAAATTTTGTCAGAGCACCCAAAAATCTCTTGCTTGGTAAATTGAAGACAATGAGTTGTTAGCAATGTTATATAGTGCTAGGTAGTTCTACAAATGAGCTGTTTTGTGGCGTCTTTTTATATGAATTTTGTGGCCTTGTGACATCTACATTCCTGATGAGGGGGCAGTGGATGTAGTTTTCTCAAATTGTGCAGTGCTGACTGTGCAGAATAATTAAGGAAGGAGATATAGATAAAATCATGGGTTAAAGTTATGTGAGATGTGAGGGGGTGAGAGGTAGTTATGTAAATTTTGTCAAGCTAGGATGAAACTAAGATAATTTTAACAAATATTAGTTTTCTGCACAGAGTGAATATTTACTTCTGCACTTGCACACAGTTACTCTGTTCTCTACCTGTAATCATTTTGTAATACTTTGCCATTGTATGCAGATACTGTGCAATGCTGAGAAGTGTATACCTGCAGCATTCTACTTTTTTCTACTCTTTTTTCCCTTCAGTCAGTCAGAGCAATGTAGTTTAAAGATTTTTACTTGGAGGGTGTAAGAGTTGCTAGTCAAATCCTGTTTGCTTCCTATTTGCTTGAAGAATGATTGTTTGATTTGTTTTTTCTCTGTGAAGATTAGTAACTTTTATCTTTTCAGATGAATTGTGGGCATTCATCGTGCTAATTTAATTAGAACAGAGTACAGTATTTTGAGAGGAAGGGCCGATCATTTAATCCAACTGCCTGACCACCAGGTCTTACCAAAAGTTTAAGCATGTTATTAAGAGTATTGTCCAAGTCAAGGGCAGGGGCATCTCCTGTCTCTCAAGAAAGCCTATTCCAGTGTTTTGAAATGAAGTCTTCCTAATGTCCAGTCTGAACCTCCCCTGGCACAGCGTGGATGCAAGGGAATGGTTCAAATCACTGGATCCCAGCAAGCAGAGATCAGCATCTGTGCACTTCCTCTCCTGGGGTAGCCTCCTTTCAGAGAGCTGTTGAAGACAATTCTGCAAGTTTTTAACTGTGTGTGAGGGGGAATGGTATTTAAAACACATTTGTCTGAAAATGTTCATCACAAGGGGGTAAAGAAAATAAGTACTAGTGTATATACTTCATATATGCCTATTTTAAAGTACACTTTTTTGTATTTAAGTATTTATATAAAATGCATATAAAAGTATGTATTTTAAATCTTCATTCTTATTACTGAGAATGTTCTGAGAATGTTTTTGTGCATGTTTTTTCATGCATAATGTTGTTTTTTGTTCTATTTTCATTACTTGAAAATATAATCAGTGTTCTTGTTGAAATGCTAGAATGCAAAGGTCACCAACACAAAATATTCACTGATATTTTTAAATTTAAAATTACTTTGTTCTAGCTCCCTCAGTGAATTGGAAGACTGCCTTCAGCCAAATAAGGCAGTGTTGTATACTTGGGCAGACCCAACAGGATCTAGGAAATTGAAATGGAGATGTGGAAATAGAACTGAGGAAATTTCCCCAAAAGAGGTATGTTTTTTTATCAACACCTCATTTTAATGAAGTCTACTTTTATATTTATATTCCATTCATCAGTGTATGCATTAAATTTTGTATTTAATGAGTATGATCAGCAGTCTCATATATGAGTTCCAGTCACAGAATGGTAACAATGCTTTGTTTGCCAGAGCTTGTGCCAGTAAGCAGTCTTCAGCTGAATAGTGTCTGTGTGTGTGGTGAGAGGCTGTCAGAAGGCTTTGTCATTACTTTTTTCCCCTGTACCTTAAAATATGTCTTCCATTGCTGTGTCGCTAAGACTCCAGCATTTTTTTGTGAAATAGAATGATTAATAGAGTTGTAAAAACTTTTCCTGTCTTGTTTATAGGACAAGATGGAAATACTCAGTGTGGATTCTAGAAAAGCGGTCTATTTAATGTCGTTTTATGAAGGTTTGCAGCGTATTGTCCTCATCACTGAAGACGAGAATGTATTTAAATTGACATATGAAAGCGTAAAAGCAGAACTAGCAGAACAAGAAATTGTTCTGTCTTTGCAAGATGTTGGAATTTCATTGGTTAATAATTACACAAAACAGGAGGTGTCCTACATTGGAATTACAAGGTAACTTACTTTGTGTGCAACAATCTAAAATGTTTAGCTTCAGGTACTTTCACTCCGTGAATTTCATTTTGGCTTGTGCTGAAAGAGCAAAAAGAGGTCTGGGTTAATAATATCAAACCCAGTCACTATATTTTCTGGCTGTCAAGAGATATGTTTTCACTGTGTTTTGTAATGCATATGCTAACTGTGTTTAGATGCATGTGATTTTGGAACATATATTTGTAATTCTGTGTGGCAGACTTCCTTGAACAGAAAATACTTCCTGTCCATGTAGTTTGAGAAGTGATAATAGAGTTTTTTAAGAAGTACAGTCTGTAAATAGTTTGTGGCAGTGGGTTTTGTTGTCTTCACTACAGAAACAGCTGAATTCTGCATTGGAAATTTTGATGCAAAAGCTTGTAGGTCCCTTTATTTTGGTTGATTAATTTTGGTTGATTAATTATGGTGATCCAGGGCCTTACTGCTTGGATGTCCTACTATAACATTTCAAAGGGAAGTAGAAAAGAAATTGTGTAATACTTCAGAAATGTGTGCCATCATATATTTGGACAGGAGCTCTTTGCAATCATCAAGGGACTCTTGAATATAATTGCCATAATCCACACACTTGTTTTTATTCACATTTATGAGGTTGACAGAGTGAGAATTGTTTTTATCTTGATTAGTCCTTTGCACTCTACTGAAAAACAAACAAGTGTGAACTTTTCATACACATAGGCTTCACTTAATCACATCCATCATTTACTAAGAAAATTCCAGTCCTTGCCCTCACCTGAGAAACTGTGCTCTGGTATTTAGACAATGGAAACACTCCATTAAATGTGGCAGGTAATTGCCAAGATTCACAGTAGTATTGAGATTTCACTGAATTGGTTTTTCTTTGAAAGCAGTCATCCATAGTCATTAGTCTAGAAGTGCTTATAGTAAGTTTTGTTTTCTTGTCAAACCCTGTTGAGGTGTTAAACTTCTTGAAAATGGATGGCCATACTGATGAAATTGGCTTCTTTTTTTTAGGAGCAGCAAAAAACCCCACAACCCAAAAACAAAACCAGAAAAAGTGGAAAGAAAAAAAAAAGGGGGAAACTCTCAGCAATCAAGATAGTAATCATTTTTGTAGTTGTTTTTTTATTGTTTTGAGCTTCAGCTAACCTTTTTTTTCCTACCATTAATATGTCTCAACACAGACACAGATATAGCTAAAAGAGGTTAGGTGGTTGTGTCTGGAAAGCTACATATTTGTAGGCAATAGTTTATATGCTTTTTATATGCTTTTTATAAAAGTTTATATACATGTAAGTTTATATACATAATTTATGGGCTATAATTTATGGAAAGAAGTACCTTCTGCCTGCCTGATGGTGTTGGTTTGTGCCCTATTTTGTGCTTTATGTTTGACTATAAGGTGAAATCAGACACAGAGTTTCTCACAGAAGCAGTGGGAAAAAGTCAAATGCCCTTTAAGGTTGATGAATTATTTGCATTAATAAAACTGAGGGACAGAAGAAAGGATACATTTCAAAAAAACCAAACAGAAACAAACCTAAAATTCTCACCATGAAATCAGTAGAGGAAGCATGTAAAAGAAAATCAACACTTACTGGTTTTAGATGGAAAGACTAAATAAATAAGCTGTCAAAAATAATATGCAAAAATAAATGCAGGAGGCATTTTGTCTTGACTTGAACATTTTAATTTCTAGTAAATTTAAAATGCCAAAATAAATGCAAGACTATAAGCAGAAAACATCATTGAGATTGTAGAACAATGGATGGCAGTACTGTTGAAATTGAGCTTCCTTGAGTATCGCTACATAACCATTTTCATCAAAGTGGGGATTTATACACAGGCTTGTTAAATTTCTTTTTCCCCATCATATTGGAGAGACTGGCTTCTGCTTAGTGGCAAGAGGGCAGTGCATGATTCGGGTGGCTTATTTGCTACAGTAGTGCTTGATGTTGTGGTTTCTCATTCCCTAGTTACAACCTGTTAAAAGTCACACTAAAGTAGGTGTGGTTTTGAAAACTTGTTTTCAAAAAGCTAATCCTTCTGTTTTGGTTCTTTGTTTTGCTTTCAAAGTTCTGATGTGGTGTGGGAGACAAAACCCAAGAAGAAGTCAAGATGGAGACCAATGAGTGTTAAGCAAATTGAAAAATTAGAACAAGAATTCAGAGATTACAATGAGCTAAGTCCTTCAGAAAATAAGATCATTGAGTTGGAATCTAATGTTTTGGTAATACTGATAGCTCTCTAATTCTATTGCTTATGTGTATGCACAAGAAAGAGATAATATATCAATTTTGCTGTCTTTGATAAAACTTACGGTGAAATTTGAGATTATTGATTTACCTACTCCATTTGAAAACATTTCTTTACCTCTGTATTAAAAAAAATGCAGGAAAAAAATCCATAAACTTTTGATATCTTGGTACAGACTTTTTGTTAGTGCCTGGAGGTGTAACATTTTTGTAGGTGGTAGTGCTAAATATGTGTTAAACTCCAGTAAGGAAGCTTTGCATTTGGTTCATATATTGTATCAGTAAATGTGTTAGCAGTTTGGGGTTGGTTTGTTTGTTTTAGCCTGAAATCCAATATTTTTAAAACGGCTTATTGTGGAATGATTTAGCTGTCATTCAGTCCCGTAAAACTGAAAAAGAAATTGCAGATGGAATGTAGAGGCACATTATGCTCCAAATGCTCGGTCCTTGTTAATGGATAAATTCTAGACACTCCTTAGAAATGTGCTGTAGGTAAATAAACATTGGATAGCTAAATGATCAAATTTTTATTTCAGTCGTAGTCCATTACACTGTGCAGCTTTTCCTCTAGATAGCTATGTATTAAATGACAGTAACCCCCAAATAAAGCACTATTTTGTAGTTTCATTTCTATTGAAATTTATGGGCAAAATTTGTTTGCTTTAAATAAAGGAAAATTTTGGCATCTAACGTAAAAGCTGCAGAACTTTTACTGCTGAGGTTTACAATATTTGTGAATATTGTAAATTTTAAAGTATATTATATAAAGCAGTATTTTAGAACATACTTGACATAGAACTCAACATACCAAATTTTCTTTAATAATAGGTATGTTTAACTCCTAATGGAGTGAACATGAAGATTCAACAGCCAAATGAGATTCCTATCAGAAGAAATTATCTGCCAGCTTTGAAAGTGGAGTACAGTTCCTCTGCACATCAGAAGTCTTTCAGAATTCAAATTTACAGGATACAAGTGAGTCATATCGAAAAGTAGTTGTTATTTATTCAGAAAGAACATTTATGGAAACTTGGGTTCATTTCTAGAATTGGAATTGGATTTCTCATGTTCTCAATTGTAATCATTGGCTTTTACATCAGTGCTTCTCAGTCTTTGAAAATACTACTTAAGTACTTCTTGGAAAAAAAGGAAGACAACTATGACTGTTCTGAAAGAAATACTTGGCATTCATCTTACTTGCTTTTTCTTGGAGCATTTCTGTTTATCAAGCAAAAAGAGAGGTGAAATTTCTTGTTTTGCTATGCTCAAGATTTTCAAAACAAATCCTTTGCAAAAGTTTTGTGGACCATTTATTAGTACCAATTTGAAGAAACATTTCTAAATTATTAGAATTGGATTATTAGATTTTGAAAATCAATACATTTTAAATACAGTAGTGGCTTTTTTCTGCTTTTGTATTGGTGGAAGGCCACAGGTAATGATCATATCGGAGTTTGTCCTGATTTTAAAATATTTCACTATTGAAAAGCTAATGTGCTGCACCTTGTCCTGTCCTTACCCCTACTAGATACAAAACCAGATTCCTGGAGCCATATTTCCCTTTGTGTTCTACCCTATTAAACCTCCAAAGTCCATCACCTTGGATTCAGGTTTGTTCTAGTTTAACATAATCCTTCCTTTTAAAACAGTAAGATAACTTGCTTGTACCGAAGTTAACCATCACTTTCATCAGGTGAAGTCTGCATGACTTTTCTGACTACAGATAGTACACATAATAATGGTAGAAGTACCATATAGGTACCTGTACAAAGAAGATACACAGAAAACCATTTCAACATTTAACAGTTTATAGAAAAGAGGAAAACATCTTTTATTTGTCATTATCATACCTTTTAAGAGCATCTTTTTGGCACATTACTAAGTTGATTTTGGCAACATATAACATCAAACTTATATAAGCTTAAAAGGAGGTTTTCAGTTCAGGCCACCACTAAAATTTAATGCTGGCTAATACATGAGAAGACTTGGCTGTTCATAAGATGAGTCTTGTTAATTTTGATGGTAGTGAATCTGTTGCACTTTTTCTGTGCTACTTGCATTTGGAGTTTTGGGGCAGTGAGGGGACTTACTTGCCATCCTTAGTCTCCCACTATTTTCCTACTGCTCCAGTGTCATGGAATTAATGACCTAGTAACCTGTCTGAAGTAATCTTAACTAGTAAGAAAAGAAATGTGCCTAAGCTAAAAGTTGTTAAATGAGGCACCATTTATAAGCTCTCCAGATGGTAAATTATATTTTGTATGGTTTATGTATGCTTTCTCCATTGCTTGGAGCATAGAGCTCAATATCATTATACTGTGTGATGAACTGGAGTCTTTTATTAATTTTTTCGTGCGAAAGTCACTTGGAAAATCTAAGTAATATCAAAAGAATTCATGTTGAGACAAAGAATACTGTTTGCAATTTTATTCAGAAGCTAGTAGGATGTCATGTGTTCATTCTAAATATGACTGATTTTAAGCTACAGTGCATGAATCTGCAGAATTCTTTTTTGTTTAATTTACAGTTTTGTATCAGCCACTGGAAAATTTAATTCCACGATTAAGTAAATGATATAAATCTAATATTATATCAATATTAATTTGCTTTTAAATGAAAATGGCACATTTCCAATTAAATATCATTTTGATGTTCCATTTCATCCATGTCTTCCTATTACTTTCTGTTCCTGCTCTTTTCCCTGTCTTAGCTGTTCGCCAGTCATATCCATTATGTAATCCTGTTGTGCAGGATTAAGAAAACCCTGAATGTATATGACATTTTCATAAAAAAACTTACAAAGTCTTACATATATCATGTAACAATCTGTGCTGATCTCTTTTTATTTGACAACTTCATAGCACCAAAACCATTTACTGATGTCAGTATTGTCATGAGAACTGCTGGACACTCACAGATATCTCATATTAAGTAAGTATTTTGACATGTTCCATCTCAGTTACTATTGGATATATTTAATCAAGCTTTAAAATTAATATTATTATAGAGACAAACATAATGAAAGGTAATATTAACACAAACTCAGTCTTGGAAACTCAGAGCATTTTAACAGAGATGAAAGCTGTGTCCTTTATTATCCACATAATTGAAGAGTAAAGCAAGGATTTTTAGATGTCTTTTTAATTCATATTTTTAGTCATCTTTATTTAGAAAAAATGTATATACTGTTGTTATATACAGTGTTAAATGCTGCTATGTATTTAAAATTCTTCTGATTACTTGGAAATGTGTTTATCTTAAGTGGGAAGCCTTCTTTTCATCAGCAGTGATGAATCCCTCAAAAAAAAACCACAAAAAAAATGAAAGAAGAAAACCAACAACAAAATACAAACACACACACAAAACAACCACCCAAAACCCCAAAACAAAAACCCACAGCAAAAAAACCCCACCAAAACCAGTACCTGACGTTGTGTAAGTGGTCTAAATACTCTATACTAAGCTTTAACTGTTAAACATTTTTGTAGAACACCTTAATAATTACTTTTTGTTTCATGTGTAGGTATTTTAAGGTTCTGATTCAAGAGATGGATCTCAGATTAGATCTTGGCTTCCTGTATGCAATTGGTGAATTCTTTACCCAGACTGATGTGCCAAGTGACCAAGAGGTAGAAACCTTTAGTTGTTTGAAGATGTTGTAAGTTTGTAGTTGTAAGAAGATTCTGAATTTTGAACTATTCAACTTGTATTTGAAAAAAAATTAAAAATTATTTTCTAGGTCCACATCAATGATTAATTTCTGTGTATCTGGGAATAATATGAAGCTATGAGGTTTTTAATTACTGTTGGCTGAAACAGTGACTCCTTCCTTTATGCTCTTCTTGTATGCTATGCAAAGAAGTCTTTAAACCTTACGGTATAGGGACAATGAGAGGAATTTGAACATAGGAGGAGATAATTATTTATTGTATCAGTGAAATTTGTATTATAATTATTTATTATAATTAATTTATTGTATCAGTGAAAAATGACTAGTAGTTTTAAGTACTCTAAATTTTGAAGTGATATCTTTTTCAAATACGTTTACAGCTACAACTTTTCAAAAAGGATGTTGAATCTCTTCAAGAAGAACTAATGAGTGTGTCATCAATGGATACATCACAAATCAGCTTGTATGAATACTTTCATATCTCTCCAATTAAGGTATTCCTTTTTCAGATTACAGACTGAGTTTGCTCTCTGAAAATTTTTGGAGTGCGGGATAGTAGGCTCTGGAAATAAAGATTGGAACAGCTAATTGAAAAAAAAGGTGCCAAGAAAGTATTTCCATTGTTACCACTAACTTACTATTGCATTCCTATGGCTTTCCTTATGACTAATTTTTTTTTTTTTTTCATTTTATTATTTAAGAGTTCCTTGCAAAATGCTCTGGTTTATGTGCACACAGTGTATTATGGATTGGAGAATGACATAATTTCTAAAAAAACCATACGTAACCAGGGTAGGAGATTAGTGTGTAGCTGACATTATTACAGCTGTAATAGGAATTCAAGGTCTCTGTAACAGTTCTTAAGAGAGTCTCTCATCTATCCATGGGAAGTAGATCAAAGAATGATTTGAGTTTCACCTTTTGGCAGTATCTTGTGAGATGTTAGAAATTATATTTGACAAGGAAAATTGCGGGGAGGAAATAGGAGGGAATAAATGGGCTTGAGGTTTTAGTGAAAGATTAGTTGTCTTTAATCATTATGTGTTGAATGATAATGATTCTGCAAGGTGAGCTGAATGTATCACTGAAATGTCGTGTAGTTACGCTCTTCTATAGCATAATGAATGTCGTGTGATATTGTCTTCAGAGAATCAGAAATAGGCATAACTTCCTTTAATCTGATTTTGAAAACTGCTGGATAGATTTGTACTGTTTTGTGCTATGAAAGCCATTTGAGCAATTTTCCTCAATGTTGTTCTGTTCTGATTTCTTTGAAACAAATGCCTTGGTTATTTCAGGTAGGTGTACAGGTAGGATTTATGTGTGTATTTGGCACCTGCAAAACTGGTATTAGTAATTATTTGTTATCAAGCTTTTGTTACATTCTTGCTTGGACAATGTACTTTGTTGTCATTTCTGTCTGCTTTGATTTTGGGTATAAATTAGAGAAACTAAATGTTATAAAAATGAGTTAATAATCTAAATTATAGCTAAAAGAATCCAGAAACCTCTTATGAAAACATAAGTAAGCAATTTCAAGTTCTTGTTTTCTTAAGGGTAGTTCAGATTCTTCACTTTGGCTTTAAATGTCAGTGGGCTTTTTTTTGGCCTACATTGTGTATTTGTATATTCTGTTACAAAGTCAGACTGGTTTCAGTCAGACTGAAAATGTCTTAACTCAATTTTTAAATCATCGAAAAAATTATAAAGATAGAAATACCATGTATCTAACAACTAACCATGTTATTTCCCAATCTCATTTTTATCCCTCAGTTACACTTGAGCTTTTCACTCAGTACGGGTGGAGAAGATAGTAACAAAGAAGAGAGAAAGAATGAATTGATACCATTTCAGTCCTTGAATCTCCTGCTGAAGAGTATAGGGGCCACCCTTACAGATGTACAAGATATTGTCTTTAAGTAGGTTAAAAATATGAATGTAAAAAGCACTCTCAAAGTTTATATCATTATTACATCTGTTAGGCTTTACTTCATTCTGCATAGTAAGGATTTACTTCTTCTCTCTTATCTTTTTTTTAGGTTGGCATTCTTTGAGCTCAGGTATCACTTCTGTACTACACAGCAGCTCCAGTCAGCAGTTGTAAGGCATTATTCAAAACAGGTGAGAATAAGAAAATATCAATATCCCAATAAATTCCTATTTTGAAAGTGCTACTGTGCACTTCGATTCTATTAAGCTAATAAAATTACTTTCATTCTTGAATCAATGTACAAAGGTTAAATAAATTCATACAAACCAATTACTCATTGAAAGAATTTTATTGCCTTGCCAAATGGCATGATAACAAAACAGCTTGCTGGAATAGATAGGGGAAGCAAACATGATGGAGTTCTGATAGAACATGATTGGCATTAAAATACTAATGCATTTTCTTGGACATTAATACTATATGAGTCATAATAGTTCTTTCTTGGCTTTTGTGTATTGTTGAAAGTCCTGTCATCCAGTGAAGAGAATCCAACAAAAATACTTCTGCATAAGATAATTAGTCCTCTTCTATCCATCCATCATGAATAATAAGGGACTACTGAAATGGTTTTAATTACTGTTGTTTCTTGCCTGACATAAAATGGTTTACTCACTGATTTTCTTATCTTTTTAGTACAACTGTTTTTACTTTTCTGCACAATTTTGGGGTTTTTATATTGAACTCAAGTTTTTTTCCCTGTTTTAATCTAAGATCCTACACTGTTTGCCTTTAAGTGTAATGTAGGAAATATTTTCACTAATAACTATTTTCATTTTAGGCTATTAAACAGATGTATATTCTTATTCTTGGCCTTGATGTGTTGGGTAATCCATTTGGATTCATAAGAGGCTTGTCTGAAGGAGTAGAAGCTTTCTTCTATGAACCATACCAGGTAAAATTCTCTTCTGCCCTTTTAAGAGTAGATAGATATGCACTGTATTGGAAATCTACATTGACACCTTTTTTGGTTTTAAATTTAGATTTAGAATTGAAAATTTCAAGTGAAATGCCTGGAAAACACAAGTGACATTAAAAAGGGCAGAGAAGTCTATTCAACTTAACTTCCAAAAGGCCGTTACAGTTCATACCTTAAAATAAATCTTTCTCTACTTCTTAAAATAAGCAGACTTCAGGGAATTAATTAGCATTCTAAAATTGTCTATCTTCCTGTCACAGGAGCTTTTGCGGGTGCTTTCACACTTTATCACTCAATGTCAACCTGTTTTCCTCTTTGTTACATATAAATCCCAATAAAAATGGAAGACTAAAAAATACATAATGCATATATTCAAAGGTCATCATGAATGTAATATTTTTTTCTCATAGGGAGCCATCCAGGGTCCTGAGGAATTTATAGAAGGCATGGCCCTAGGACTTAAAGCACTGGTAGGGGGAGCTGTTGGTAAGTTTCAGCACTGTGATGGTAGTTTTCCTAACAATAGAGGTAAGTATTTGTAAATTGCATTGGAATTTTAATTTGGTTTGTATTCCTATAGGTGGATTAGCGGGAGCTGCCTCAAGAATCACAGGTGCTATGGCAAAAGGAGTCGCTGCAATAACTATGGATGAGGATTACCAGCAAAAAAGGAGAGAAGCCATGAATAAACAACCCACTGGTCTGAGAGAGGGTATCACTCGTGGTGGAAAAGGACTAGTTTCTGTAAGGAGGAAAACAAAAAATTAATTAATTTTATGCAGGCAAGAGTACCAGGCGCTTGCTGTGCTCACCAGAAGGTTGTTGGTTTTCAATTTTTTTAGTTAGTTTTTTGTTTCTTAATTTTAATTTTGGTTTTTTGCAGGTATAGAGCTACAATTGAGTGATAGTTTTACAGAAAAATGCAGGAGGATAGAAAAGAAGATAGAAACTGTGAAGCAAGTGCCTCTGATTCTCTTAGCTTATAGTGAATTCTAGAATACTTCCAACACATGTACTTTGAGGCTATTCACCAATGAAGTAGGAAGAAAAATGTTAAAAATGAAAAATACTACATGGAAGCATGTTTGTAATGTCTGTTTTGTTTATCTTGGTAGGGTTTTGTAAGTGGCATAACAGGAATAGTTACAAAACCAATAAGAGGTAAGTTTGGTGCATTAACTTGATGCATTAAGTGTTCGCATGATGGTAAATTTTTGATATTTGATGACATGTTTTCTATCAGAGTTATAAAACTCTTTGTCAAGATTTTATATTCCTACTGACTTACAGTTTAAATGTTGTCTACATGAACTTTGTGTGGAGACTACGTAGTTGTATATCAAATAAAATTTGTAATTAAGTGGTTATAAAATTTATTAATATTTTAAGAAAAACACTGTGGTGTATAATGATTTACTGCTTTTAATGCTTTTAGGAGCTCAGGAAGAAGGAGCAGCTGGTTTTTTCAAAGGTGTTGGAAAAGGCTTAGTGGGAGCAGTAGCTAGGCCCACTGGTGGAATCATAGATATGGCAAGCAGCACATTTCAGGGTATTAAAAAGTAAGTAAAATAAATGTACAGAGTATCATATGGCATGAAAGCGACAATACTAGTAGTACCTTGTGTCTTTGTATCACTTCTGTGTTATTTACATAACAAATAGGTGGCTCTTTAAAAAAATACACACTTGATATAATTTTAAAAACACAGACACAAATCTTAGATATCTCTTTAAAAAAATACACACTTGATATAATTTTAAAAACACAGACACAAATCTTAGATATTTCTGGCATTACTGAAAAAACTAGTTTAAATATCTCAGCAATCAGAATTTCTTCAGCTGATGATTTTTAACTTTTACCCCAAATAAGCAGGGAAAATAAGCAGGGAAAAAAGAACTTCTCAGATGTGATGGAAGTTACTTTATATATTACTACTACTTTATGAGATGAGTTCCAAGACCTATGAGTTCCTAGATTATGCCAGTCTCTATGTTAAGAGTGCGTTTAAATACTGTGTTAGTGTCACTTTAATAAATTCATTGTTTATTGGTGTAAAAAACATGCTCACGGTGAGAGACTTCTCCAGGGTCAGGCTGTTCAGGGATAAGCAGTTTATTATTTAGGTAGAGGGTGGAAGAGATCCATTTACACTTCCAACCGTAGTGTAAGCATGCTCAGAGAGGGAGAGAGAGAGTGGAGAGATGAGTCGAGGAGCATGAGGGAAGAAGGTAATTAAAGGGGTAGAGAGATAGGTAAGAGCGGGGAGTAAGAGAGGAAGTTAAGAGAGGGGAAGAGAGCAAGTTAAGAGATTGAGAGGAGCGGGTAAGAGCAGAGCGGAGGAGTTAAGAGAGTAAGAGACAAGCAAGTAAGAGAGTAGGAAGAGGTAAGAGGAGGGAATAAGAGGTTGAGAGAAGAGAGTAGAAGGGAATTAGAGAGGAGCAGAAGTTGAGAGAGTGCAGACGAAGTTAAGAGAAGTAAGTAAGAGAATGAAGTTCTTGTTAATACATTATATCTTTTTCTATGGTGAATATTCTAATTCTTAGTGACCAACCAGTATATGACACACATTCTATAGAATTTACATATAGCCTATAAGAAATACTACATTACCATGCAGTGTTACATTTTAAACTCTAAAAGCTACTCTTGAAATTCTTCTCTTGCTGCTTGACCTTTGGATTCACTATCAGCAGAAGGATATTGTTTAATCAACAGGGACTATCCTTCAGCTGGCTAGGCTATTGTTCTTTGGTTATATAGTAACTAGTACTCAGTACCCTATAGCTCAAAGCTAGTTTTCAAATCTGTTTCAATCCTAGGTTTCATGTTTTCATAATCTTTTGCCAAACAATCATATTCGTAAGGTTTCCCTGTTTCATCTTCCCCAACAGTTGTTGAAGATAATCTCACACTGTTATAGGCAGTGGAGGAGGAGACAGTGTTTTGAAGACGTGCTTAGTGACTTTAGATACAATTGTTCAATGGCCCTGTTCTTAGTGATTTGGATCACTTCTGTTACCATAAGAATGCCCGTCTCTTGTTTTCCTGTTAAAGTTCTTTAGCAGAGAAATGCAAGAAAAATATCAGAGTGAAGTTTCTATATGGCAACAGTTGTCTTTACTTTTGAAGTACTGAAGTGCAGCAGTTAGACACTAATTAAGCATTAGCAGGCATGTGCTGCTCTGTGCCATCTAATTTGATAATAGTGATTCTCGGAAATAGATTTCTGATGTAATGTCTGTTACTATGCAAAAGTGCATATATAGACAATGATAGTTTTTGCACGAGTACTTCAATTTAATTTATATACAAAATAATTTAGTTCCTTAGCTAAATAGTATAGTTGAGTAGAGATCTTGACATGTATCTTAAATTTTCTGCTTTGTCAGGGTTGCAGATTCATCAGAAGATGTGATAAGCCTGCGCCCACCTCGCTTCTTTGGTGAAGATGGAGTTATTAGACCTTACAGGTTAAGAGATGGAACTGGAAGTCAAATGTTACAGGTGAAGAAAATGAAAGATAAATTTTAGACATACATTTAAACTCATCTTACATAGAAATAAATACTTTAGAATTTCCCACTTCTTAAATTCCCATTCACTTCTTACCGTGTCACTCAGTTTCTTAGGCATGTAACCACATTGGGGATTTGGCTGCTGTGATACAACTTTGAGGAAGACAACATAAAGCAAATCAGTATATCTATAAAAGTTTATGCACAGAGAATTCTGAAAAAAGAGAAAGGTTTATATGTGCAAATGAAAAGTTTTCTGCCTTTAAATGTTTTTTTTGTGAAAAGTGTTGATAAATACACAGTTTTTTCAGTAATTTTATAATACATAGCTTAAACAGTGACTTTTAAGTCTCAATTTTATGTAAAACAGCATAAAACAGATAGAAATAGTTGTATTTATGTCATACTGAAGCCATTGAAAGAGCATAAGCAGTTCTGAAGTGGAATAGTGTTTGCAGGAAGTATATGCTGAGCAGCACTTACTTTTTAATGATTCATCTGCCATTTAAACAAATTTGACTCAAAAAATTCCCCTCAGAAAGGAAATAATTTCAGTTGTGACGCACACAGCTTTCTGAGTTTCTGGGTTTTTTTCCTTTTGTTAGAAATAAAATTTCTTTCTAGAAATGTTCAACCATAACAAATAAAGTAGTAATTAGTGTTTGCATAAATTTGAACAGAATTTGAAAAATACACATGGGAGGTTTCACAGTGTGCCATGAAAATGTCATACTAGAATAACCTTTCTGGAGAAGTAGATAAGAATAAAGTTGCCTTTGGGGAGAGCATTTTATGACTCATTTTGATTATTGCCACAGCTGTTTGTTCCATGTTGAGTTCCATTCTTGTTTCTGTTTCTCCTGCATTTCATTCATTTGTCATTCATTTTCTGGTAGAACAGGATTGATCTGTTGGGGGCCCCTTAGCTATATTCATTGTTTCATTCACTGGTGATGTAGTTCAGCAGACTGTGAAAATGCTTTGATAATAAACAGTGTACCTGTGCCTTTCTTGTAATGAGATGGCTTTAACCTGGCTCTCCAGTTTATAACTGGAGTTATAAAGCGTTATTGTCTTAACTACCCTCTACTCTCTGGTAGTTAGAAGCTACTACTGACGGACAGCATAAAGTTATTGCTAATCTTTATCCTCTTTTTGTTAAGAAAATAAATTTTAAACATCCCCGTGTCTGTTTTTAAGTGTATTACTAAAACAAATGCCAGCGAAGAGTCAGCTCTAATGAGCTGACTTTACATTGCTTTTGCTTCTTAAATTTGTACATTTTTGTATTTTGTGGTTTTTTTCTGAGGAACCTTTACAAAAATCTGCCATGTAACATGTTATTCTAATTTTTCTGTATTGTATGGCTGAGTACAGTACCTTCCACTATCCAACTTAAGAACCACTAAGGTGTGGCCTTGTGTAATGCCTTTGATGTTTTGTGATGGGAGCCACCATTTTAAAGTAGCTAAAACTGAAGAATTGTTAGCTTCATATTAGTTTTTGCTATTAATGATTCTAAAGCATAATACTCCTGAAGAAATACTTTCAAAGCTCCAAACAGAGTAGACAGTCAAATCAGAAAACAGAGATTTGCATATTTTTTCTCCCTCAGGCATTAAATTCTGCTTTAGGATACTTGGTGTCTTAATTTAACAGTTAAATATACTACTGGTTTTGGTTCTTAATGTTTGTGGTTCTAGGGCTGTTAATTTGTTTTTGCATGAGACTCAGTGTATTGCATGTCCACTATTGAAAGAGTTTGAATAGAATAATATTTTCTTATGGATAAAAAGATTCCTTTCCCCTTTTGCAATCCTTCTTTGCATACAGATGAGGTGTCTGTCCCATTGTGGTCGCTGTATTGTAGCTTTTCAACAGATTACAGGATTAAGTTGGAATAAAACTTCTTTTGGCGATTTAGAGATTTTATATGATGATCAAAGGAAATAAGATATAGGTTATTTTGTATGCTCATACTGTGCCCTAAACTTAGGATGTCACTTCAGAATTTCTTTGTTTTCTGTGATTTTATATTAATTAACAAACTTGCCAGGCAAACTAGTACTTTTAAACTAATGCTTCTGCTTTCTTTTTCCCTTACCATGCTTTCAGAAAAGGCAGGCCTACAAAGAGTGGACTGTGGCTCACAGTAGTAGTGATGATGATGACAGTTAGGATAATGTGGACTGTAACAGATATACATGGCCTTTGTCACATTCTTTTGACCTTTAAGTTTTAAATGTTGCTGCTATAATTCCTGCTGAGAAAACGGGGTTTTGTGATACTAAATTCTTACTTTTTAAACTGTGAAAAAAAAATGTGGGGATAATAAACTGTATGATGATGAGTGCTAGGCAAACAAGCAAATAATATAATAAATATAGTCTTACAGATAAAACCAGACATTAGGTAAAATAGTATTGAATATGAAGAAATAAGTAATACCATGACTTAGAGTTTATTTCCAGATGTATTTTTATCAGCTGTGTTTAATGTTTTTTGCATTTATATAAGTGTTTAACAGGGTAATTTACTATTGCTTTTAATGTGCTGAGTAAAACTTTATTGATTTGTACAGTCCTTATTGGTGTTAAAATGCTGTTTGACTGTTTTTTCAATTACTATTTCAAAAGTATTTTGTCTGCTTTTCTTCTTTACAATAAACATGTCTAAAGTATATCTAAAATGGATTCATCTGTTCTGTTCCAACATTGTTTCTCATGTTTCCTGAAACTAGATAGTGTAAGAACACTAAATGGCTTATAAAGGTATTGAATAGGTAAAATACATATGTTTTTCAAGAATTGTTATCATAAACCTTTAATTTTTCATTTATCACTTGCTTTACCATGATTTTTTTATACTCATTTGTGTATCTTTTGGTATCCTTAAGCATGTGAAATAAGAGTTTATTTTGTTTTTTATTTTGACTATAAATTATTAATTCTGTAAGTCAACATTTTTACTTTCATAACAACAAAAAAAGTAAAAAATCCGCCCCAGAACTAACCTCCGTGTAAAAACCACAGGCAGATGTAAAAAAATACTAGTAGTTATTCAAGCCACTGTGTAATAAAACATATGTAATATGCAGACGTATTTAGTTTCTTATTTACCTAGATGTGGGGGGTGAGGGGAAAGTGTCAACACTGATCAACTACAATTTGATGCTATAAATTCTACCAAATACCTTTACAAGTTACTGGTTTCTTAAAAGAAATATTCATTCCATATTCACTGAAATGCTTGCAAAATTTTATCGTTCTTTTTTTGTGGTTTGTTACTAAATTCAGATTTTTGTGTTGCACTTCAAAGTTTTTCTTGTAATAGATAATTTGGTACCAGTAAGTATTATAATGAGAATTAATTCTTCTGCCACCATTTGAACAGTCAGCATTGCTCTAAAACAATAAGAACTTCTGAAATGTTAGCATGTTTAATGAAGTAATATTACGTCTTTCATTGTCTGTTGGATTCCATTTATCAAAATTTGGGGGAAAAACCATTAAAATTGTCAAGGCTGCTTACTCTGGCCCTGTGCATTCAAAAACTGCTGCATAGGGTGATCTCTTGGGCTTTGTCTTTAGTGTCATGGAGACAAAGGGGGACAAACAAAATTTGGGAGATGGTTGTAGCTGAAATTGCTGATGCTTTTGATTGCTACAGGTCATGTGTTGCTATTAGTTTTGTAATGGTGTCACCTCAAAGAGATGCCTTTCAGAATCAGATGAAAGGCTGTATTGCAGTGTGTTACTGCCTGAAACACTGGGGGAACGTTGAATGTTTCAGGTACAAATTGATCTCTCATATTTCTTTGAAGAGCGTAGGAAATCATCTTGCTCTTCAGTTTTGGAAAAAGACACATGATACCAAAAAGTTGGAGAAATCGTTACATATAATGGAAAGGTGACTGTGACATTTAGTTAACTTCACTGGGTTTTGAAAATTCAGAATAATGTTACTTAACATTATCTTTTTCCTTTGTGCTTTTTTATTGCAATTTCTTTTTTTATCCTATAAAATAGTTTTTCTTTTTCTAGTCTTTTCTAGAAAAAATGCATTTTTATGGGAACTTTATGAGAAAAACAGTTCGTCCGTAGAAGATTCTAATTCTTCCTCAATCTTTATAAAAAATTGACCTGGTTTTTAATTTTTTTTTTTTACTTGAAATCCTACAAATTTATGCAGAACATGGAGGTGAAATTAAGCATGAATGATAATATTACTGGGTCAGATATTACTAATTCAAGTTACACCACAGTGTAATTTGTGAAAGAATTCATTCTTTACTTGCTAGATTAAGAAGTTATAGAATGCAAACTAAGGAAAAAAAAAAAAAAAAAGCCTAACAAAACTAACAAATTTTGCTAGCTGGAGCTGGCAGATATGATTTTATGCTGTAGAATATTTTGTCTCTTTGGTGGCATATAATTATGTTTTTCTATTTTTGGAGTTTTTGTGTTAATGGAAAAGATAGTAGTTTTGTACAAGTATTTTACTTGTTTCTCTCTTGAGTCAAGGCTTCTCTGAATATATCTGGAAAAAGGAATAAATTGGACCTGGGGATATGGGATAACAAAAAATTTCACTATTTGGGATATTAGTACTTAATTTTTCTTTAGGTCATGGGACAAAAAGCTGTGAAAACTAATAGCAGAAACTGATGTTCTTTCAGGATGGGAAAAAAAAACCCAAACCAAAACAAAAACTCCAAAACATTTAGAGATTATTTTCTTTAGGGATTTAAAATAACAGCAAAAAAAAGAGACCATATTTTCAATTTTTTTTTTTCTTCAATTTTAAATATTTTAACAGTTTAACTTCACTCTTCATAATCCCCCCATCCCATCCCTTTTTAAATGCTGAATTGAATTTGAAGTCCAGTACTCTCCCTGAAAATTTGAGATCTAAGTACCCTCCTTATATCTCAGATATGCTAAATCTTTTGCTAAAATTTTTGAAAAATTGACAATGCAGCTTTTCCCA